GACCTACAGCCTGTGTAGTACCATTGACAGAGGCCTCAGGATGGCACCAAGACCTTAGGTTATCAAATCAGGGGACCATAGGAGACCAGTCTGGTCAACACACGACACGATCAGTCTACTCCAGATATCCTGTCTAGCTAGTGTCCTCTTCTTGTCCTAGGACTCCATCCAGGGTGTCTCGTTACAGAACTTCATCACTCCCCTTGGCCATTTTAAGGAGCTCTGGTCAGTTCAATGGAGCTCTGGTTAGGTGCAATGTCCTCAGGTGGTGCTGAGGGGATGCTCACGACTATCACTCTACCATATTGTGAGCTGGGTGAAGTACTCTGGGCCCTTCACAGTGAGGACTGGCATTGACCTTGGTGACATTCTGGGATGGCATTTGTCAGGTTTCTCCATTGTCAGGTTCTCCTTTCCTCTCGTTTCTTACAGGACTCCTATGAAGTCAAGGTACAGCTCATACCCAAGGGGTGGGGAGCCAAGCTTTCCTTCCCCTATGAGGAATTATCTCACACAAATTAAATGTTTGCTGGTATTCCATTTATTTTAAACATGGAATATTTCATGAATTTGTGTCATCCTTAGGGGCCATGCTAATTGTCTCTATCTTCCAATTTTAGTATATGTGCTGCCAAATCGAGCACTTTTTTTTGAGACAGGGTCTCATTAGCCCAGGCTGCCTCAAGCTCCCTATGTAACTAAGGATGACCTTGAATTTCTTTTTCTTGTGATGTGTGTAGACGCATAGGTGCCACAGTGTATATGTGGCGCTCAGAGGACAATTTTCAGGAGTCACATCTCGTTCCTTCCACCGTGGGATCTAGAGGACTGAGCTAGGCCATCGGGCTTTTGTGGCAAGCTTGTATCTACTGAGCTAACTTCCCAGCCCAACCTTGAACTTCTTATCCTCCTGTCTCTACCTCCCAAGTGCTGGGGTTACAGGTGTGTGATGCCATGTCTGCCTTTAAAATTTGCTTTATTAATCTGTATTGCTATATATAACAATGGGATTTGTTATGATCTTGTTGTACATGTATGGGATGTATTGCTATATATAACAATGGGATTTGTTATGATCTTGTTGTATGTGTATGGGATGTATTGCTATATATAACAATGGGATTTGTTATGATCTTGTTGTATGTGTATGGGATGTATTGCTATATATAATAATGGGATTTGTTATGATCTTGTTGTACGTGTATGGGATGTATTGCTATATATAATAATGGGATTTGTTATGATCTTGTTGTACGTGTATGGGATGTATTGCTATATATAACAATGGGATTTGTTATGATCTTGTTGTACATGTATGGGATGTATTGCTGTATATAACAATGGGATTTGTTATGATCTTGTTGTACGTGTATGGGATGTATTGCTATATATAATAATGGGACTTGTTATGATCTTGTTGTACATGTATGGGATGTATTGCTGTATATAACAATGGGATTTGTTATGATCTTGTTGTACATGTATGGGATGTATTTTGATCGTTTTCATCCTCCATTAACCTCTCTTGCCTGCCTCCCACTAATCGTTCTCTTCCCAACCAAGCACCTTTCCCCCTTCATGCCCTCCCCACCCCTGCTTTTCTTCTCGGTGACTCAATGAATCCCATTAGGGCTTCTGTGAGAAGTTTATTTACCGGAACACGGCCACCTTAGCAGTGGCTACATCATTAAAGAAAATGGCTTGGGGCTGGAGAGATGACTCAGTGGTTAAGAGCACCAACTGCCCTTCCAGAGGGCCAGGTTCAATTCCCAGCATCCACATGGCAGCTCACAGCTGTCTGTAATTCAAGTTCCAGGGGACCTGACAGCATGACACATGCACCAATGCACATAAAATAAAAATAAATAAAAATTTAAAACTCCTTAAAATTTTTTTAATAAAAAAGGAAGAAAATGGCTCTTTCTCCCCCCAGGAAACATTAACTGTCTATAGATCTTTAGGGACAAAAAGTCCTCATGAACCCCCCCCCATAGCTACTATTAACTGTCTATAAATGTTAGTGGAGGGTTGGGGCCTTGTGAGTCCCTCCCACCCCACGACTGAATTTTGATGGGCCCAATCTCACACAGTCATATCCATTTTGTTCTGTTTTGTTTTGTTGTTTAGTGTAGTTCTGAGAATCAAATCCAGGGTTCACACATGCCAAGAAAGCATTCTACCACCTGAGTACACCCTCAGCCCCTGCATTCCTCTTGTATGGGGGGGGTTGCATTATTAATTCATCGGCTTATTTATGCTCTCATGGGTATTTGTTTCATACTCTAAAACCTACCGTGTTTGATCCTGATCTCCCTGGTATGCCAGGGCAGTTAGTAAACTGCAGGCAGTGAGCCTCAATGTCTAACAAATGATCAATCATTGTCTCTGGAACACCAGTGGCTGAGGAATCAACGACACAAGCAGATGTGTAAAGCTGCCCTACAGAAACAGTCTGAACCCACAGCACTCTGGGAAGGAACCCATCTAGGAGGAGCAGCGCTACAGTGTAGCTGAGAATCTGATGTGTAGTAAAGTGTTTCCACAGGTCTTGGTGCCGAGCTAGAACAGTCCCACCGAGCCTCAGGCCCTGTCCGTGGTCCTGCCCTGCGGCCTCTCGTTCTGTTCTCCCTCAGGCGAGGACTTCCCACACAGACAGAGCTGCTGGCGAAGGAGCTCACAAAAACAAAACAAACCAAACCAAGATGACATTGGGTGGGAATCAGGGATGAGCCACAGGCTTAGACTGAAGAAACTAATGAGAGACAAGAGGTCTGATCCCTGTAACAAGTCAGGATCCTGGAGGAGACCACGCCAGAGGAGTACTCTGGATGGATGCACACAGTCCTGAAGAGAGGACACACATAAAAACAAAAAACCAGAAGTGGACATTTTGGGGCTAAATAGAGCCACATGGAAGGGTGTGCATAACAAATATGTGGTAGTTTATGTAAGCTCAAACGTGAGGATCATTTGGGGGAGGGGCTAGGTTAGACTACATGGTGCAGTGTGATCTCATTTCCCGGCGAAAGCCACATGTAAGTACAGGGGCAACTCGTGAAGGAGGTGACCAGAGTGTCACCTCCCTGAGGGACAGGAATACAATAGACCTAATTTCGACTGACCACATTTGCAACCTGCCGTACTCCACAGAAACTCCTGCTATGATACAAGATAATTAGTAAGTAAAGGAATCACTGGCCAGTCCCAGGGTGGAGGATCTCTACCTAGGCAGGACTTTTCAGATCCCGGGAGGTTTTAGTAGCCAGAAACTTGGTGTGAGTAGAGAATGTGTAGAACCACTGAAAAGGCACCTCCCCTCCCCCATGTGTGTGTATATTGACCAGGTCTAGCCCTATTAGTGCTAGGAAAACAGTCAGACAATTCATTAGTGATATCTGAGGAAACCACCCCCTAGCTCCCCATGGGTGGGTTGGAAATGGCTTCAGGCTTCAGACAGAGGTGAAAGGGTTAAGAAAGGATGGGGCAGAGGAGTGATATTTTCAAACAGTTAAAGGCTACAGTGCAGGAGGGAAACCCAGGTGAGTCCCCATGCAGAACATGATGACTAAGTGACCAGCAGGTTTGTTTCTGAAGGGTGGAGGGAGGATGATCTAAAGGCAGGAGGTGTCTGTCCAGCCTGGGGATATGGTTTGCAGGGCTTTGGCCTTCTGCCAAAGGTTGCAGTGAGGTCATCCCCTGCAGCCCTCTGTGTTAAGGATGCTCAGCCTGTGGCCCCCTGTGTTAGGGATGCTCAGCCTGAAGGCCCTGTGTTAGGGATGCTCAGCCTGTGGCCCCCTATGTTAGGGATGCTCAGCCTGTGGCCCCCTGTGTTAGGGATGCTCAGCCTGTGGCCCCCTGTGTTAGGGATGCTTAGCTTACGGCCTCTTGTATTAGGGGCTGCACACCCTGCTCAGGTGGGAGATGCTGGCCAAGAAGAGAGACTTTGCTAACCTCTGTAGAAGAAAGGCTGAGGTAGCAGCAGCAGATGCCCCAAGCAAAGCAGAGAAAAGGTAGAGAATGAGCTTCAAGAGGGAGCAACAGTAGTGAGCTTCCTGGGCTGGGGGACCAGACTTGCCTCCCTCCTCCACCTCCTGCTCTCGGGGATTCCCAGGTTCTGGCCAGAGCCCAGCTACCTAGAAAGGGATTGCTATTACCTCCCACTTGTCAGGTGACGGGAAGGCACCAGCTAGACTGGTCACAGCCCAGCTTCTCCCGTGTTCTAAAATGCCACCCTGACCTGTCCTGTGAACAGAATGCCACCCAGTACAAGTTTGAGACCAAGGTTCCAAGCTCCCCGAATAAGGTCTGAGATCTCAGATGGCCTTGGAAACCCAAAGCTCAGCCAGGGCTCCTGAATCAAGAAGATGCTGACCACTGCAGGGCTTTGTGAACACAGTGCCCTGTCCTCCTCTCAGACACGGACACTAGCCCCCATGTGGATGGCAAGAAGACACTGGCCCAATGGGCAGTTATCATCACACACTGGCAGTTCAGACCCCGCCATTCCAGACCGGCTAACACCCCCCACAGCTCTGCCCTGTGCCACCCATGCGGCCCTACACCAACACCAGAGGCTCAGCTAACCACTCCCAGTTTGGTCCTTGCTGGCCCCTGCAGCCAGTACAGCCTGCTGCCAGTCAGGCCTGCCCATCTAGCTTGAGTAGGAGGTCCCTAGGAACTGGGCCAGAATCCAGGGTGGCCCCAAGCAGGTATCTCCTCCTGTTCTAGGTTGGGTAGGTGCAGCTAAGGACCAGAGACTGCAGATCAGCCCTGCTTGTCCCTGTCACCCCTAGGCCTGGTGCTGTGCATATATACCCCTGCGATTTGATGGGTGTGGGAGGGGGTGTATAGAGGCTAGATTTGAGAGCTCCTCTGATTGGGGATGGCCTGGAGGGACGTGCTGGTGAACGGGTGTGCCATGTGAAGCACAGGCCCGGGATGTGACAGCACAGGGTCCCTGCGATTCCCTCAGCCTGGGGACACGCGCGAGAGCTCCTTACCTCCTCTCCTTGGCCGAAGCGCAGGCCGAGCGCCGCGACGCGCTCCACGCGTAGAAAGCCGTCGGGGTCGCGGCCACACACCTCGAACACTTCGCGCAGGCGGCGCACGGAGCGCAGCAGAGCCGCGGGGGCGCCCGCCCAGCCCGCGCCGCCCGCCATCCGCGCCGCCCGCAGCTAGCCTGAGCCCCGCGCCGCCGCCGCCATCGCGCTCGCACCGCCTGGGTCTGCGGCGCGCAGCCTCCGCCCGCGGCGGCCGCTCGTGTCAGCCGCTCGTGTCTGCCGCGCGCCGCGGGCCCGCGTGGGGGCGGGGCGGGGCGGGGCTGCAGACAAAAGGACCCGAGCCTCCCCAGGCCCCGCCCCTTCTAGACCCGATCGGCAGGGGGCAAGGGGACCGGCCCCCGCGCTGCCAGTGCACCCCGAACCTAGCCGGTGCACACACACGTCCTTTGTCAGTTCTGGGTGTTGCAGGTGTCCCCACCTTAGTGCGTTTGATTGCTACATTCCCTTCCCAGGAAGCTGAGACGCCGCCGAAAGGCCATGCAGCTTGTTGAGGGCAGGGGAGGGGCACAGTGAGGAGGTGCGGGGACCCTGGAAGGGTGGTGGGTGAAGGGGACTAAAAGTAGGTGAGAGGAAGAAAGAATGAGGCCTTCCTTTGGGCTTGGTGTCCTCAGGGCCCTGGAATACCCAAGGCTTGGGAGCCCAGAGCTCCTGTCCTCTTGCATTTTTCAGGCCCTAAGCTCGGAGCCCAGGACTCCATCCTGTATGTGGTGGACTCAGCCTGTATCTTGCCTCCCTGGTGAAGTTCAGCTGAGGTTCTTCGGGCCCTACGGAGCCCAAACGCAGCCTCCTGTCCACCTAGCACCTTGTTCAGCCTTACAGGAGTGGTTGTCCCCTACTCAAGCACAGACCTTGCCTGTGCACACTTCTAGACCAGCACGGCTTTCTTCCTGGGGAAGCCTTGTCTTTCTGCCTCACCTACGTTCTGAGCCCTCCTTCCAAACCCACATGTATTTCTGAAACTCGATAGAGTAAGTAGGTCCTTCACCATTGTGGGAAACTAAAGGTCATGGTAGGTCTTAGTCACCTCCTGTCTCTGATCTCGGGTCAAGTGTGAGCCCCACTCCCTACAGAAGCCCAGAGCAATTCAGTGTCCTGGATAGGGAAGAGTAGGGGACTTGGACCCAGTTCTGCACAAGGTCGGCAGGGCTTCCCCGATCTGAACTTGTTTCCTTCCACTCTGATCTTCAGGCAACTCTCAGGTAAGGATGTCCTGTGCAGGGATTGATGAGACGGCTCTGGAGTCCTGACTGCAGGTCTCAACCAGACTGATCCCATTTGATGCTCTTACTCTTCCAGAAGTCACTGAGGGAAAAAGGACCAGCTAAAGAAACTCACCCTGAGTAGAGCCAAAGAAGCACACTTTGACCCTACACCCAGAACCAAAGAAAAGCACCCTGTAAAAGAAACACACTTTGTCCCTGGAATCAGAGCCAGTGAAAGAAATACATCCTGGCCCTAAAATTAGAGCCAAAAGGCTAAAAAGGAGCAGTGAAAGAAATACACTTTGGCCCTGAAACCAGAGCCAAATCTGACCCTAAACCTGTGCAGAAAAACCAACCAATCCTTGAGCAGGAGAACACATTTCTGTTTTCTAAGCGGCAAAGCGTTGGGTAGTTTGTGGCAGCCCAACAGCCACAGTGACTATAAATAGCTCGTGGTGTGAGTTGTTGACACCAAGTCACATCAGCAGCTGAGCTGAGCAAAGGTCCGGTGTTCTTTCAGCTCTTGATGCTCACATCAGTGCTCCTGTTTGGAAAGCAGGGATTGTAGTGTAACTGGAATTTTCTTTCCCACCAGGTCCTGCCTATCTTCAGCCCCAAATAAGAACACGGAGCCACATATTAATTTATAAACTGTTGGCCAATGAGTAGGGCTTCTTATTGGCTAGCTCTGTCTTAATTATTAACCCATTTCCACATGGCCTTGGCTTACCGGAGAATGCCGGGACCTGTTACTCCTTTGATGGTTACATGTCACCTCTCTGCCTCTCTCTCTCCAGCATTCTCCTAGCCCCGCCTATCTTCCTGCCTCTACTGGCTATTGGCCAAGCAGTGTTTTATTCATCAACCAATAAGAGAAAAACATATACAGGACATCCCCCATCATTGTAGTTTCTACTTTGCAGAGATCTGGTAGGTATGTAATGAGAGCTGTGTGCATTGTCTTGCCCAGGGTCTGGCACGCAGTGGCCTATCTACATGTCAGTATAGACAGGCTCAGAGCCAGTCACCCGGGAATGTATAACTGAGATAGGGTCTTGTGTAGCCCGAGTTGGACTCCAGCTTGCTATGTTGTCAATGATGATCTTGAATTTCTGATCCTCCTGTTTCCACCTCCGGAATGCTAGGATTTACTGGCCTGCTGCTATCCCGTGTGCTTAAGCTTCATCCCTGCCCCAAAGGGGTGCATTTCTTTTGTAGTCAATCCACGGGTCTTAACGTCCCCATCCAGGCTGCCCAGAAATGGAGCAGGTCTTGCAGGTTCTTCCTCCTCACAGCCTGCAGATATTTCTCAAACCACAAATAATTATCACTTTGGAGAGGAGAAGGTGGTAAAATTGCTCCTTCATCACCTGTCTCAGCTGCAGAGTGTAGAGCGCTCACACACTTCCAGTCACACACCAGGTCCTGGGGGTGATGGGGCCCTGCCTGGCTTGGGCTACACTGGGGTGGCACAGTGTCTGAGGCCTCATCCTTCCTTGCCTGCAGGAGCTAGGGTGAGGAAGGGTGCCCACCCAGAATCTTTCCAACTCTCAGAAGTAGGAAGCTGAGGGCTGGAGTTCCTTCCAGGATTCTTTTATTATTTTAATTTTTAAAAAAGTTTTATTTATTAGGTATACAGTATGCCTGCAGGCCAGAAGAGGGCATCAGATCTCATTACAGATGATTGTGAATCACCATGTGGTTGCTAGGAATTGAGCGCAGGATCTCTGGAAGAGCAGCCAGTGTTCCCCACTAATTATTATTATCATCACTGTTGTTATTACTTATTTGAGTCAGGTTCTCACTATGTAACCCTGGCTGACCCAGAACTGCATCTGCTCCTGGAGTGCTGTGGTTAAAGGCACATATTGCCACACTCTTCCCTTTGAAGAGCAAATGGCAAACCTTCCAAATTCTGCTCCACTGGGCTCTGCATCCTGCTACCAGCTGTAGAAAGGGCCCCTGAAGGTGGCTTGTGGCAGGGCACTAGCATTTACTTCTAGAGTCTGCAGGGTTGCCAAAGCAGATACCTATTCCACCCTGCACCCGTGCTACTCCGCTGCCGCCGCCGCCTTCCACTCCCCTGCAGGCTGCACAGGTCTGCATTCTCTAGCTTCTTCTTCTCTGTTGCTCCGTCTGCTTTCGGAAACAGTTAAACCAGCAGTTCTTAGCCTCGGGGCCTGACCCCTTTCAGGGCTTTGACCCTTTCACAGGGATCGCCAAGACCGTCAGAAAACACAGATGTTCACATTACAATTCACAGCAGTGGCAAAATTACAGTTATGAAACAGCAACCGAAATAGAGTTATGATTGGGTCACCACAACATGAGGAACTGCATTAAAGGGTCTCAGCATTAGGAAGGTTGAGAACCACTGTGTTAGATGAATGTAAAAAACCTAACATTTGGTTGTCTTTGGGTGTCCTATTATCAAAGTCACAGCCTCCTCATGACTTATGTCTCTGTGTTCTATTCCTAGAGTGAGTCTAAAGCAATGGTAGATATCTTCAAGGCTGATGACACAGAAAAATGGCACCCAGTGCACATGTGAGCCCATGCCATCACAGTGGGGTCCATCATTAGATATTATTCATATATCTGCTGATTTGACAGAAGAAATGGCAGCCAATCCAGGTGCTGTAGCTCACACTTGTAGTCCTAGCCCAGGAATTCAACATAGAAAGCAAGACCCCATTTCAAGAGAAAAAAAATGTATCCCCCAAAAATGTATTGCTTTTTGCATTAGTTGGGGTTACTATCATTGTGATGAAACACAACAGCTGAAAGCAACTTGGGAAGGTTTTACCTGGTTTGCACCTTCACATACTGTATGTAGTACCTTTAGAAAGTCAGGGCAGGAATTCAAGCAGGACAGGAACCTAGATACAGGAGCTGACACAGAGGCCATGGGAGGGGCTGCTTACTGGCTTGCTCAGCCTGCTGGCTTGCTTCCTTCCTTCCTTCCTTCCTTCTTCCTTCCTTCCTTCCTTCCTTCCTTCTTCCTTCCTTCCTTTCTTTTCTCCCTATGGCTCCCTCCCTCCTTCCCTCCCTCCCTCCCTTCTTCTTTCTTCTTGTTTTTTTGAAACAGGGTTTCTCTGTGTAGCTCTGGCTATCCTGGAACTCACTCTGTAGACCAGGCTGGCCTTGAACTCACAGAGATCAGCCTGCTTTCTTACAGAACCCAGGACCACTAGCCCAGGGCTGGCCCCACCCACAATGGGCTGGGCCCTTTCCTATCACTAATTAAGAAAATGCCCCCCAGCAGGCATTATGGAGGCCCTGCCTCAATTGAGGTCCCCTCCTTTCAGATAATTCTAGCTCGTGTGAAGCAGACATAAAACTAGCCAGTACATGCTTCCTGTTTACTAACAGGCATGTGGATTCAGTCATCATATGTACTTAGCAATCTGTGGCGCTTCTAGGTTACTCATTCATATTCTTTGCCTATTGTTTTTCTATCTCATCTTTTCTAAAACTTGATTTCTTTTTTTTTCTTTTTTTCTTTCTTTTTTTTTTCTTTTTCGAGACAGGGTTTCTCTGTAGCTTTGGAGGCTGTCCTGGAACTAGCTCGTGTAGACCAGGCTGGTCTCGAACTCACAGAGATCAGCCTGCCTCTGCCTCCCTAGTGCTGGGATTAAAGGCATGTGCCACCACTGCCTGGCCTAAAACTTGATTTTTATTAGCTGTTTATTGAGGCTGGTAAAGAGGCTTTCAATGTTGGGGTGGGATTTTGTTTTTTGGGCCTGAGGACATCTGAGCCAGTGATCAGGATACCTCCTGCTGAGAAGACCCAAGGTTCTCTATGGGGGCAACTGTTACTGTTTGGGCCAGTGTTTCCAGTGCCCCTTATTATGGACAGAGGGCAGTTTCTTCTCATCTGCATGACTTGGGGAAGCACGTGGAAGTACAGATGAGTGGGCTGTGCAGCCCGGCAGCTATAAATGGTACCTCGTCATTCACAGGCCACCAGAGCGGACAACGCACCTCCCCCACCTCCCTCCTTCCTCGGAGTGTGTGAGCTTGAGTGTGCAAGTGCTTGTGTGTGTGTGCACGTGCATGTTGAGGCCAGAGGCCCTCCTGTCGTTCTTTGCCTTGCTGTCCTGAGGCAGCGTCTCTCACGGAACTGGAAAGTTTGTGGGTTCTGTTGGACTGGCTGGCCACAAACTTGGGGATCCATCCATTTCCATCGCCTAATGCTGGGGTTACAGCCATATGCAGCCACACTCAGCTTTTTATGTGGGAACTGGGGATTCAAACTTGGGTCCTCATGCTTGAAGAGAGCAAGCACTCTGACCCACTGTCGTCTCCTGGGAACAAAAACTGAACTTACAGAGCTGGATGTGGTGGTGCACACCTTTAATCTCAGGAAGCTGAGGCAGGTGGATCCCTGTGAGTTTGAGGCCACCCTGGTTTACTCAGTGAGTTCCTGTCAGGGTGATACAGTGACACCTTGGGGCTCTTTTTGTTTGTTTGTTTTTTCTTTCTTTTTTTGGGGTGTGTGTGTGTGTGTGTGTTGAGACAGGGTTTCTCTTGTAGTTTTGGAGTTTGTGCTGGAACTAGCTCTTATAGACCAGGCTGGTCTCGAATTTACAGAGATCCGCCTGCCTCTGCCTCCTGAGTGCTGGGATTAAAGGCATGTACCAGCACCGCCTGGCTGTTTTCTTTTTTTAATGCACTTCTAATCCTCATTATCACACCTTACATGCTCAATAGCTACTTGTGGCTAGTGAACATTGTATTGCTCAGGGCACTTGTGGTGCAGTCCCATTTCTGCAGGGTGGATGGGGCAGGGCAGCCCCAGTCTGTGCTGGTTGCTCAGTTACCTTGGGGCCTCGACAAAAGTGGCTGAGCAGAGCCCCCTGCTGGCTGATGATGGATACACAGCAGAGCAGAAAACGGGTTTTGAAGCTGACAAAATTTGTGTGCCTGTGTGTGTGTGTGTGTGTGTGTGTGTGTGTGCAAGCACATACGAGAATAAGAGTATAGAGTGGACCTGTTCTAATTCAATGACAACAGTAACTTTTGTGTTCACTTTTTTCAGTGTTATAGATTGAACCCAGGACCTGGTACATGTCTGTCGAATGCTCTGCCACTATCAGTTAAAAAAAATTCCTTAGTGTATATTCATTGTGCAAATGATGTTTCATTATGACATTTTTTGTTCAAGTGTACTGTGCATTCCCACCACATTCACCAGCATTACTATTTCCAGCCTTACTCCCACGCTACCGGTTTTAAATATTTTAAAATCTCATACCTCTAGAATTTCCCTGTAAACCCTCTTAATGCCTTTCCCTCAGTTGTGCTTTTTTGCTTATCCCTAAGATTTTTTTGGGTCTGAGGCTAAGGGAATTTTAGGGGTGGGGATGCAGGCTCTGTTCGCAGTATGAGACACGATGGAGGATAGTGAGGAGCCACTCTCTTGATGGAATCTCTTCGTTTTTCTTTTCTGAGACCAAGTCTGACTCTAGTTCACGGCAGTCCTCCAGTCTCAGCCTCTTGAGTGTTGGGATCACATGTGTGTGCCACCAGGCTTGGCTATGGTGCCTCTTGCCACCCAACTCAGCAACCAGTGTGTTTATTTGCTCAGTTCCTTCCCCGATGACTGGCATACTCCCAAAGGGTGAGCATGGATGTACTGGGCAGTAAAAACAGCATTAAAAGCAAGGCAAACTGCCTTTCTGAAGCAGTCTTTCTGTGGTTTCCTTTTTTGCTTTTTGTAGGTGAAATGGCCTTTATATTTCTTTTTGCATGTGTGTGGTTTATGAGAATTGATGAAGTAGTTTGGAAATTACTATTAGTGAAACTTCTACATGCACTAGAGTCTGGTTTTTATTTTTCACTCCCCCCCCTCCCCCGGTACTGAAGATTAGCTGGTGTCTCTAAACATGCAGCTTACCATGGAGCTATACACCCTGGTCTTTTACATAGGTCACCTCTATTTTGTTTGGGATTTTGCACGGGGATGCTATTGTGAATGAGGACTTGTTTTCTGTCCCCTGCAACACAGAACCTTAAATGTTACTTCTTAAGTGTTATTGACTATTTCGGACCAAAGCCTCCCCTTGACTGAGCCCCCAGTCTAACCAGGGAGCTAGGAGGATGGAGCAGACATGCTCACCGTGACCAGTGGGAGTCAGAGCACTTCACGAGATGCTGAGGCTCCTGTTGAGAGTCACAGAATGACTGATTGCTACAAACTAAAAGGTCTTCATGTTTTGATGACAATTAGGAAAAAATATTTACTTTTATGTACATGGGTTTTTGGCGGCATGCATGTAAGTGCACTGCGTGCATGCAGTACCCAGGAAGGTCAGAAGAGGGCATCAGATCTCCTGGAACTGGAGTTATAGATGGTTGTGAGCCACTACATGGGTGCTAGGAATCAAATCTGGGTCCTCTGCAAGAGCAGCTCATGTTCTTAACCACTGAGCTCTCTCTCTAGTTCTTTTACTAAGACTTTGTCTCCTGAAGAACCCCAGTGTGTATGGGCAGTGGCGCTGGGGTTTGGTGGAGGCATGGATTCCCCCGATAGTTCCTTTGCTCCCAAAAAATGAACAAATGGCCAATTCTACTTCAACTCTGGACCAGACCGAAGCATCTAGAATCATGATCTGGAAAGAGTGCCCACTTCTGTGGCCTTTTTTTGTGGGGCGTGGGTTGAGCTCTGTTCTTAACGGAGATACTGGAGGAAGATGGGAGTCCGGGAAGCCAGCCCGGTGGCTGCTTTCTGATGGGACCATTTTCTTCACAGCCTAGGTTCCTCCCAGACACTAAAGACACTGAAAACTTTCTCATCATCAGTTCCTGAACACATCTACCAGGACAGACTTTCTGATTATTTCCAAGCCCCAAATTCTCAGTTATCAATCCTGCTTGCCACTGCACCCCTCAAAACCCCCATCCATATTTTAGGACACATGCCCATCAGTTATGTGGCTGTTTTCCCAACCAAATCACAAGTTGCGAGTGGGCAGAGGCCACACTTCTTGCAATGCCTGGTTCAGGCTTGGGCCCAATTTACTGAAGGTGTGTCTTTGAACAAAGGAGTTCAAAGATTGCATTACATTTTCTCCCCATGAAAGGATTTAGGTTTAGCTACACTGAACTTGAGCAGAAAGGGCCTCGGGAAGACTCCAGTGTGACTTCCCTATCTTGCCTGGAGGAAGTGGTCCTCCAGTGTGGGGTGGGGTTCTAAAGGCCACAACCTTGGAGCCTAATTCACTTCCTGGGCAGCTTCTTGCATCTATGTGTGGTAAAGGATATAATACAAACTGATCAAGAAAGTATTTTACCTCTACTTAGGTAAAACGTAGGATGGTACTTTGGAGCTTAAATGGATGTGCGGGTATATGTAAAATACACAAACGCCCAGAATAAGGGGACATTTACAAAGGTTTTTGTTTTGAGACAAGGTCTTGCTGGCTGACTTGAACCAGTGATGGAGGACTTGTATTACAGGTGTACGCTGTCACACCTGACAAGAAGGAACCTTTTCTTGTGTGGCATTAAGCATAAATCCAGGATCTCCTCTGGGCTAGGCAAGTACTCTATTGCTGAGCCCAATCCCCGGCCTGCTAGTGTCAGCCACTGAGTTGGGCACCTTGAGAGGTAGACACCTATGTCACTGCACTTTTTTTTCTTTTTTCTTTTTGGTTTTTACAAGACAGGGTTTCTCTGTATTGTTTTGGAGGCTATCGGTCCAGCCCGGCCTCAATCTCACAGTGATCCACCTGCCTCTGCCTCCCGAGTGCTGGGATTAAAGGCGTGCGCCACCACTGCCCGGCTGTCACTGCACTTTTGAAGAAACCTTCTGTCAGGGATTTTTTTGGTTTGTTTTTTTTAAATCTTTTAAACATGTGCCTAATGACCATATACTGAGCACTCATAACTGAGCACACATATATACTCATAACTGAGCAGATTTAAAAACGGGCCACATGCTGGATGAGAGTAGAGAGGCCCCCTGCACCGACCCCCAAGGTTTCTTTGATCTCAAGGTCCCTGCTTAGGAAATGCCTGCCTGTGTGGGTAACGGATCCCTGTCTATGCTCAAGGTCCCTGCTTAGGAAATGCCTGCCTGTGTGGGTAATGGATCCCTGTCTATGCTCAAGGTCCCTGCTTAGGAAATGCCTGCCTGTGTGGGTGACGGATCCCTGTCTATGCTCAAGGTCCCTGCTTAGGAAATGCCTGCCTGTGTGGGTGACGGATCCCTGTCTATGCTCAAGGTCCCTGCTTAGGAAATGCCTGCCTGTGTGGGTAACGGATCCCCGTCTATGCTCTGGTTTCTTTGTTCTGCTCACTTTGCTTTGAAGTCACTAAGTCACCTCCCATAAGCAGACAGCACATTTGGGCCCTTTGTCCAAGGTACTCCCCTGAGGACAGTCTCTCCCAGGGCCAGGCGGCTTCCTTCTCCTTCAGGAGCAGGGCACAGGGCAGCAGCCCCTGATAGGTCGGTGACATAGACCACTTATGGGAGGTGGTTTGTCCTGCTCCCTCACACAGACTCCAGCTGATATCTGGGAACCCTGGCATCGGCGACAGGCTACTCCTGTCCCAGGGTGACAGTCACCTCTGTCGGACAGGCCCCCATTTGTTCCACCCAAATGGTTTTACTTTCAAATAAAGGATCTTCCTTTTGGGGTGAGCAATCCACAACATACCTGAAATGGTGGAAATGACCTCATGTTTCAAAAGAGCAGGGAGAGGTGAGAAAAGATGTGGAGATAGTAAAACTCCCACAGTTTAGAGCAGACTGAATTTACATTTTACTTAAAGGGGGTAGGTGGGAGGGAGGACACACAGGATGGGAGGGAGTGAGGACAATGATCTGAAACAGTGATGGAGTCTGTGTGTCAACAAGGCTGGAGGCAGGGAACTGCCCGATGGGAAGGAAGTCACCATGTACGGTTCACAACACACAGCATTTTCTTTAAACGATGTAACGCAGTCGCAGGAAGAAGTTAGCAATACAAACATGAGAATAATCAAATTTTTGTTTGTTATCCATGTACAGCAACTAACCGCTTTACAAAAAAGCAAAATAATACAATATATCATCACATGTATTTACAATGTAGTAAATAGACTTTTCTGTCAAATTTTACACAAATTATTTACAGGTGAATATACTGCATTAAAAAAATCATGTGGCTGATACTAAGTGAATTTTTTATAAGTCCATTGCATAATATTGAATAAGACATGCCTCAATATGTTTGGGGGTAAATGTAGGAAAAGGAAGAAAGGAAGAAAGAAAGACAGGAAGGTCTCCCAAGCCCCCCAAAACAAAACTCCAATCTCCCACAGGAAACTTGCAACCCTAAAACTGGAGGACAGAGTTGCTGGCTCCCGTCCCCCCGTAGGCTGTTCATTCTGGCATTCTGGGGTGGGGCTGGCTCCCGTCCCCCCCCCCCCCCCCCCCGTAGGCTGCTCATTCCGTGGTGGGGCTGACTGTACTGTGATACCCTTGCTCCCCAGCTCAACAGTGCATAGGCAAGTGTAACTGGCCAGCAGAGTGCTATGTCCCACAGGGAAGGGCAGGGAAGCCCAGGACAGGAGCACTCGCCAACAGACTTACCACAACACAGTTATGGCAGAGCTGTTTTCTTCTTTCACGTCACGGAATCACAAATCACTGAACACACACCAAGTGATGTAAAATGGGCCATTACTTAGAACCTCAGCCGCTCTCTTGTAACTGGAAGAAGTCGGGGAGGGGACAGCTGGTGACGCTTAAGTTCCTTAGCTGCAGTTATGTGGAAAGTTACTTTTCTCAAAAGCTGGAAGTTCTGCAGGTGGTGGTGGTGCACACCTTTGATTCCAGCACATAGGAGGCAGAGGCAGGCGGATCTCTGTGAGTTCAAGGCCAGCCTGGTCTACAGAGTTCTGGACAGCCAGGGCTACACAGAGAAACCCTGTCTCTAAAACACCAAAAAAAAAAAAAAGTTGCATGTTCTGTAAATTCTGTACATGAAATAAAGCTGAAACTCCCCAGGATTCCTGTGTGCACTGGTCAAAAGCGTTTGTGAATCTGGAGGTGACTCCATTTGATCTTTCCAAGGGGACATCTAAGAACCATGTTGCTGTGGGAAACTCCTTACAGGAAGAACGCTCCATTGTCAAGTTTTCCTGTTGGATGGGAGAGGCGAAGGGGCAGTAATGACTGCAGTCAGATGCGCCAGGCTCGTAGAGGAAAAATGAGCAACCAGAGTTGCACAGCAAAAAGCTCACGCTGCCTACGGTTGGTTGGCGGCAGGAACCAGAGCTGTGGTGATGTGTCCAGCAGCCTTGCCTTGGGGCCTCTTGCTACTTGTCAACTCAGGGTTACAGCCTGACAGTTAATCTGCTTGGGCCTTTGCAACAGTTGAAAACAAAAGCTCAGTTGGCTGCATCTGTTGCTAGTATTTCCCAACGAGTCTGTTAAAATCACTACTAATACTAAGGGTTTTTCCTTTTATTTTGGCAAATGGTTCTTACTTTTCCCAGGACTGTAAACAAATTAAAAAATTAAATTCTTGTTATTTCTGAATATCAAAAGCATTTTATTTACAATTACATATTACATTGTTACTGTATGGATAAGTGTGAAATGTGTTATATTAATAGAGTCAGAACACTTAAATGTACCATTATTTATTGACTTAGCTGTGGAGTTTAATTTACTGAAATCCACTAGTGAGCTAGCACTACAGGGTACAGGGACCCCCCCCCCCCGGGTTTCTTTTTGTTCCTCCCAAAGTCATTGTAACTTAATATATGAAGAGAATATGGGAGTAGAGGGATAATACCTTTTAAAAATAAATATAGTTCAATCTTAAATGAGAGCATCCACATACTACTGCGCTCGCTCAAGTCAACTGTTTTGCATACTGCAGGTACCATGAAGCAGCTGGCTGTGCACCACCTGGAAGGGCCTATGACACACCGATCCATGCTGTCTGCACAGCAGCAATCCTAGAGGTCCCTTATCGGCACACCACGCAGGCTGACCATACTTCACAGTGATTAAATGTAATCCTATCAGATAGAATCCAAATGTTTTGCTAGAGATTCCTGATTTTATTTGGAGGAGAGGAGGAAGATTAAAAGATTTAAAAAATACATCTTATCAAAGAAATTTATGATAATATACAGCATATTCTGATTCTTGGAAAATTATTTAACAAAATAAAAATATCAGCTACCCTAAGTCACGTACCATTCCATTTTGCTTTGAAGCTAATGGAAACAGCTATGAAAATTAGCTTCTGGAAGCAAGTTTCAATACTCTGTCTGCTAATTACCCTGCTCAGAATCACGTAGGAAAGAGGAGGAAAAAGCAAGTGCAAAAACAATTGTAATTACTATACTTAGTATAGCCTTGGCTTACAAAAAAAAAAAAAAAAAAAAAAAAGAAAAAAAGAAAAAAAAAAGAACAGAACACCTTCATATGTAAAGATTAAAAGATAATCAACAGGAAAAGAAATTACCTAGTTTGGATGACCAAGTAAGAATAAGGCCTCAGAACCAATAGCTTTAATCCAGAAATGTTAAGATGTATGTGGTCATGCTTATTTTCCTGTAATTATTGCTAATACTCAAATGTTAGGATTTCTTAAGAATCCATTACAAAATACTAGTTTATCCCCTCCCCCGAGTACCTGGCTTGTGGCTTTATGGTGTAAATTCATTGAGGCTTGACCTCTATGGTTCCTTCAACTTCGTAAGGTTAAAAAAAAAAAAGTCCACAGCTAGAAGATTAAATACATTGGGGTTAAAATATTATTTCTCCCCCAAACTTGGAAAGTGTAAATAAGACAACCACGTCACTCTGTAAGACAAGGGAACAAAGAAGGCCAACCTCCGTGCTTGGCCCACAGCTGGCGGCAGCAGCGGCACTGAGGACTTATCCGCTCCCACAATCCACGCTCCCAGTTCAGGTTTCCTGACCTCCTGCTTTCTTTGCAGTCGTCAGAACAAGTGCTCACACCAGACACATGCCAAAGTAGAAGGAAAAACATTAAAGAAAAGCAGCATTAAATTTAGGCAATGCTTCGAGAGTTGATCGTCTGGCAACACGGCAGACCAGATGGGTTCGTAAGACACGAAGTGCAGCAGTGCAGTGTGGGGCGGGGCCAGCTTAGGGAGGGGTCACTAGTGAGAAGCCCATGTTAGGCTGGTTTGAAAAGTGAAAGAAAGAACGCTTCACACGATCTTCTTAATGCTATTACGTTTGAAACTGCCAGCGCTTCTTTGCTTCTGCACCTGGCTTGCGGATCCATGGCGAGTTCGTCCACTGTTACAGTGGCCAGTGGTGGGGGAGAGTTCAACGTTCTCCTTGTCGATTCCTGGAGAGAAAGAGCAGCTGGTTACTCCTCTCCTGCTGCCAGCTCTAGGATCAAATCTCATTACCTGCTGAATGGTTCCAGCACACTCCATTTTAATAGTGAACTGCTAGGATGTTTATAAAGGCCTCATCGGTGGAGAACCGCACACTTTGTTAAGATGAATGTAAGAGAAAAAAGACAAGCTGCAGGAAGGCCACCTGGGAAGCTTTAGAGAGCACTCTCTCCCAGTCATACCAGAAGTGCCCAGCAGGGGGCAGTTTCTAGCCACGCACCTGTAAAATTCCCAAGCAGCCTCCATCTTTTTGCATATCTGTCATTTCAGAAAAAGGCAGGTGCTTTCACTTTATTGGCCTCAATGCCTGTTCTGGAGGAACGAAAACATTTCCTGAAAAGATGATCTACCACATGGGCTATGCTCTGGGACCTTTGCTTCTTTTCAACCATGGCAAGTCACCACACCATTCTCAACCTTAATTAGGTGACATTTCTCTTTCAGGTCCTATAATGACTTTTATAAATAATGTAAGTAACCATTTTCAGAAAGGTAATCAGAACAAAAGGGGAGACGAAAAGAAAGATCGCATCATGTTGGTAAAGGTTACATTTGAAGACAGGGAAGTAGTACCTGAGGAAGTGAGGGCAGCCGTGCAGGCAGTTAGCACGAGCCTTCACAAACCTTGATGCGATCTTCATCATTGATTGACTGACTGATTGTCACAGGGTCTCTCTGTGTAGCCCTGACTGTCCCGGAACACATAGGCATCTTCCTGCCTCTGCCCTCAGAGTACTGGAATTAAAGGCATGCAACACTGTCCCTGGCCCTGGATCTTGATTTTGAGTGGGCTTACTTCTAAAAAGTTTATTGCACCGTAAACTTACAATCTGTGTACTTTCCTGCCCAATACCCTTTGGTAAAATTTGCTTCCCAAATAGGCATTATACTCATTCTAACTACTGATGGGAAGCACTCCAGTAGCTGGTATAAATTCTCACAGACACAGAGGGGATAAACAAGAGAAAGACAATCCAGGTATAGAAAGGAGGGTGGGTAGGCAGGGAAACTTCAGTCCACACATTATACCCTGACAGCATACTTGTTCCAGGTATAACTTTAACTTTCTTTTTGTATGTGTTGTTTGAATTGAAAAAGTATCATTACATTTGGGAATGGAAACATTTCTATTTGAGGCAAGAAGTGTTTCAGGAAATAGAAATTTCCATGCAGTGATTTGTAGGCTTCTGGAGAGAACGGAAGCCGGGACGACTGTTCTCTAGAAGCCACGTCTTCCATTCAATACGGTCTACTCTGTGTCCTTCATGGTGCAGCCTTCGGTCTCCCATCAGAGCCACCTCTATTCCCTACGTAGTCACTAGTTCTTTCTTGCCTACAACCACACCTGTGCAGGCATCTTATCTCTTCGGCTAGAATGAAAAGACCCAGCAAAGGACCAGTAACCATTCATTTTTGTTTTCTTATAGAATCTAGCTAATCACTTTCAATAACTGTTGGCTAAATGCTTCCTTCCACTTCAAAACGTGATAGCTAGAGCCTTCTAGTGCACAGTCCTGAGGCATGTAGCTTTTGCCTGGCAACATGGATGACACCACACACCTTAGAAAGAAATGTTTCCCAGCTAGCTTCTTCCCTATGAAATGACCACAGGCTGTCAGTACCTGACATCAGTGCACCATTCCCTGATATCTGCATGTGAGCTGTATGCTCAAGTCCAGCATTTCCCAACGGAGGTTATTTCCTTACTAGGAATCTGCTACATCTTATTTCCTAATAAGGAAGTTGGAAGGCAAAACACTGTGATGGGCTTCCTGAGTCTAACCAAACAAACACGTTTTACCATAAAGATCAAGGACAAAAGTTGCATACACATTTAGGAGAACACTGTATATGTGTATAAAATTGTCAAAGAATAAATAAGAGGTAGATGTTCTAAATAGGTTTTGGGAGTTGTTTTTAATTTTTATTTATCTTTTTTTCAAGACAGGGTTTCTCTGTATTATTTTGGAGGCTGCCCTGAAACTCACTCTGTAGACCAGGCTGACCTTGAACTCACAGGGATCCACTTGCCTCTGCCTCCTGAGTGCTGGGATTAAAAGCGTGTACCACCAATGCCCGGCATAAGTTATTTCTTAAAAAGCAACAAAATGAATTATATTTACACCAACATACAGAATACTAGGAAAGCAGAGCTGGGGTGACAGAATGAACCTAGTGCTCACATCACTTTTCTTCTGAAATTTTGGCAGCATCCTTTTATACCAAGCTGTTGGAGGACTGCAGACTGCTCACACAAGACAGATCCCTGTGCTGGCACAGGCCTTACTTCAGACTGGAGAGAAAAGCTTGGCTGCACTTCTCCGCTGGCCTCTCTGAAGCTTGGTGTCTGCACTCTCCTATCCCTAAGGCAGAGGCTTTTCTTCCTCTTTCCCTCCATGGGTTCCAAAGCACAGCTCCATGAGGAAGAAACCACAAGTCACCACCCAAAAGAGACAAAGCTTAAGCTTCTGTGTCAGAACCTGCAGGGTTAAACACACACCAGCAGGCTGTACTCAACAGGCTGCCAGTTACCAGTGTGCAGGGCAGACACTGTCCTCAGTGTTATCAGCACTGCTCTGGGCTAGCTCCAGATGAATACAGACACCAACAGGCATCTGGGATGAAGGAGTTGGGAGAACTGCCAGATTATACCCTAGACACTTGCCTGCCTCCCTACTATAGCCTGAGTTCCTTGAAGGCAGGTATCAGAACTTACTGATTTTGACACTACTGATCTATAGCTCCTGCATGGCACATAACAAATAAATACTAAAACACTTACAGGAAATATACTGAGCAATCTGTCCAAAGTTATACTATGGTAAGACGAATGACAACCCAAACTTTATCACTGGCGCAAGGGCCTGCTTGGGTTCCTGCCTGCTTCCCTCAGTTTCCTACCTACAATAGAGCAAACCTTCCAGAAGACTCTTTTCTCTATATGAGCAGGTAATCACATTGAAGGACAAAGCGTAAGTCTTTCTTCTTGTGCTGAGAATGAACTTGGGCCCTCCTGTATGCTGTGTAGTGCTCCACCATCAAGCTATGGCCTCAGCCCTAAAGCCCCAGTGAGATCAGAGCTCTCACTGACTCTATATTAAAAACAAACTATTTGAATGAACTTTTTGGATGCCAAAAATGGAACCAAAAGAGGCTGCTTGTACTTGACTCTAAGCTACCTGCTGTCCCTTCCGCTTCTGCTCTCATTCTGAGGGTTAAGGGAAACACATTACTTATTTTACAGGACTGTGAGGAAAGTTGGGAAAAATCCATGTGAAGGATTTTTCTGAATTACACAGATAAAAATCATTACTGTTTTTTAAAAAATTCTAATACCTGGAATGAAAGAGATAAGTAACTAGCAAATAAAGTTTTAGGACAAATATACAGGACTCACATTTAATGCTGGAATTTGTAAAGTTACTAAAGCTAATGTAAGGAAATACAAAACATCTTAAAGTATGATAGTTATAGTTGATGCTTATGCTACAGTAATATGCCAAGTATACATTTAGAAATTTTTGTATTTTGAGCTGGATATACAAACTCAGAACTGCAGGAATTTTCAGAATGTTTTCCCTAATGCTGGTATTTCTTTTTCATTTGAGCATCTGCCTGTATAGCAATTCAAAGACGACATGAGAGAAGAAGAGGTCATTTTAAGATCAGGCCATGATGTACCATATTTCTTCCTACTCCTTCCAGCTATTTAATGACATTCATCTTTAAAACATGAGTGACAGAACGTATAGTCAGTCTTATGATGGGGTTGGTGTTATTTGAGGGGTAGGGATGGGGAGAAACAATTATTTTCTAAGCTAACAAACTCTTCCTCAAAGCCCACAGGCTGCATCTCTGTTGATATCCCTTGAGTTTCTATTAACCGGCTGTGTTAATCCAAGGCCAGGACAGCAGCCCAGTGTAGTACAAGTGGCAATTTAACTAAACCAGGCCACAGTGGCCATATAGTTCCATGAGCTGAGACCTGATCAAGTAATAGCTTTCCAAGTTCCTGCAGTGTCTAAGTCGCACTGGGCTTCCAGGACTGGGGCTGGGGAGTCTCATGCTGAGGGCCCACACTTGAGTGTAGAAGAAGCAATGTTTTGTACAAAGATTGGGGGGGGGGGGGCAGGGGCCTTGATGAGGAGTGGCTTCCTGCAAACTGTTGGTTTAGAGCACACAGAGGAGCTGAAAGGGATGAGGGAAGGGTTAAAGGGAATGATGTCCAGAGTTGGAAGCAGGGAGAAGCCATTAAGCACTGGACACTTACTACCATCCCTGGTGTTCACAAGGAAGCTGGCTTTATTTATGGAACTCTAACCATGAATTTCTTAAGAACAAAACATTAGTAAGCGGAAGTTACTGAATCTCCCAAGCAAATGTTCCTAACAAAGCATGAGAAGTATCACAAAGCATCAAAATAGTCATGTCAACATACTGTGCCATCCTCATTACCCCGAGAGTCCTCAGAAGCAGGCACTCCACTGCTGTGAACACATGGAGAATAAGCACATCAACTTTTTTCCTTTGGACACAGTCTCACAATACAGCCTAGCTGGCCTGGAACTTACTATGCGGCTGAGGATGCACACGCTTGTGCACAGTTGTGCATGCCCACAGTTTAGGTGTGGCTGTCAGAAGACAACTCTTGGGGTTGGTTCACATGGTGGAAACTGAACTGCACATAAGCATCTTTATCCACAGAGCCTCTTTTGCTTGTTATTCGAGACAGGGTTTCTCTGTGTAGCTCTGCCTGTCCTGGAACTGTAGACCAGACTGGCCTTGAACTCACAGAGATCCTCCTGCCTCTGCCTCCTGAGTACTGGGATTAAAGGCAAGTACCACCACAGCCATCTGGCTTCCACTGAGCCCTTTAACTGGCTCTAATTTTGGATATTTTCTACAAAGCAGTACAGTATTAATCTTGTGTTTAAGAAAACAAAACAAAAAACAACTGTGTTCTAAAATCTGTTAAACACCATAAATTGGAAAGAAATAACTTTCACTTAAAACTCAATACTGATACCCACAGGCAAAAACTCTCAAGTCCTTGTAATCAGGGCACCTCTCATCTTTAAATGTGAGGAAGCAGGAGTTGGAGACATGGCTCAGAGGCTAAGAGCACCCGTTGCTCTCTCAGAGGACCTGGGTTCAATTCCCAGCACCCACACAGCGGCTCTCAACCCTCTGTAACCTGAGTTCCAGAGGATCCCATGCCCTCTTTTGGTCCCCTCAGGAAATGCATACACATGACACATACATACACAAGGTAAAGTATTCATATATATATATATACATTTACATATATATATATAAACTGTAAAAGAAAACTCTTTAAATACACACTAATAAAATAAGTGTTCACAGCTAGGTGTGGTGGCATTTCAGAGGCTGAAGCAAGAGGACGGCCATCAGATTAAGGCCAGCTAAAGAGCCACATAAGATACCATGGTGAAAAATGTTTTCCAAATAATGTAAAAATTGATGACACTGTAATAGAGAATACATCAGATTTTAATACTTCAGAAATGGATGTATTCAACTACTTCTCAGGAAGTATTAGATACATACAGTTCTGTTTAGTGTTTTTTTATTTTAAAAATACGGTCTTATTCCTGTAGTCCATGTTGGACTCAAATTCAAAGTGATTCTCTTGCCTGGGATTCCAGATATGAGCCACCATACCGTTCTTTTTACCGTGAGGATTAAACTTAGGACTCTGTACCACTGAGCTCTACTCCCAACCTTTATCTGGACCTTTGTAATATACTCACTCTCTGATATCTAAAGAGGATGTAGGCAGAGGACCTGGAATAAAATAATTACGAAAATTTCAACATATAGTCAGGCACACATCTTTAATCCCAGTACGCAGAAAGCAGAGGCAGGTGCATCTCTGAGTTTGAAGCCAGTCCAGTCTATATAGTGAGTTCCAGGCCAGCCTGGGAGAGGTACTTATGGTCTGCAAAAGCAGGGGAGTCTGAGTGACTGCAATACAGGTCACACGTTGGGAGCATAGACAGAAACTGTGGCAGCTTCTCAGAGCCCAGTGTGCACGAGAATCACCCTTGCTCATCAGGCTGACTGGGCTCCAGGCTTGGGTTTCACAGGAGGCACGGGAGGCTCAAGTACCTGTGTCTCTAATATAGTCTCAAATGATGCTGATGCTGGTGTGGTCCTAGAGAATAAGTGATGGGGAAAAAAGCTGGCAGACTACTAAGGGATCACCTGATAAGTAAACCTATAAAGTAAGTTTAAGAATTGAATGCAGCTGGGCAGTGGTGCACACTTTTAATCCCAGCACTTGGGGCAGCAGAGGCAGGTGGATCTTAGGACAGCCTGATCTACAGAATTGAGTTCCAGGACAGCCAGGACTACATAGCAAAATTGTGTCTTGAAAAACAAAACAAAACAAAGTAAGAATTGAATGTAAGTGTTTTATAAAATAGTTTATAATATGGGTTGGGTATTATACTGTCTGATTCTCTAGAATCTTCAAAACTACCATGTAAATGTAAATGACCATGCAACATGGTGACAACTATTTACAGAGATTCTATTTATACATCTTGAACATCACAGAATAGTAATTATGGTTTGATTTGTATAAAGAAAATGCATTCTAACACCTGGCATTTACATGAACTACTACATCAGATAATTTCCTTATAGATAGATTATCACGCATGATTTTTTCCGGTAATAGAACTTAGGTCAATTAAGTAAAGAATTCTTTTTTTTTTTTTTTTTTTTTTTTTTGGTTTTTACGAGACAGGGTTTCCCTGTATTGTTTCGGAGGCTATCGGTCCAGCCCGGCCTCGAACTCACAGAGATCCGTCTGCCTCTGCCTCCCAAGTGCTGGGATTAAAGGCGTGCGCCACCACCGCCCGGTGTAAAGAATTCTTTTTAAACATTTTAACTAACTTACAAGAAAATCTTTTCAATAGAGCACATGACCCAAACATCAACTTTTTACCATTATCCAGTGTGAATGTTCTGTAGTGAGCACTACCTCTAGGGTCAACCAGAGCTAAATGAAGCCATTCCTTCAGACAGGAACTGAGCTTCGAGTGGTGTAGGTGTCACTGCTGCCATCTTTTGTCTTTTAGTTCCTCAGGGGCTTTTCACTATTACTGCTTAGTGTATCAACTTCTAAATTTCATTATCTATGATTGCACCTTTAATCCTGGCATTGAGAGGCAAAGCAGGTGGATCTCTGTGAGCCTGGTTTGCATAGGGAGTTCAAGGCCAGCTAGGGCTATAAAGTGTCTCAAAATAAAAATAAAATTTCACTCGTTCACTTTTCCCATTTGATCAATCCAATAGTGACTAGACATTAAGGATTATAAGGGTGGTTTTTTTGTTTATTTGTTTGGTTTTTGAGACAGCCTGTCCTGGAACTCACTCTGCAGACCAGGCTGGCCTCAAACTTACAGAGATCCACCTGCTTCTGTCTCCTGAGTGCTGGGATTAATGACATGCACCATTACCGCCTGGTTTTATAATGGTAGATTTTAATATCACCCAACCCCCACCCTGTGTGCGCATGCGTGCTTGAGAGGGTACAGTTGTAGTATTGTTCCTCAAGCTTACCTTTCTGTGAAGCAGTGTCTCACTGCCTTGGAAATTACCAAGTAGGCTAGGCTAGTTGGCTAGTCATGCCCAGGCATTCTTCTGCCTCTACCTCCTGGGTGCTGGGATGGGATTATAAGCACATACCACAAGTGGATTTTTTAAAATGTGGGTTCTGGGGAATTGAACTCCATTCCTTAGGCTTTCAAGGAAAGCATTCTACCAACCTAGTTATCTCTGCAGCTCCAAGATGCTATTTTTTTGTAAGGACTTTTTTTTTTTTGGGTCTGGTTATTTACCTAATCTGGGATCTTTAGGCTAGTCTATGGTCTATGGATGGTTGACTTGTTGCTATCCACCCTAAATTGGGGTGACTACTAGACTTTGTATGCATGTGTTTTATAGTATGCTGCATCAGAGATTAAAGTACTTAGGATAATATTAGTATACCTGATTAAACAACTACAGTTCTATTCACTTATAGGTAATGTAGCTTAGTTTGTGTTTTTGGTTCAAAACCTATGTGGATACTAAATATCACTATGCATTTCCCTCTCTTTTATACAACTTGTTGGAAAGCAGACAGCTCTGAAGAGTAACAACATTCAGTTACATAGTAAAGAGATGTAAAGTGAACCTCATGAAAAAAAAGGAGCAACATCTGCTATACACTGACCCCAAGGGAGTTCCTAATGTTGGTATCGTAGTATCATTGCTCAAAGTCACATAAAGATCACATTTACTGACCTGGGGAATGCTGGGAAGTTGCAAGTGAGGTCATGGAATTAGAGAGGTTAAGGTTGGCAGTGATACTAAGCTGGCTCTGCAGTGCAGGAGGGTAAGGAGATGTGGGTGTCAGGAGGGACTCCTCACTGGCTTCTTCATCAATTCCAGGCAAGTACGTGTCAATCAAGGCATCAAGAAACTTAACAATAAGCTCAGCATAGTCTGGGATTTGTGTTTGCTGTAATGGAAAATAGGACATTATTTTAGCTCCATTTTAAAAAATTCCCTTTGAAGCCAAAAAAGGTTAACTGACATTTGGGGCTTAGTTGACTGTTTTGCTTTCTTCCTTTGTTTGTATTCTAAACCATTAAAAAGGGGGACTGGAGTAGTATTTAGATATAACTATGGAACTTACAGCTTGAAACTTTATTTAGCTTCCCCTGAAAGCTTCCAGATGAACCTGCAATTTCTGAAAGCCATGCCCAGACAGAGGGATTAACTATGGAGACAATGAAGTCCTCAGCAATGATGTCTAGCCAGATTCTCAAAGCAGAGAAAGTGGGCAGAGCACCATCAGGCCAACTGCTACTCAGATCTCCCCAGCGAGGAATGAAGGGTAACAGTTCAGTGGGTAACAACCATTCACCTGTTAAAGACTTCTGTAAGACACACTTCCGTGACTCCAGGCTCATCTTTTTAATGACAACCTGTGCATATCAATAGATGTTACAAAATAAACTAAATCTAACTCTTAAACTGGAACAAGGTATAGATACCTTATGTTGATTTAACACCCTGGTATCTAGGACACTGTGTGTGTGTGTGTGTGGGGGGGAATGGGGCGGAAGCCCTGCCTTCAAGGAACTTCAATTATTTTAAAAGAGACCACCTACAAGAAAATTAAACACAAATTCATGCAGTACACCAACGAATGCCAAAGAAAATGAATAGCGAAGCACAAACTCAACATAATAGTTGGATGCAAAAATGTGTCCCTAAGATAGTTTTAACAAGCATTATGCTCTTTGCTGGTCACAAGACAGATGTGTGAGTTACTGCCACACGTAGAGGTCTACAGCCATGGTTTCAACCTTCCTAATGCTGCGACCCTTCACTACAAGTCCTCATGTTGTGGTGACCCCAACCATAAAATTAGTTTGTTGTTATTTCATAACTGTAGTTTTGTGGTTATGAATTGTAATATAAATATCTGATATATCACCCCTAAGGGGTCATGACCCCCAGGTTGAGAACCACTGGTCTACAGGCAGACAAGTTTTATAGTGGTTTATCACAACCTTCTGAGAAGTCAAGCCTAAAATCAGTATTTTAAAATAAAAATTAGTATATCAACATACTAAAGGTATTGCCTCTTTTGGAAAAAAAATCTTTCTAAAACAATGTGTTTATTTTGAGATAGTACTTTGGCTTCAGGATAGCATATGTTCTCAAAAAGGTCACAAATACAGCTAAAGACTCTGGCTTATCAAAAGTTAGGAGAAAAATATTTTTTCTTACCTTTGAAAAGGGTCCTGCAAAACGCCACAAGCCATTGAAACCAAAACCTGCAAAACATCAAATGCTACTCTTACAACAAGCAAGATAGCTTTAAATAGTAACAGAAATTAAGCTGTATAGCCGACAGACAGAATCTATGCAGAAATTTAAGACATTTAAAAGATACCTAAAATGTCCTTAAAATAGGCTCAGCATTTTTAATAAAGTGGGTAAGCAGTTATCTTATGGGACACATAGCTAAGAGTCAGAAAATTGCACAAAGGGAGAGAGAGAAGTATGAAGGTGCCTGTCCTTTATAGAGAATGCTACAGTCAGTGCTTCTGCAGGCCACAGTGCCACAGTGCAGGCTTATCAACCATCCTCTCCTGGTATACTTAATTACTTTGCAGGTAAGATGTTTGGTACTGTGGAGGGGATTCCTCATGGTACACCACACTCTGCACAATTCCATGGATTGGATTTAACAAATTTGGATCTTGGCACAATGACAAGAGGGTATTGATCTTAGAGTCCAACAAATTGTGCCTAAAAAAAAAAGTAAACAGAGGAACATTAAATAAAAAGATTTATTAGAAAGCATACTATATATTCCTTAGAACAATGTGGCAAAACTAAAGACAAATGCTTTTCTAAAGTACCCAGTGAGTGAGTGTGTGAGAGTGTGTGTATGCCTTTCATTTTAAGTCATCAGGGAAACACAATAAAAGCAAACAACTAGTAGCTATCACACAACCATGTCAAACTATACAAAGAGAATATTTTTCAAGACAGATATGGTTCTGTTTGCTGGTTAGCACACTCTGTACCCTCTATATCCTCTGTTGCTTGTTTCTATGTACTTACAGGGTTAAAATCAAATTTAATATTAACTAGTGACAAATCAGACTGAATTTTGCTAAGGAAAGCAAAATTAGTTTGGAAGGGGTAGAATGTGGAATCTTACGAAGAAATCATTTCCAAATCAGCTGCAACCTATTAGCAAAAAAAAAAATAAAAAATAATACCTAGATATTATTCAGAAACTTTAAAATGAGATTAAAAAACAACAAATGGTGAATGTTCAATAAGTTACACTCATGTATTCAGGGTTATGAACTAAAGTGTGATTATAATATCTTTAGTTGTTTCAAAATGTCCAATACTAAGTTCATTCTACTTCCCCTTTCACAGGCATGGGATTCTTCCAAGATTTTTATCTCAGCAATGAAACCACTACCATCCACTTTAACATGCAAACCATCAATCTAGCAGAGTATTCCTTAGGGACCTTCTCTAGTATACATCTAATCCATAACCAACTTCTATAATTCTTACCTCCTAAATGTGATTTTAACTCTACCTTTCCTTATATCCTAGATACTGGCCTCTTGGAATAGTCTCCTTACTACAATCTTTCTGAATCTATTGTTTCTTTCAACTCATTCTCAACATAATACCCAGAGTATATTTCCAGAGCAACTCACTACCAATCAAAGATCTCCCAACATCTCTGCACTGTATGAAGGGATATAACTCAATATATAATGATGACATGCACAAAGACTTCAGCTAGACTATGCCTTAGGTCCATCCTTCACCTTGAACTACCCATTGTTTTGCATTCCACACAAAGGCCCTTTTAGTTTTTTAAATTTGCCAACAACTTTCTGTCATAGCCGTCAGCTGATATATCTAAGAAGAAGGATTCTCAACTGAAGAACTGTTTCCATCAGATGATCTGTGAAACATTTTCTTGATTGCTAACTGATGTAGAGTGCCCAGCCCACTGAGGATTGTGCCAGCCCTGGGCAGGTGGCCTGGGATGCGTAAGAGAGGTAAATGAGCAAGTCAGTAGGCAGCATCTTCTATGGTCTCTGCTTCAATTCATGTACTGGCTTCCCTCAAACACTGGATTCTAACTCTTATGATGAAATAAAACCTTTTCTCATCAAATTTCTATTCTTTTTTTAAAAATTTGTTTTATTTACATGAACGTTTTGCCTACATGTATGTCTGTGCATCACATGGGACCCTGGTGTCCAGAGGCCAGAAGAGGGTATCAAATTCCCTGAACTGGAGTTCCGACAGTTGTGAGACACCATGTGGGCGCTGGCAATCAAATCAACATCCTCTGGAAGAGCAGACATGCTTTGACTGCTAAGCTACTCTCCAGTCCCTTTCCCAAGCTATATATATCATCAGTGTTTTATCACAGCAACAGAAATCAAACTAGAGCAAATACTTTGAAGTTAAAGTGTTGAGAGTAAAACCAACCTCCTAGTTAAGAGGTCAATTCTGTTTTCACTCAGCTGTGAATAAATACAGTGATTCTAATAAAAAGAAAACTAAGGGCTAGTGCGATGGCTCAATGGGTAAGGTGACAGCTGTCAGTTCTGATGACCTGAGTTTGATCTCCAGTATCAACATGGTGGAAGAAGAACACTGACTTCCCACAGCTGTCCTTTGACCTCCACATGTGTGCCACAGTAGACATGCATGTGTGCAGAGAAGTAAGTAAATACTAGAAGAAAAGATTTGGACACCCTCTCTCCCCAAGAAAACTAAGCAGGCTGGTTTAAATATAGCCATCTATCAGTTTGCTCTTGAGAAAACTGTACAATACTCATTAAGATAACCCACTAAAGTAAATCAGTAAGATTAAGAAACAAAAACAAACAAACGAAAAAATCAAAACAAAACACATGGTTTTAGCCACCATTAAAATATGGATTTTAAAAAAGATTTATTTTTCTTTTCAATCATGTATTTGCATATTTGTTTGTATGTGGGTATGTGAATGTGTGTTCAGTGTCCTCTGAGGCCAGAAGAGGATGCAAGTCCTCCACAACACTAGTACAGGTTCCTAACTGTTGAGTGATCTCTTCAGCCCCACAACTATGGTTTTTGTTTTGGGTGCTGGGGATCGACCCTGGGCCCTTGTGCATGCTAAGCATGTGTTCTACAAAGCTGTAGTCTCAAACCCTAAAACCATTAACCACCTCTCTCTATGGTTAAAAATGCCTGTTCCATTTCCCACTCTGCAGGTAGCAGACATCCCTGAAATACACTTCTGACACCTTTACAGAGCATCTAACACAGACAGATACAGAGGCTAGCTACAAACAACAGGAAATACTTACACAACAGGAAACACTTTGGGAAACACAACACTGGCCTCTGCTAGGTATTCATAAAGAATTCGTTGATCAAATTCATCTGTAGTATATTTTACCAGTGTAGCCTGCCAAGATGCAAAAGAAGTAAACATGTTGTGACTGAATCTTTCTTATTTTAGTGAAAACATCTTCCTCTCATATTTGTAATATTTACAGGCCTGCTAAGAGTGGACTGGAATAAGAATCTGAGTGGGTGCCCTCAAAAAGGGAAAGTCCTGCCAGGAGTGGTGGTGCATGCCTTTAATTCTGGCACTTGGGAGGCAGAGGCAGGCAGATCTCTGTGAGTTCGAGGCCAGCCTGGTCTACAGAGCTAGTTCCAGGACAGCCAGGGTTACATAGGGAGATTCTGCCTTGAAAATAAGTAAGTAAACAGACAGAGAGACAAACAAGGGCAAGGGTTCCTTACCAGAACAGTAAGAAGCAGTGCTTGTATCTTTGGATCAGTAAGTACTTCTTCATCCAAAAGAACATTTGATTCAGACACAGAGACTTTCCGTAAATGTGGGTGCTGCTGTGAGGAAATCCTTTGGGTTTCTGCAGTAGGATATGGATTAATGTAAATAGCTATATTAGTAGTCTCTACCGTCACTTTACTCGACACATTTTAATGAATTTAATTTAAAATTCAACAGTTCTTTAAACAGACATTTTAATTACCAATATAACTATCATACAGAGTTCTTATGTACTAATATAACAGCTAGTGATCTGCAGTACTGTGGTATCATTTATATATCATTTTATATTATAGATCTCCTATGTGTGTGTGTGTGTATGTGTACATACATACATACATACATACACACACACACACACACACACACACACACACACATAGACCTCAAATTTGTGATCCTCCTGCCTCTGTCCCTTCAACATATTCCACTAGCCAATTACTTTTACTGTCAACTTAAGGGCAATAGAGAACTTATCTTTGGAAGAAGAGTAATATTCTATATTGTACCCTAAAGATATAAGGACTACTGGAAGTGAATGTGCCTTCATTGTTTGCAATGATCTGGATTACTTAATCAGCTTTGTTTCTCACCCATTTCATAATCAGTTTCTGCCACTCTTCTCATTTTGGGGGGTGTTGTGATCCCTGATTCCATTTCTTGTCTTTTGGGAGCCTTTGTGTCTGATATCAAGTGATCAAAACTTTTTCTTGTTCCTATAAACAAAAGTTATAGCACATGAAAGTTCATTAAGCACAGAGTCTACAAATAGTAATATTCTAATCATTCAAGCTTCCTTGCAGGGCCTAAAGCGAGATGAAGCATCCTTGGAGCAGTCTCTAGGCATCGCTCTCCATTTCCTCTACACAGGTCTGGCCCACCGTGCTCCATGAAAGGAGGATCTTTACTGGTCTAAAAAACTACAATTACATTTACTATTCTGACGATAAGCTAGATTTCACCAACAAGAGCAAGTTCTGGAAACAAATACAGGGAGTAGATTTTGATCAGTGGAAAGTATAGGAAAACCTGAAAAGCCTCTTTAAATAAGGAGATTAAGCTGGTACCAAGCAATAGTCACTACTGATGAATTATTTTTGTAACATGTAGAAATTAAAGTTTGACTTTAGTTGTTCAAGATATGCATGCCCGTAAATGCTAAAGATTAGATACACAAGGAGACAAGTAAGTGCAGCAAGTAGTCCTGTCTCACACTTGGCCTTGAGCTCCCTAATCATGTACACTGGTATCTAAATGTCTTTCTCTTAAAGTAGAATTATTTATAACACATTACATGGTATTTACCTATCTTTGCTCTTTACACTCAGAGAATGTCTCTTCTTTCTTGGAGCAGTTCTAAAAACCAATATGGGGCTGAGTACGTAGCTCAGTGGTGGAGTACTAGTCTAGCTAGTGTAGGACCTCAGTTTAATGTTCAAAAACACACACAAATGAATTCATTAAAAAAGCCAAAATTGAAGCCAATATTACAAAAATCTGCCAAGTGATTATTTGACAAATAAATGTTCTGACCTCATGTACTAAGACTAATAAATAATCACAAATATCAAGGGCAAAAGAATCTAGAAGAACCTAGTCCAGTCTCTTCCATTCGGGCAAATGGAAAAAGTCATGAGTGGTTAAGTGGTTAGCCTGAGGTCACATTGCTAAGGATCCTGTACAGATCAGGCTGAAAACGCCAATTTTTCTGAAACCAATCAGTGCTTGGAGTTAGGTGATCACTCTATTGATTTTTCTCCTACCTTCTCTTTTGTTTCACTTGTGGTAGCTCCTGGGTGATCTCCTTCTTGTCCTACAGCTCAATTATCTAACTCAGTTTGTTTTTTGAGACAGTTTCTCTATTATGTGGCTCTGGCTGTCTTTGAACATGCTATGTAGATCAGTCTGACCTTAAACTCACAGAGATCCACCTGCCTCAGCCTCCTGAGTGCTGGGATTAAAGGTGTGCCCCAACATACCCAGCTCTTATTGGTTCTTTAAGGTGAACACATGAAAAATCTTCTTCCAGCTTTGAATGCACAGTGTCGCACTGCTGCTCTCCACAGTCACCCAATGTGCAACAGCAAAGCAGTGTTCCTCCTTCTTTGTGCCCACCAGTCTCTTCCACATTTGAGTGACATCATATAGTGCTTGTTTTTGTGCCTGACTTATTTAACACAGTAATCTCTCACTCTACCCATGTAGTCACAAATTACAGTATTTCATTTTTCTGGCTATTGTTTATAGATTCAAATGTAAAATAATGCTTTATCTTTTCATTAGCAGATGGACACTAAGGTTGCTTTGTTTTCTTTGCTTTTTTTCGAGAGTCCAGCAATCCACATAGAATGTAGCTATCTCTTCAACACGCTGATTTGACTTCCTTTGAATATATATCTAGTAGTGAAAAATGATAGCTCCAGCCCAGCCAGTTAAGAGCTATTTAATTAAAGTTTTATTTTATTTATCAACAGGGCCCACTATGTAGCCTGGGCTAGCCAGAGACATGTCAAGTAGCCTAGGCAGGCCTCTATTTGTGCTCCTCTTGCAGCTGCCTCATGAGAACCATAGGTAGTACAATCATGCCTGATTGGCAGTTTTTGAAGCCAGAAACCTACAGCATCTTTCACAGTCATCTCTCTTCCCACCTGACTCCTCAGTGAGGCATGAACTCTTTTTTGGTTTTACGAGACAGGGTTTCTCTATATTGTTTTGGAGGCTGTCGGACCAGCCTGACCTCGAACTCATAGAGATCCGCCTGCCTCTGCCTCCCGAGTGCTGGGATTAAAGGCGTGTGCCACCACCGCCCCACAAGGCATGAACTCTTTTCTGTCCATTCTCCTTTGAAAATACACTTCACAATGGGCTATTTTCCCAGAGGTTTGGCCTTAGAACAGCTGGCGCTGTTTTTTTTTTTTCCTCTGTTAGGTTGCTGAGTCAATCTTATAAATGGTCCCCTTGAAAAAGACCTTTCTCCACACTGTTATCAGGAAAATGTTCTAAAAAATAAAAATTATATTTTGTTCCTTCCTTAATTCAAGATCTCTGTGGGATGTATGATATGATACATCTGCCACCACGGCAGTCTTAGTTGTTGTGTTGAGACAGTATCTCTCTAACAGGCCTGGCTGTTCTGGAACTCACTGTGCAGACTAGACTGGCATCACACCTCCACCTCTGTGTGCCAGCATTGAAACTGAGCCACCACACCCAGCCACAGCAGGTTTTCACGGCCATGCTGTACTTCTCCAGCCTCATTTCCCATAACACTCTGGTCTACTGCCAGTTGCTCTCCCACTCTCTTCAACCACTGCACTTCCTCTCCTGAATGCACACCCTTCCTATCGCGCCTACCTGACTACTATGTATTACATCTTAAGATCTGGCTCAAATATTACGTCCTAATTTCCTAAGATTTCCAGTTTCTTCATCAAAAATTATTGCTTTAATGCCATCTGACATATACTGTTGTCATTAGGTGATGTTAAGTCATAGCCAACAACAGAGACCCTATCTTTTCTACCTAAAGCACAGTTTGAAGGTATTTAATAACACATTTTCTCTGAGGTTAATTTTTCACTTACAACTTCCTTGGCATGGAAATCCATAATTACAAAACACAAAGTAACCAGGAAACTCCTGGCATTACTGATGACAAAGGATTAGCAGAGAGAACTCAAATAGAAGGCTACAGACGTGTGTAACAATGACTGGCATTTGTTATTCTTCCTTTCAACATTTACTGGAAGGTTATTTGTGTTATACTTTGTTGTCTGCTCACCAATTTCCTTGTGAACACAAACATTTTCACAATAATATCTCAAGATACTAAGTATTTTTGCATGGGTAATTGAAACCCACATTCACATTAATGGTTGCTAATTATACACTCCAATCTACCTGAGTAACAAAGAAAGTGGCAGCCAGTAAAAGGCAAGCAGGGCCTCACATTTGCTCTGTGGGTCTGTAAATGTTCTCTTTCAGGAACTCACTTATCAGTTACGGGACAAGAAGGACTCATCTATTTCTCATAAGAATGTTCAATGAACTGAGCAATGTTAACTGTCAAAAATCGTATCTCGGGCTGGCAAGATGGCTCCTGGGTAAAAAGCGCTTGCCTTGAGGGCCTGACAACCTGAGTTCACAGGTTCATAGACATAAAGGTGAAAGGAGAGAACTGACAAGACAAGGCTATCCTCCAATCTCCACCTGTGTGTGTATGTGTGTGTGTGTACAAAAACAAACATGAATTTCTAAAAGGAATATCCTCTTCTTAGCTAAAAAATAATATGGTGACTGGTTTCAGATCTCAGTGATACATTCTGTTTTCAAAATAATAATTTAGGGAAAGTTACCATTACAGATCCTAGTACAGCAATGCTTCTTTCTTTTATCTAATGACTCTTACTTATACTGTCTGCTGCCCCAAAATTAAAAGCCATAGTACTTAAAAATAGAAAATTAATAACACAGAATAAGAATCAAACTAAACTCAAAGCTGTTCCAGTCTCATTCTCAAAGACATAGCTGAACTGATCCATCAAAATCAAACTCCCTTATAAAAGCCTCACAAAGGATGGAGAGACAGCTCAGTGATTTATAAGCATTTGGTAGTCTTCTAGAGAATCAGGTTCAGTTTCCAGCAAGTACAGGAAGCTCACAAATATCTGTAACTTCAGTTCCAAGGGATTTGATGCTCTTCTGGCAACCACGGGCACCAGGCACACTTGTGGTACACATCCATACAAATGCAGGCAAAACACTCACACACATAAAGTAAATAAAAGAAATTAAAAAGTCACAAAAAGATTTTGTTGTATAAAAACAGTAAATGCTGACAATCTAAAATAGTTTCAAATATTTCCAAGAGAGAAAATAGCTAACCATTTCTCACAGTAACAATAATGTAAAAATTTATACAAGATTAAGATAAACTAACCAAGTAATTTCTTTGTGTTGGCTTGAGAAGGCTGTCCCATGTCCAAGCTCATGGATTTCCTGGCTCGGGGACTGGTCTGGCCTACAGATGGGTAGGTAGCTGCAAGGTATCCTTCTGAACCCTTGGGAGAGGACCATGGCTGGTTCTCCTTTAATGTCCTAAGAAATTTAAACAATTTAGAAGAACTAATTAACAAGATGACAAATATAACCACTATTCACTGATTCCTAATAGTTATACCATTTCCTAATGATGGCAATAAATTAACTTGAGGGGACTGGAGAGATGGCTCAGTGGTTAAGAACACTGACTGCTTTTTGGGAAGACCTGGGCTCAAGTCCCAGCACTCACATGGCAGCTCACAACTGTCTAATTCCAGTTCCAGTGAACCTGGCACACATAGCAAAACACCAATGAACATAAAATTTAAAAAAAATTTTAAAAAATTGAAAAATACAACATTTTTGCCTGGTGGTGGTGGTATTTGCCTTTAGCCCCAGCACTCAGGAGGCAGAGGCAGGTGAATCACTGTAAGTTCCAGGCCAGCCTGGTCTACAGAGTGAGTTCCAGGACAACAGACTCCAAAGCTACACAGAGAAACCCTGTCTCAGAAAACTGAAAGAAAAAAAAACTTGAAAACTGCACTTTAAAGTGCTATAGGACACTGCTACTTGAGAAGCTACAGCAGTTCTAGTACTGGAAAATAAAAAGGGAAACGTCTGTGTGAACTCCATCAACTGTCTATTTCCTGATTGTCTTTAATAGAGTCCAGAAGAAGTATTTATGGCAATCCGGAATCCTCTGGAGTGGCACTGCAAGCAAATGGATCACTTTGTTGGACTCAATTTCAACTCTAACTTTAACTTTGCACTAGTTGGACACCTCTTAAAAGGTAAAGTTTCCTTTTATCAGGATGTTTCATGAAATAGTATCAAGAAGCCAGAAATAACTAAAAGAAATTGATTACTTGAGCAACCATGCAGGTGCTGAGAACTGAACTCACTTCCTTTCTGTAAGAGTATAAGTGCTGGACTGGAGAGATAGCTCAGAGGTTAAGAGCACTGGCTGCTATTCTAGAGGTCTTGAGGTCAATTCCCAGCAGATTACAACCATTTTTTTTTGTTTGTTTTGTTTTGTTTTTGGAGACAGGGTTTCTCTGTATTGCTTTGGAGCCTGTCCTGGAACTTGTTCTATAGACCAGGATGGCCTTGAACTCATAGATCCACCTGCCTCTGCCTCCCAAGTGCTGGGATTAAAGGTATGAGCCACCAATGCCCAGCCTGATCATAACCATCTTTAATGAGATCTGGTACCCTCTTCTGGCCTGCAGAGACACATGCCCATATAAAATACTGTGCATCTGAAGAGGAAGCTTTGATCTCTACACTTCCTAGATCATCTTTTTTTTTCCTAGATCATCTTGAGAAGCCACTCTACTCTCTTCTAGATTACTTTGCTGCTAGTCTCTATCACATGAAAACTGAAGCCTGACTATACTTATTTAGCTGTGTTATCATGTTCACTTACCTATAGCTAGGATCACCATGAAGAATGGGGTATGTATCCATAGGAACATTTTCCATCGAAATATCAGTTAGAAGAAGGGACTTTCTATGCTTGAGGCTACAGCGACTTCGAACCTCTTCAGACACTGTGAGTAGAGCTAACAGGAAAAGGAAAGCAGGTAAGAAACACAAATGTGACCTAAAACAGGATTCACTTCTTCCAAACTTAAGAGGTTATTACTATTAAGTGTACACATAAAAGCCTCTGAGAGTGTGAGATGGAAGTGTATAAACATGCAGCATGGACTTGTCCTCAAGAGTTTATAGTCTACATAAACATGAAACACACAAAGAAATTTGATAAACACCTTACTTTCTCAAGCACTTGATTGCCTATTTGGTTTCAATAATCTCAAAGAGCAGACAGGGCATGTATCCGAAATGCACTGATAAAAATATTCTGGGATGTAAAATGGTTACTTCAAAGCTACATGTTTGAAACAAAAGAAAATTGGCAAAATGCAAATTTTCTAAAGTAAGAATGGGCATCTTCCATCAAACTACATTGTCTGGGTAGAATACAGCAAATATCGGGTAAGACATAATTAGACAGTTTAGTAAATGGTGGGAATGGACAGGCATTCCAGGTAAAATAGCACAAGGAATGAGTATTAAAGAGACAGAAAACCCTGTAAGAGACAGCAAGCAGATTGGTTTGAAATAGCCTGTCCATTTGGAGAGGCTATAAAAAGACATGCCCATGAAATTTAGATAAGAGGATAGAATAGAAGGCTATGAAGGCCTGGGATGATAGGCTGAGGCAATTCAATTTTAGGACATTTCAGATCCCAATGCAAATTTTTTCATAATCAAAAATGTTTTGGCAAAACCTTTACAGTTTCAAATACCAAAGGACTGAACTGTGAATGCTCTTTTTGGTCAAAGAACTAGCTGCAAAGACCTGAAGCTAGTCATGGGTATCTTTTGGTGATTCTAAGACAATGATACAGTTAGACTAATTTTGTCAATTTTGTGCTTTTACCTGCTAAGTAAGCCACACTCTGTGTATTCACCTCAAATTTGTCACAATTTCTATGTTTGTTAACAAGAGTTAGTAGTGTATGCAAAATTCTGACTGTTCTTGCAACAATGGCAGGTGAAGGATGCCTGTACCCTATAAAAACAAAAACAAATAACAAGTTAACGTCGTCCATGAACAAATGTTTGAGCTCTTATGCTGTGACAAGTAATTACAAGAAAAGGAAAATTCCTGCCATCCAAGAATAGCCATTTGTGTGAAGTTAATTATACATAAGATTAAGTACCCCGCATGTATAGAAGAAGATATTCCCTGAAACCCTAAAGGAGAGGGCATTAGGAAAGATTATTGATTTTTCATTTCCTAAAGAAACACAGAGGTTACAAATAAATGCAAACAAAACTAAGCATTAGAGGTCCCCTTGAGATTTCATTTGAAATAAGGGCTCTATTACTTAAAAAGGGTTTCTTCTTTGGGGCTGGATCAGTGTTAGAGAGGATTAGAGCTTGGTTCCCATGACCCACAAAGTGGCTCACAACCACCTATACTTCCAGTTCCAGGGGATCCAGTGTGTCTTCTGGCCATCTTAGGTGTTACACATATATGCACACAGGCAAAACACTCAAAACACATAAAATAAAAATAAATAAATCTTTAAAAATTATTTCTTCTTTCTCTTTTTTCTTCCTTGCTTGGTTTGGGTTTTTGTTTTTGATTTTTGAGGCAGGGTCTCACTATGTAACTCTGGACTAGGCTGGTCTCAAACTCACAGAGATTTACCTGTCTGTCTTCCAAGTGCTGGGATTAAAGGTGTATAACACCATACTTAGCTTAGCATATATTTATTTATTTTATAAAAACTGCCCACCTTAGAAGAGCATGGCTACAAAGCTATGAAATCAGCAATGAGCAGCTAAAGCTAGGTAAGAAAGTGAATTAGCTCTACTCTAGTGGAGATGGTTGGCTATAAAAACATCAATGAGATATGGAAGAGCAGTACCAGAATGGTGAGGCTCTAAGGCACATAGTACATAGTACTATGAGTACTTGTACACAGTACAAGAGTGCTGATAGGGAACATATTAGAAACAAGTTGAAGAGTACCTATGATCATATCTGAAAATCAATGCACACTAAAATGGAAATCCCTTTTACTCCTTGGCAATATGGAGACTGAACCCATGGCCTTGGACAAAGGTTCTACAACTGAGCTAGTCCCTAAGCCTTCTGGGGTTAAATCTGTACAATAATATTCTGTAATATATATATATGAAATAACATAAATATGTAGTACACTATTAACCAATAATGAGTAATTAAGTGCTCAGTACTTAGGAATTTTACTATGAATTATTTTGCTCTTTTAAGATCTGATATGGAAATTAGGTTCAAGTTAAATACTTAGTAATTGAAACAACTCATGCATGATGTTTTTCATTTTAAAGTAAAACATATGGGCTAGATTACATCAATTTATTTCAAGTAATCAATTTCTTTTAGTTATTTCTGGCTTCTTGATACTATTTCATGAAACATCCTGATAAAAGGAAACTTTACCTTTTAAGAGGTGTCCAACTAGTGCAAAGTTAAAGTTAGAGTTGAAATTGAGTCCAACAAAGTGATCCATTTGCTTGCAGTGCCACTCCAGAGGATTCCGGATTGCCATAAATACTTCTTCTGGACTCTATTAAAGACAATCAGGAAATAGACAGTTGATGGAGTTCACACAGACGTTTCCCTTTTTATTTTCCAGTACTAGAACCCTAAGTCTACTAAGTAATACACACACACACACACACACACACACACACACACACACACACCTGGCTCAGATGCTTGGTTTTAAAAACTTTTATTTATGTTGAAAAGCTATGACATGCTGAGTAATTCAGTTTCAGAGAAATTTCTTTTTAGTTAACAGAGAACCCATAAGAACATTTATGGTACTATAAATGTAAGATAGTTGAAAGATTGGTAATAAGACAGTGGAAAACTCAAATTGCTTTGCTTTACAACACATGATGTGTGTGTGTTGTGGTGTGCTTCATTGGGGGGTGCTAGGGATTGAACTCAGGGCCTTGTGCATCGTAGGCAAACACTCTACCACTGGGCTACATCTGCAGTCCCACAATACCCAATTTTGAGCTATTATTTTGGGGGGGGGCTTTGGAAATGGAATCCCATTTATTATCAGGCTGACCTTGAACCTGCTATGAGGCAAAGGCTGGCTAATACCTTCTGTCTATACTTCTCAAGTGCTAAGACTGTAGCCATCAGTCACAATGCCCAGCTACTTTTGACTGATAACTGCTACCAAACTCACACAGAGATTCACTATGTTGCCTATGTAGGTTTAAAACTTCTTCTGTAGCTTCTCAAGTAGCAGGACTGAGAGGCATGCACTACTACCCTGACTCTACTGTTTCAGTGAATACTTTGGTAATCTCAATAAAGTTTTACTAACTTGATTCCCAGTACTTTAGGGCCTTGTTGTCAAGATTAGTCTCTCTTTCTTTGATGTTCCAGAAGTGAAATGAATGGCAAGGCAGGAGCTGATGAGATGGCTCAGTGGTTAAGGGTGCTTGTTACCAAGTTGGATCACCTGAGTTCTATCCTTGGAATCCACATGGTAGGAGAGATGACTCCCACAAATTGTACTCTGATCTCCATACATACTGTGATATGCATTTATCCCAACAAACAAATAAACACACGTGAAAGAAAGAAAATGGCGGGAGGTAGAGGCAGGTGGATTTCTGTGAGTTCGAGGCCAGCCTGGTCTACAGAGTGAGTTACAGAACAGCCTCCAAAGCCACAGAGGAATCCTGTCTTGAAACCCACCCCCCACCCCCAAAACTGTCAAGGAAGATGCTTTAAAGACATCTATTTTATCTGTAAATCTTCTTAGAATACAAACAGCCAATAGACAGCCACTATTGGAAACCATCATTATCTCAAGACAAGTCCAGAGCAGAACAATGAAGTTAGGCAAGAAGGGGCTAGCTCAGAAGCAGACATACTTCAGGTACTTAACTTCTTCACTGCTTCCCTTTGTGTGGACAGTGGTCTGACTGATAAACTTCAAGGTGTCTTCTATCTATCACTTTGTTCCCACACTTCCTAGACATCCAGCTGTTTTGGGTCTGTACCGCATTATACACACTGAACAAGTACTTTCAGACCAGGTTATTCATATTTAGGTCACATTCTCAGTTCACTTCACTTAGTAGAAATTTCCAAACATAAATGCATGAACATGTAAACACACATTCTCTTTTCAATAGAATCTTTTCTTTTTTCCTAGGTTGTTTCCATTTTTCTCCAAAACAAAAGGAATATAATTTTACACTGGCTTTGAAACAATACTTTTCATTTATTTAGTGAATGTATGCTTTTATTATGTCACTGTGTAAGTCCCGGCAATTGAATTTAGGTTGTCAGGCTTGGTGCTAAGTACCTCTTCTTGCTAAACCATATCACTAGCTCAATTTTGTACTGTTTAATTTTATCCTCTATACTCGAAGCCTAAATCCGACCCCTATCTAGGTTAATAAATGTGAAGGGGACTGGTAATGTATACTTTAAAGGGGTGGGGGGAACTAGTATAATTAAGCACCTAACACTTCTCTTTAGATTCTCCAACTTCCTTATCTGTTACTAATTGTACAGATTTTTTTCAAGTATATTTTTCAATAAAAATAACTTTTCTTATTGAAAAACTGAAAAATAAAGTCTAATACATATTATAAATAAAAATAAATAGGGAGGGATAGAGAATGAAAATAAGCAATAATGAATGCACTGGACTTGGTGTGGGAGCTATTATTACTCCTCAGTACTACTTTAAAATTAAGAAAAAATATATTTACTTATTTTATGTTCATGGGTGTTTTACTTCCATGTATGTTTGTGCATCATGTGGGTGCAGTGCCAAAGGAGGCCACAGAGGACACTGGGTTCTTGGGACTGGAGTTAGAGACGGTTGTAAGCTGCCACGTGGGTGCTGACAAGAGCAGCCAATGCTCCACTGCTGAACCATCTTTCCAGCCTTACTTATTACTATTATAATCACTAAGAGAAAGGCAGATTGTTTTGGCTATTTTTATGTAGAAAGTATGGATTAAATAGTTTTTAGTGACCTATTAAGGAACTATACTTAAAATAAATGCATTAAACTGATATTAAATATGAACCGTTTTCAATTTCTAGAGAACCATAGAAGAGAAGGAAAAGACTCACTGTGAGCAATATGGAACTCAGAGAAAAGTCCATACACTCACCTTGTCATTGAATATCCGGAGACTATCTAAGGTGTGCAGGTTTTGTTCCAGAAGTGCAGTGCCTGCTGAATACAAGTTGACTTCATCCAGCTGCAGCACAGCCACGGCAACCCAAAAGAGGGCTTTGTGCAGTGGTGAGTCCTAGCAAAGGAGACACACTCCAGGTTAGTGTGGCAAACCAAGAAACATATGCTGCAGCATAACACAAAGCAGGTTACCTCACCAAATTCCTCTGTTTTTTCTCCTTTGGGGAACATGAATAGACAGATAAATACTTAGTCCCCTTCATGTGTCTAATTAAAAATATCATCAGCTAGGCTAAGAGCCTGAGCTTCCTCCAGGATTTCTCCCAATTCTGGATGCCAAATTCAGTCCCCAGAGTTTGCTGACTCTTCTATGGTCCTCTCTGACACCTGGCATTTCTTTGTTACCACTGCAGACAGAACCCAAGCTAGTCTTTCTGCAGCCTGCAGTCCCTCTCTTCTCTGATCTACTGAGGACTCTGGGCCACCCGTGTCCTGCTGTTATCATACTAGGAAATGATAATTTCCAAACTCCTTTCGGGAGACCATTGAATTTAGATTAATTCTACCCAATATTTAAAATTTTCTCTATCAACTCACTAATAGAATGGTCTGTCCACTACTCCACTATCCTACTTATTTCTAATTCCAATTAGACTCTACCCTTTCAACTTTTCATTCTTACTAGTATAAACTTTAAAAAAAAAACTAGTATAAACTCTTACTCATTCATATGCATTCCATCTCTCCTTCATTCCCCTTCCCCTCTCTTGGTGGAGATGAAACCAGGGTCTTACACATGCTAAGCAAATGCTATACCTTCAATTACGCCCCTAGCCCAGCATACAACTCTTTTTGATGACCAGGTATACTTCTCTTGGCTTTATATTTCTCTGTAGTATAATCATTAATTAATACTAAGTCACAGTTAACTGACTTTATTTGCTCACTTCTTTATTAACTTTGTTTATTATATCTTTAAGCACTACCAGATACACAGAAGATGCTCAATGAAGACTTTATTAGATGAAAGAATTAAGAGTTTATACCTATCTTTTTTAGCACCAAAGAGAAAAAAAATATATCACAAACACATAAGCCCAGGAGAAAAGATGCACTTATTTCTTCTTCCTCTACTACAAACTAACTCTTGGGACAGAGGCTCCACTTTGCCTACAGATCCTTCTTTACAACCTCTTTTCCATCTACCCTCCTTTTTCTTTTTTCTTTCCTCCACTCTTCCTCCCTTCCTTTCCTTCTCCCCTAACCCTTCCTTTCCTTTTGAGACAATTATTCTCTATGTAGCCATGGCTGTTCTGGAATTTGCTATGTAGACCAGGCTGTCCACAGGCCCAGAGACTGACCTGCCTTTACTTCATGAGTGCTGGGACTAAAGGTGCGGGTCACCATGCTAGGCCAACCCATCTTATTTTCTAACTCTTATGACAAGAGACTCCACTTTGACTATAATTTCTTCTTTATAATATCTTTTAAACCTATCTTATTTTCTAAACTCTGTAAAAGGAAAGGACACACAGTAACAATACCCAAAATGAATAAATTCATGGTCTATACAATAATTACCTTATTAAGAAGTGGCTGTAATTTTGTTAGAGCTATCACTGTAGCTTCTATCAGAACTTGACTGTTGTAAGTATCAGGGCCTTTTAAGCAACTTTCAAGTGCCTTTTAAGAAAACAAAAATCTTTACTTTACTTTTCATTGAAATAAAACATCAGCTGCTATGATGAATCTCAGATTTACCTGAGAATTTAAGTATTTGACAAGTATTTTATTTGACAATTTCTAATAATGGTGAACACTGTATAACTGGTTTCTTATTTTTAAAATATTTGTATATTACATCCTATTAAGGAGGGCATTACTATATTATTTATAAATTATAAAGTTTTATATAAGGCAACAAGGTTTTGGAAACACAGAACATATTAAGTGTACCTAATAAGAAAAGAGTCAAAGATTCTCTCTATTATGCAGCGCTGACTGTCCTGAAACTTGTCATGTAGACCAGGTTAGCTTCAAACTCACATAAATCCACCTGCCTCTGTATCCAGAGTGCTAGGGGTTAAAGACATGCACCACCATGTTGAACTTAAAGGTATTTTCTTTAGATAAGATTTCATCACTTCAAATAATTACAGTAAAGAAAAATTGCTCAAAAATAAATATTCAATTAAATTTTGTTTTTGTTTTGTTTTTCTTTACAGGGTTTCACTGTGTAACAGCCCTGGCTGTCCTAGAACTCACTCTATAGAACAGGGTGGCCTCCAACTCACAGAGATCTGCTTGCTTCTGCTTCCCAAGTGTTGGGATTAAAGGCATGTGCCACCATGGCTTGGCATTTAATTAATTTTAATTGTTTTTAAAAACTGGAGGGTATACTTTGTAATTTGGGACAAATCTTTGGGAAAGGTGGAGTAAGTACCTTGCTAAGAATTCGGATGATCTGCTTTATCTGTCCATGAGATACACGCTTGCTTATGCAGCCAAACACCACAAGAGCTCTTGGCTGCAGGGATGGGTTGTACTGGAATGCAAACCTACAATCAAAAGAGCCAAAGAACTGATGAATGCCTCTGTGTCTATGTGCACACCGATACAAGACTGACTATGCTGCAACAGTTACTCTCAACAATACATATACGTCTACATTTACATTTGACTTAGGACACACCTTTGTGCTAGCTCTGTCCACTGATCCAGCCACTTGCACGTTGGAATATCTCTCATACATGCCTGAAAAACAGGATATTCTGAATATATGTGTACATAAATGTTTCTAGAAATAGTTAATGTTCATCATGTCATTAAGTGATATTTGTTATTAGAAAAAAAAACACATTCCAGGAACTGGAGAGATGGCTCAGCAGTTAAGAGTACTTGCTCTTGAAGAGGATATAGGTTCTGTTCCCAGAATCCACAAAATGGTTCACAATCATCCATAACTCCTGTTCTAGGGAATTTGATGTCCTCCTCTTCTGACCCTCAGGCACCAGGTACACATGTGGTGCATATACACGCAGGCAAAGCATTCATACACATAAGGTAAAATAAATCTAATTTAAAAAATGAAATATCTTAAAAAAAATAAAAAATAAAAAAAATGAAATATCTTAAGTTCTATGTGTAATTTAGAGAACAAACAAGCATTTCCTCTGTATATTACAAAATTATTATCATTATTATTATTGTTGTTGTTTTTTTGGTTTTTTGAGACAGGATTTCTCTGTGGCTTTGGAGGCTGTCCTGGAACTCACTCTGTAGACCAGGCTGGCCTCGAACTCACAGTGATCCACCTGCCTCTGCCTCCCAATTGCTGGGATTAAAGGCGTGCAACACCAACACTCGGCTACAAAATTATTTTTCACACAAGACATTACTATGTAGCCCTGGCTGGCCCAGAATTCCTTACAGAGACTCAGTTGGCTTCAAACTCACAGATATCATGCCTCTGTCTTCTGAGTGCTAAGATTAAAAGTTTGTGCCACTATACCCTGCATATTGCATACTTTAAATATGATTTTAATTTAGTTTCTTGTTTTTCCTTCTATACCTCCATGATCTCCAACAAAGCCTCTGTGACAGTCTCCAGGGATGTCAAAGCAAAAGTCTCCCTCTCGTAGGAGCCTGGGGAGAAAGACCGGTCCCGGTAGCTGGAACGGAAGGCAATCACAGCAGCTGACTTCACTTTGCTAATGCCAAACAGTAAGTAAAATTTGGGTAATGAGAATTCTGTTAGACTGAGCCTCAAAACTTGCTTGGTCTCTTCTGTAAAAGAAAAAGAAAATATCAATATTTTATTTCTAAAGTGGTATGTTTCATCTTGAATTCAAGAAAATTTAAATATCATGTAAATATCACATAACCACATCCCCAAGTCAAATTTCTTAGGTGTATTTATTATATTAGTGGCTACATAATATACTGGCACTAGTAATGCAAAACTATCAACTTACAGTAAGCTCTTAGGTTATATGATAATTACAGCTATCTGTACGACAAACATAGAAAGCCTTTATTATAGCTTGCCATAGCATGGAAGTCATTTTAATTATTTTCTTGTTTGATAGAATTTCAAGTTACTGCTTGTATGCTGGTGAAACAACACCATCACAGGAAGAAATCTACAGCAGTCAGGTAATGTAAAGCTAAGAAAAGAACTAGTAAAAAAGATAACCTTCCCCTGTCTTGAAATAATAAAACAAAAAAATTACCTTTTTGTAACTTACCACTAAAATGAAGCTGTGAACAAGTACACAGAGAGTGAATGATATTAATGACCAGTCCATGTGTGGAAGCTCGAAGGGACAAGGGACCTGTGGCTACTAAGAAAGTAACAACATGGAAGAGATAGGGAAGGTGAGCTGCCACATCCAGGGAATTGTTGAAGGACAGCATCAGCATGTAGCGGGCTAAAATAGCAATATCATCCCACATAAGATGTTGTTCTAAAGTTGGAGTTGGAGATAAGCAAGTCTTGTCAATTATTTTACACATCCTTCCAATAACCTGTAAAGAAGAACATATTTTTATAACATGAGACTAACAGTTTCTTCACTAAAAAAAGTTTAGGGAGTTGCAGAGAGAGGGCTCAGAGGTTAAATAGCTGCTCTTGCAGAAGACTTTGGTTTCCAGCACCCACATGGCAGCTCACAACCATCTGCAATTCCAGTTCCAGGGGATCTAGTACACTCTTCTGGCCTCTGCAGACATTGCACACATGTGGCACACATACATATATATAAAGGAAAAATAAATAAATCTTAAAAAAATAAATTCAGGGTCGATGAGATGGCTCAGCAGGCTAAGGTGCTCATTGCCAAGCCCCATACCTTGGATTTGATACCTGGGACCCATCTGGTGGAAGGAGAGAACTGACTCCCACAAGTTATCCTCTGATTTCTACATGTAAGCCATGGCCCATATGTACACACACACACACACACACACAAACACACACATACACACACACCACTTTCTCATAAATAAATAAACAAGCAAACAAATAAATAGTTTAATCTTGGCTAGTTAGAGTAAAACTCTCAAGATGATAAACAGAAATACTACGGCATAGTCCAAGAGGATATAGAAAAAGCGGTTACCTTACTTGATACCAATTTCACATTTCCAGAAGCCAAAGCCACAGCCGTATCTGCCATCACCTCAGCTTTGATAGACCCCAGGCCTCCTGTAGCACTGGTCTTGATGAAACTGTCAAGCACAACGTCCAGCAGGTCTGTGATCTGGAGAAACAAGGAAAGTCTTGCTGTTTCCAAGCACACTGAAGGTTTAACCTTTAATTAAGAAACTCTCAGAGGAGCCCAAGAAGCAGAGACATCCTGATTACACCCAGATTTTCAAAGTTCTAGACTTAGGGACTTGTAAACCATCCATGGAAGAGCAACAGCAGTATTCAGAGTTTAAACATCTGTACACGCCTATCTTCAGCTGCTTAAAAAGTCTCTCTCTGCTCTTCTAAGACAGTAACACATGACCAATCTAATTACTTTAACAACATCATACAGTCAGGAAATTGGCTCCAATGTCATTTATGTCTTTTAGAGGATTCACAGCATTGTCTGAGTAAGGATATGCTTCCTTAAGTGATCATTCTGAAAGAATAGTATGTACCTCCCTTGTCAGATTAAGAAAAGTAGTATCATAGCCTATGCTACAACAATAGAAACCAGATGTTCTGAACAACAGCATTAAGAAGTATTTACTGAGATCTGTAGTGTGTACAGGGACTGGGGTACATATTTAAACACTATTTACTAAGAGTGACAACAGGTTTCTACAGTTAAACTCTATACAATTATGTAAGGAGGAGAACTCTGAAATGCATAGCTATTCACAGGGTTGGGTCTATATGCTTCTCAAAGAGAGAATGCTGTGCTCTGTGTAACATGGGCACCAAGAGTTACTAGCATAAGGAGGCACTAGGCAAGTATCAGTGCAAATTCAATACCTGCCCAAGGCTTCCCCATATTTTTGCTTGAATAGAAGGGTACATCTGCTTCTCGTTTATGGTCATTGTTATTAGCTTATCAAGGATGGCAGTAACCCTTTGTCGTTTGGCATCATCATTGTGCTTACAAAAACGAACTAGATTTGATAGCCACGGGGTCATATATTCCAAACAAAGGTGCTTCAATTCAATACCTGTGGAAAAAATACTCCATTAGTACAGATAGTCAATGAAAATTACACTCATTTTATTTTTGTGTATGAGTTGGTTTTTTTTTTTTTTCTTTTTGAGACAGGGTTTCTCTGTATTGTTTTGGAGGCTGTCCTGGAACTTGCTCTGTAGACCAGGCTGGCCTTGAACTCACAGAGATCCGCCTGCCTCTGCCTCCCAAGTGCTGGGATTAAAGGCGTGTGCCACCAGCATCTGGTGTGTATGAGTATTTTGTGCACATGTGTATCTGTGCAACACATGCTTGATTGATACCCTGGGACCAGAGTTACAGATGGTTGTGAGCTGGGTGCTGGGAATCAGACCCAGGACTTCTGGAAGAGCAGCTAATATTTTTAATTGCTGATCCACCTCTCCAGCCCCAGCAATGATTTTATCATGAAGAAATGGAGGGAAGGTTGAAAGATCTGTAGTGTACACACACACACACAAACACACACACACACACACACACATTTTAAAAGAATAGCCCTACTATATACAGACGATAAAAGGGCTGAGAAAGAAATTAGAGAAACATCACCTTTTACAATTGCCACAAACAATATAAAATACCTTGGGATAATGCTAACCAAATAAGTGAAAGACCTGTATCACAAGAACTTTGAGTCTTTAGAGAAAGAAATTAAAGAAGACACCAGAAAATGGAAGGATCTCCCATGCTCTTGGATAGGTAGGATTATTGTAGTTAAAATGGCACTCTTGCCAAAAGCAATCTACAAACTCTATGCAATCCTCATCAAAATGCCAGCACATTTCTTCACAGAACTTGAAAGAACACTTCTCAACTTTACATGGGAAAACAAAAGACCCAGGATAGCCAAAACAACCCTGTTCAACAAAGCAATGTCTGTTAGGCATCACCATCCATCCCTGACTTCAGGCTCTACTATAGAACTACAGTCCTGAAAACAGCTTGGTACTGGCACAAAAATAGACAGGTAGACCAATGGAATAGAATTGAACACCCCGGCCGGGCGGTGGTGGCACACGCCTTTAATCCCAGCACTCGGGAGGCAGAGGCAGGCGGATCTCTGTGAGTTCGAGGCCAGGCTGGACCGACAGCCTCCAAAACAATACAGAGAAACCCTGTCTCGTAATTACCAAAAAAAAAAAAAAAATTGAACACCCCAATATTAACTCATACACATACGAACACTTAATCTTTGACAAAGAAGCTAAAATTATACATGGAAGAAAAAGCATCTTCAACAAATGGTGCTGGCATAACTGGATGCTGGCATGTACAAGACTGCAGATAGATCCATATCTATCGCCATGCACAAAACTTAAGTCCAAATGGGTGAAAGACCTCAGCATAAATCCAGTCACACTGAACCTGTTAGAAGAGAAAGTGGGAGGTACTCTTGAGCAAATTGGTACAGGGGACCGCTTCCTGAATATAACACCAGTAGCACAGACGGTGAGATCAACAATTAATAAATAGGACCTCCTGAAACTGAGAAGCTTCCATAAGGCAAAGGACACAGTCAACAAGACAAAAAAGGCAGCTCACAGAATGGGAAAAGATATTCACTAATCCCACATCTGACAGAGGGCTGATCTCCAAAATTTACAAAGAACTTGAGAAGCAAATTTCTAAAACATCAAAGGATCCAATTAAAAAGTGGGGTACAGAACTAAATAGAGAATTCTCAATAGAGGAGTCTAAAATGGCTGAGAGATACTTAAGAAAGTGCTCAGTATCCTTAGCCATTAGGGAAATGCAAATCAAAACAACTCTGAGATATCATGTTACTCCTGTCAGAATGGCTAAAATCAAAAACACCAATGATAGTTTATGCTGGAGAGAATGTGGAGAAAGGGAACACTCCTCCACTGCTGGTGGGAGTGCCAACTTGTATAGCCACTTTGGAAATCAGTATGGAGATTCCTCAGGAAAATGGGACTCAGTCTATCACAAGACCCAGCAATTTCACTGTTAGGCACATACCCAAAAGATGCACATTCATACATCAAAGACGTCTGTTCCACTATGTTCATAGCAGTATTATTTGTAATAGTCAGATTCCAGAAGCAATCTAGATGCCCCTCAACTGAAGAGTGGACAGAGAGAAAATGTGGTACATTTACACAATGGAGTACTACTCTACTCAGCGGAAAAAAACAATGGAAACTTGAAATCTGCAGGCAAATGAATGGCACTAGAAGAAACCATCCTGAGTGAGGTAACCCAGTCACAAAAAGACAAACATGATATGTACTCACTCATATATGGATTTTAGACATGGATCAGGGGAGTGCCAGCCTACAATCCCACTGCTAAACCTTTATGCAGTGACTGATGGAAGCAGAGGTAGATACCCACAGCTATACACCGAACTGAACTCCTGGAACCCAGTGACAGAGAGAGACGAGTGATGAGCAAAGGGGTCAAGACGGTGCTGGTGAAACCCACAGAGACAGCTGACATGACAAGGGGGAGCTTTTGGACCCCAGAATGATGGATGAGGGGCCAGCCTGGGACTGATCCAGTCTCCTTGAATATGGGTGTCAGTGAGGAGGCCTCAGCAATCTCTGGGGCCTTGGGTACCATGGTGTACGAATGAACTTTGGGAGCCCATTGCACATGGAGGGATGCTCTCTCAGCCTGGACACATGGGGGAGGGCCTAGGCTCTGCCCTGGATGAAATGACAGACTCTGGCGATCCCCCATGGAGGGCCTCACCCTCCTTGGGGAACTGTGTAGGGATTGGGTGGGGGGTTGGGGGACTGGTGAAGGGTCAAGGGAGGAGGGGAGGGAGAGGGAACTGGGATTGACATGTAAAGCAAGCTTGTTTCTAATTTAAATAAAAATTATATATATATAAAATAATTAATGGTGAGATGTTTGTAGCATACTGTTTTTATGTTGTTGTTTTAAAACTAAGGTGTATCTTGTTACAGTAAAGTGCTCAGATATTAATTAGTAGGTATAGGTATTAATTGGTAAGCTTTGACAGTGAGTACATCATGAAAGTATCTTCTAGATCACAGTCCACAACATCTATAGTGTCCAGAACCCTCCCTCACTCAATACCAAAAGTGACCTTTCATGACCTCTGTTGTCATGTATTTATATTGTGTGCTTTTGAATTTAATAAAACATTACTTAGGGGGCTGGGGAGATGGCTAAGTGGATAAGACTGCTCTTCCAAAGAACCTGGGTTCATTTCCCAGCACCCACATGGCAGCTCACAGATGCCTGTAATTCCAGTTCTGGGGAACTTGACACCTATGGTAAAACACCAATGCATACAAAATAAAGATTAATAAATTAAAAAAACATTACTTAATAGAAAAAAGACAGTTGAAAAATCAAACAAGCAAACAAATTAAGTTGCTCCATACTATGGAATAATATGGTGCCATTAAAAGTGACTGGTTTCAAAGTTTCAGTTTGGAAAAGGGAAGAAAAGGTTAGAATGGCCAGGCATGGTGTACATGCTTTTAATCTCAGCACTGGGGAGGCAGAGGCAGGTAGAACTCTTATAAGTTTGAGGACACCCAGGCCTATGTAAAGAGATCTTATCTCAAAAAAAATCCCAAAACACAAAAAGTAAAATAAATAAATAAAATTTAAAGGTTAGAACGCTAGTTTATGCTGTATATGTTTTAGTACAGTTTTTTGTTTGTTTGTTTTTTGAGACACTCTGTTGCCCTGGCTATCATGGAACTTACTCTGTAGATCAAGAGGGGTATGCACTACTACTCCTGGTTAGGTTTACTGATTTTTAAAATTATTTCTTCAGCTGGGCAGTGGTGGCACATACCTTCAATCCCAGCACTCAGGAGGCAGAGGCAGGTGGATCTTTGAGTTCAAAGCCAGTCTGGTGTACAGAGCAAGTTCCAGGACAGCCAGGGCTATACAGAGAAGCCTTGTTTTCTTTTTGTAGAGATATTTCATAGTCTCAGAAAGCTGATCTGTTCATAATTTACTTTGCTTCTATCCTGTGTTTGTTTCACCCATTCTACTCACATAAAAGTAATAAGAAGCCACTTCTTTTATTAATGCTTCTAGATTTATATTCAATTCTTAAATATAGACAGAAGTAATTTTGGTATCTTTTAGTGTAGATGGCCTAGCTTAATTCATTTCCCAAACTTATTTAGATGAGTTTCATCTCCCCAAGCAGTTTGTAAAGCTTCAGCTGTCTGCTTCTCTTAAATGGATCTGTCTGCTGACTTGTGAACATCCGTGTTTTGATTACCATGCCATTAAAATGTGTACAGATGTGGAGACATCTGTAATATCAAGTCTGTACTTCCTTTCTTTTCAACACTTTCTCAGCTATTTATTTTCAATAGAATTTAAAATCATTTGAAAATTTCAAATTCCATGCCTACTATGATGGAGCTGTATTAAATCTGAAATGATCTCAGAAGAGCTGTTTATACAGGAACACAACATGCCTGTTCACTCAAATATTCTCAAGCATTTGTAGTTATTAATAAAGCTTTGCATTTTTCTTCTTTTGTCAAACTTACACAATTTCTTTTTTTTTTTGTCTTTTTTTAAAATTTTAAATAGCTTGTTTGACATGTCAATCCCAGTTCCCTCTCCCTCCCCTCCTCTCATACCCCCCCCATCCCCCCCATCCTCCCACCCTATTGCCAATTCCTTCCACATAGGGGATATCTAGAGTCTGTCATTTCACTCAGGGTAGGGTCCAGGCACTCCCATAAGAGTCCAGGCTGAGAGAGCATCCCTTTTTGTGTTATGGACACATGACGTCTGTTTGTATTCGAGGGATAAACACTGATCCACTGCTCAGGGCCCCATAGGTTGCCCAGGCCTCCTCACTGACTCTCACATTCAGGGGGTCTGGATCAGTCCCATGCTGGCCTCCCAGCTGTCAGTCTGGGGTCCAAGAGCTCTCCCCTGTTCAGATCAGCTGTCTCTGCTGGTTTTGCCAGCCCATTCTTTGCCAATTTGTTCATCGCTCCTCTCTCTCTGTCGCTGGGTTCAGAGTTACACTCCTATATCTTTCACTTGATCAAACAAACCAACGTCCCCCTCAAAACAAAACCAACAAACAAAAACCCAGAACAAAACATATCTGATATATTCTTGATGATGTTAAAAGCATTTAATTACCTAACACTGAAATATTAAGAAATGTGTTAGCGGGGGTGGGGGGGGGTGGCTGTATGTATTACAGGAAGGAGAGAAGAAAATGTCAGGAATGAAGGAAGCCAAATAAGAGCATCATGTATGCTACTACAGGAGGGAACAGCTAAAAAGAGTAGACAGTAAACTAATGGACTTAATAAAACAAACTTGGGGCTGGCTCTGGATCTAGCATTATCTACATGACACTCTTTAGGAAACATCAATGTCCAATAAAAACCATAGTTCAAAGTCAACTATAGAAAAGAGAAGTAACTATTTCCTTAAAATCAAGGAGACATGCACAATTCTTGCCTATGAAAAGAAATGCTAAAGCTCAGGAAGCCAAAATAAGAAAGGAAAGTGCTCAGGCAGCCCACAGGCAAGAGGATCCCACCTGCTACCTGAGCTTCCAGACAGAGTTCTGAAGGATTTCTCTGTGTATCCCACCAAGATTTTCTTTCAGAGTTCCTTTAGTTACAGGATACCCCGGTCCAAAAAAAAAAAAAAAAAAAAAAGGAGGAAAGTTTTTTTTTTTTTTTACATTGGTTTTTTGAGACAGGGTTTCTCTGTATTGTTTTGGAGGCTTTCCTGGAACTCGCTCTGTAGACCAGGCTGGCCTCGAACTCACATTGATCCACCTGTCTCTGCCTCCCAAGTACTAGAATTAAAGAATGCGCCACCATCGCCCGGCTAAGGAGAAAAGGTTTTTTGTTTTGTTTTGTTTTTCTGAGGCAGGGTTTCTCTGTATTGTTTTGGAGCTTGTCCTGGAACTCGCTCGGTACCAGGATGGTCTCGAACTCACAGAGATCCACCTGCCTCTGTCTCCCGAGTGCTGGGATTAAAGGTGTGCGCCACCAACGCCCGGCAGGAGGAAAGTTTTTAAGGAATAAAAATATAGTAAGTGAAAGACCACCGGTAAATTCCCAAACAAAAAAGCATTCTTTAATTGTCTTAGAATCATTTTGAGTAGTAAAGAAAATCATTACTTACTAGATTTGCTAAATCCAGAAATACACTCTTCCAAAAACTCTAAGGTGAGATGTGGCTCATTGGCGGCCAGTGTCTTACTGATTGAGACAATAAAGAGGGTATTGTTGGCAGGGATGCATAACCCTGATGTCTCTAGTAACTGGCCTTCAATTTTTAAATTAAAGGTACAGGTTAAGGCACACAGAAGATTATAGGCAGCAGACCTAAGAGAAAACACAAAGTAGATTGTTTTAAAATTCCTTTTTCTTTGTAATTCCATTTCCCCCACAACATACAACTCAATATTTAATTACAAAGCACACTCAATTCTTTTTCAGTGTTGCGATCACCTAGAGACAGAATGTAGAGCAAGCCCAGAACAGGAGACTCATGATATCAGTGCCAGAGGAGCCCATGAGGCTCCCTCCTAAGACAGGCAGGCAGGCATAGGCCTTTCTAGAAACTTTTACAGGAGCACAAACAGCAAAGATTTAGGGTCTAAGGCAGATCAATAAGAACAAAAGACAGAATAAAAAGGTGTTTTCAGAGAAGTCAAAACTCTGCTCCTAGTTACTCTCTGGTCGACATAGTTAAATAGAGACTAAGGGACAAGGAAGCCTGGTGGTGTATGCCTTTCATCCGGGTACTCAGGAGGCAGAGGCAGGTGGAACTCTGTGAATTTGAGGTCAGCCTGGTCTACACAGAGAGTTCCAGGACAATCAGGGCTATACAGTGAGGCCTTTATTTCACTTTAACTTTTAAAAGGAGGCATTCAAATTATAATGTGGTATACTGAAGTAAGGATATCCCTGAAGTGTCTGTGTGTCCTACATTTTTCACAGCAAACTAGAGATTAAAACCAGAGTTACCTGTAGTTTAAAAAGATGTAATTACATCTTCCACTCTGACCTCATTCTATTATATATAATCGTTGAAACCAATCATACAATCTAGGGTCTATTAAAACAAAAAATGAGTTATAACTATAGCAAATTTACTTAAGCAAATCAGAAAAGTTTAAAGAACTTGAGCAGTAGAGTGTTTTCCTTACACATGTGAGGCCCTGGATTTGATCCCTAGCATTCTAAATAATGGCCTCACTCCCAATTCCACCCCATCCCACTCCATCCCACACCACTCCTTCCCAAATAACAAATATCAAACTCAACTTTAAGATGCAGCTAAACAAACTGCTGGATTACTCTGAAATTTCTGGTTTTCATTACTTCTGAATTTTTGCCATGGTGATACAGAAAGAAAAAGCCATGGAAATGTGTTTGCCTACAATTTCACTCAAACTAGTAATAGTGAGATACACTGACATTAATTAACAAAGATGTCAGAGGGCAAGACATCATGGCACAGGCCTGTAATCCTAGCATTTAGGAGGTCAAGGCAGGAGGATGGTAAATTCCAGGCTAGAAAGACCCTACCCTTAAAACCAGAAAACCCGATTTATAAATAATGAAAAACTATTTGGAATTGAGAAGACAGGCTCATAGCTCAATTATCTTAAAAATAAGGACACTAATTTCACTGCATGTGAATTTGTTTATCTTCACTGACTTTCAGAAACTCATACCATGCTGATGCTATTTTATACTACCTAAGAGCTATAAAAAACTGGGCTTCCAGGCTGGAGAGATGGCTCAGCAGTTAAAGAGTACTGGCTGCTTTTCCAGAGGACCCAGGTTCAATTCCCAGCACCCACATAGCAACTCACAGCTGTTTGTAACTCTAGTTCCAGGGGATCTCACAATCTTCACACAGACACACATGCAGGCAAAACATCAATGCACATTAAAATAAAATAAATCATTAAAACAACAACAATAAAAAATACACCTGGGTTCCCGTAACCTGGAGTATTATGTCAGAGAGTCTTCCAGGATAAGGGAAGTCAAGTGTACATAAAATCTAGAGAGCCATTTCTGAGATTCTGGAACCTAGATAAGTAAAATTCAGTTGATTATTGATCTTGAAATCTTTCTTCCCACCCCCCAAGAGAGGGTCTCACAGTGTAGCCCCGGCTGTCCCAGAGTTTGCTATGTAGACTAGTCTGACCTAGAACTCAGAGATGCATCTGTGTGTGCACCCTGCATGTAGGTGTGAAAAGTACATGCTACCATATCTGACTTAAAAATTTTAATTTTACTTATTTATTTGTATGTATGCATATGTGCAGACAGAAATGCCAGGACACACACAAGGAGGTCAAAGGACAACTTTTGGAAGTCAGTCTCTTCTTCCAACAATGTTAGTCAAACTCAGGCTGTTGGCTGGGCGTTGGTAGCGCATGCCTTTAATCTCAGCCCCAGGGAGGCAGAGGCAGGCTGATCTCTGTGAGTTCGAGACCAGCTTGGCCTACAATAGCTAGTTCCAGTACAGGCTCTAAAGCTACACAGAGAAACCCTGCCTCGAAAAACCAAAAACTAAAACAAACAACAACAACAACAAAAAATCCAAAAAACAAATAACAAACACAGGCTGTCAGGCACAGTGATGAACTCCTTTACCATGGAGCCATGGTACTGAACATAGTTCTCCTTTTAAATAAAGGAAATTCTGAAAGTGTAAAAGGCCCAGTATGAAACCTAGGCTATATTATATTCTAAGAGTTGCTGAGTCTGAAAGTTGATACAAGTTGAGTATCTCTCATCTCAAATAACCACAACAGATGTGTGTCTGGGTTTGAAATATTTACATAGATTTTGCAAAATGAGCACCTATAATTAAAAACTCTGAAATGGGCTGGGTATGATGGCAAATGACTTCAATCCCAGTAAGTTCTAGGTCAGCCAGACCTACATAATGAGAGCCTACCTTAATAAAAAATGGTATGTTATAGATTCTGGACAAAATATATAAGATGTTTCAGATTTTAGAGCATTTTGGATTTTAGATTAGGAATGTTTTATCTCCATTAGTCAAAATCTTGACATTCCCAAGATATCTAATATAAAGAATCATCCAAACATGAAAAGGAGAGGGAAGAAAAAGGAAATGGGGGAACAAAGGAGAGAAAAGAAAGGATGGGGGAAAATACTATTCACTAAACACAAGCTACTTGCTAGTGTTGTACTATCCTACCACAAATGCTATTTATCAAACCTTTATAGGCCCATTAGGAAGGCATGTTACTATTACCAAAAAGGAGAGTTCAGGCATGACAAGTGAAAAATAGCATTTCCACACCAAAGCCAAATCTGCTGGCTCTACAGGCTGACAGGGCAGACAGATCACAATGCTGAAATAGAATGAACTATCCTCTGTTCAGAGGGAATGAAAATGAGGGAGGGAGGGAGAGAGGGAAAAAGATCTTTTTCTTTTTTCTTTCTTTCGTTATTTTTAAAAAGTTTTGAAACCAGAACATTTATCTTGGGGCTGATAGCTGAAACCCTAAGATGTACTGGGTTCTACCATAGCTGCCCTTCTGGGTTCAGCTCCTGTCCCTTCATGGGATCCACATCTGGATCTGCAATAGACAATGTTTAGGTGCCTCATTCACGAAATCCCAGCAATGTTTTGCTTCAGCCCTGCAGTTATACTTTGTCTTGCACTTGGCCACAGGTCATCCGAAGGCTAATTTAGGGCCACAGCAGTGACACCTCATATGTGTTTTACTGTGATGCTTTCCATTAGATGACATCCTTTTTGTCATGTTGCTTCTGCCACCAAGGCAAAGGAGAGAGCAACAGAAGATTTCTTCAGAGAATTTTACTAAAGTAAAATAGGTAGGAAGTAGTAATGCATTTGAGTCACTAAACTTCAGGTCTTCTTTGTCTAAACAATGACACTCTTAGGGAACAATAGTGATACACTATTTAACTAGAACTGAACTTAAAAAGAATAAAAACAAACAAAAAACAGGAATACCTACCGTAGGCTAGGGTCTGAACTGCCTAAATTAAGTAATGCAATATTAAGAAGTGTCCCAGGAACATCTTTTGGTCGAATCTTGGTATGTTGGGGGATAGAGTCAGGCTGTGATAGCTCCCAGCGGGTCCTGATGTGAATAATAGACTGGACAATGGCTTCACACTCCTGGTGCATGAAGGTAAGTGGTGTGCCTTGGTTTGCAATGGTTAAGGTGAACTGGTTCTCATCCACAAGGCAGATCTCTTCGATTTCAGAAGCATAGTAGATGTCATTTAAAAACACAGATTGCCCCAAAACTTTTGTTCTCTCTGCTGAGGTTACTTGAACAGCAGTAGAACCAACCTGAAAAATGGTAGTTAGGAAGAGGAGAATTAAAGTCCAGTTATACAGAATTCTCAAAACCAGCTCATTCATCCACCCTCACATAATGTTTGCCATTAAAATGTTACTATTATATATCCAAATTACTTAAAGATACTCTCAAAAGAAAACAACTCTATCAGAAAAAAATAGCCTTTAAAAAGGGTCAAGAATGCTATAAACAAGTGATTGAAGGGGTCAAACTCATCACTCTGAAAAACCATGAACTGATCAAAAGAACCCCTTTGCACACCTGACTGCTGGGCAGGGTCACAGTGAAGAACTGCCTGCCCTCTCTATAGCATTCTTCTGCCCTAACCTTCAGTGCCTTAAAAGTTAATCTATTTTATTTGTATGAGTGTTTGACTACATACATATCTGTGTATCACAGTGTGCCTGGTACCCTCAGAAGCCAGAAGATTCCCAGGGACTGGAGTTACAGATGTTTGTAAGCTACCATGTGGGTGCTGGGAATTGAACCCTAGACCTCTGGACTCCAGCCCCCATGAGAGTGTCTTTGTTTGTTTGTTTTGAGATAGGGTTTCTCTGTGTAGCTTTGGAAACTGTTCTGGAACTTATTCTGTAGACCAGGCTGGCCTTGAACTCACAGAGCTCCACCTGCCTCTGCCTCCCAAGTGCTGGGATTAAAGGTGTGCACCATCACTATCTGGTGAGAGTGTCTTTTAAGTGTGCACTTTCCACACCTTTTTCAGGACCACAATAAAGACAGAAATCTTGGTCTTCCAACATTTGGGTGTAATTGATATTAGATATGCAACTTGAGAATACTTGTAGAGGTCAGACTATAATCTGGTTGATCAAGAAAGGCAATAAATCATTCAAAAAGACGGGAAGTTACCTTAATAGAGACTTTGGTATCTTTGTGAGCTAGCTTCAGAGCATTGTGGAACACCTTAAGGTCCTCCTCCAGAGCCAATGTGGCAGCAGGGAGTTTCTGTTGTTCATGCTCTATGTGCTCAGCCAGCTTCCCAGGACAGTCTATGAAAATAAGCCGTTTGCTGCCCTTGAGGCCAGTCAGTAGCCGTTCATGGTACTTGGTGTACTCTCTGACCCAGGAGTTACAGTTATAAATATAAACTGCAGAGACATTGTCGTAAGCAAAGCCAGGAAAAACAACAAACCACTTAGAGAGAAAATCTGTTTTAAAGCGATTGCTAGGTCCAGTATGGGTAAGGTCCACTACAATTTCATATGGCTTTGCATAATATGGCTTTAAAGTCAGCAAGACATGGTATATCAGCAAATCACCATTGATTTGGCCAGTTTTGAACCTAGAAAAGGCAACAAAACGATAAACGTTGTTAAGAATTCTGAATGTACAGAATATAAATCTTTTTCTTTTGTTTACTTTTATTAGTTACGCCTGCATGCATGTGTGAGCAGGTGCATGCATGCAGAGGCCAAGAAGACAACACACAGCACACCTGTGGAGGTCAGAGGTAGTTCCCTTCTCTCTTTAACATGTATGTTCTGGAGAGTGCACTCAGGGTATCAGGCTTGCAATGAGCCATCCATCCATCCATCCATCCATCCATCCATCCATCCATCCATCCATCCACCCACACACCCACCCACCCATCCATCCACCCATCCATCATATAGCTGTCTGTCTATCTAAAAAAGATTTATTTTTCATTTTACATACCAACCCCAGTTCCTTCTCCCTCCCCCATCCTCTCCCACCCTTCATCCACTCCTCAGAGGGGGGTAAGGTCTTCCTTAGGGGGTCAACAAAGTCTGGCATACCAAGTTGAGGCAGGACTAAATCCCCTCCCCCCATATCAATCACAGGCCCTTTAAAAATTTTTTATGATTAATTTTTTCATATTTTTGGTTGTGAACCTAGCATTTAAAGGCTGAGCATCTCTCTGGCCTGATTAATTTTCTAAAGAGGACAATGATATAAAAATTATTCAAAGTGTAGATTTATATTTATATTTTCCAGACATTGTGCTCAATAAGGATAAGGAGAGACAGGATGAACCCCCTTAAGGATTTTGAAAATAACAAATCGGCCCACCAAGAAAGAAGGAAGACAGAGGACAGGCTGAAGGCCCCTGGGTGCACTATATTTCTCAGAGAAGCCAGTGGCTGGAAAAGGTGCCCCAAAAAAGCTTTAGCCAACCCATTTACCTGACCTTGAACAGAAGGTAGTTCAGCAATGAACACAAAGACTCAAGTCAGGACAGTAAAGTCAGGGGCCCAATTCACAGGTTAGTTTAAATTGTTGGGGTTTGAGAGCCTTCCCCCATGTTTGTAATTAGGAAAATATGCACAGTCCCGAGAATTGTTAACTTATATCTTCAGATACGATGGGAAAGCATGCCTCAAAACCTGAAGTGAAGGAGCTGAGAAATGGAAAGACAGTCTGGGGTCTTGGCCATAATCTGAGTCATAGATAATAATCTCTCCCATGGTTAGATTTATCCCCAGACTATTCAGCTGTGTAAGCTAATAAGGTCTATGCTTTGGTTAAACCACATTAGGTCATATACCACATCCACTTGGCTGGGTCCTGGAAACCTGACTGGGGCAGTGAGGTAACGGAGAAAGGACCGACACAGATGCACATACAGAAAAACTGGAGCCAGGTGGGCTATGCATGCTCTAATGGAGTGGCACCAACTGCCGCAACAACCTGCAAACATAATTGGACTTAAGTACTTTGAACAAAGGGTGTTCAGCCTGCCCGATGTGTTCTACATCACTCACTAGAGGGAAAACAGAGAAAGAAAAACAGCATCAAGTTTAAAAGGAGAAACCAACATGAATCGGAGAGTGAAAGCTATGCAGATATACTGAAGATTCAGTGGAATCTGGTAGAAGAAAGTATGAATTTAACAAGTCAGACTTAATGAAAAAATAGGTGACTAGATAAGTTATACAACACCTAAGTCCATATAGTTAAGTTCTGAGAGACGCAGATGGGAAATAAGTGATGGCAAAACTATGACGGGATCATCAAAGGCCTTAATCTTTGCCTGGGTGCTACATATTTCTCAAGCTATAGTCTGTGGACAATCAGTGTCAGGGCCAGCTGTCCTGCTTGCTAAATAAAAATAAAATGGCTGGTACCAGCACAGGCCTACTGAATATGAATATATGTAGGGGGGTGGCATTTTTGTTATTTTAAAACAACCATCCCATCTTATATAAGTATTTTGGAATAACTTGTGAAAATATGGACAAGTTTGTCAACTTTCAGTTGTTCAGCTGGTGAGTACTTGGTACGAAGGTTTGGGTTCAATCCCTGGCATTTGGATGTGGTGCCACAAACCTGTCATCCTAGCACATGGGAGGGAGGGAGGATGATCACAAAGGCAAGGCCATTCTCAACTACACAGTGAGTTCTAGGTTAGCTTTGGCTACATGAGAACCTGTTTCAGAAAACAAACACAAAGATGTTCAAAGCCCAAATGGGCAACTTAATAAAAACTCTGACTCAAAATAAAAAGGAAGGGGTCAGAGAGACGGCTCAGTAGTTTTCCTCTGATCTTCACAACCGTGCTGTAGCGCACACATGCGGTCTCCCCCCCCACCAAGCCCAGCCCCAATATTATGGGCATATATACATAGTACTAATAAATAAAAAATGTAAAATAAACAAAGAGGACTGGGGATTGAGCTTTGTGGTAAAATGCCTGCCTGGCATGCATAAGATACTGAGATCAGTCCCTAGCAACACTCATTAAACAAATTAAAAATTTTAATTATGTAAATTCAAGTTTTTTGTTTGTTTTTAAGGAATGAGGAAGTGTCCAGTTAACTCAGTTGGTTAGTGTGGTGCTCATTTGGGGAAAAAAAAGAGGGATATGATCAAACAGTTATATCTAAGATACATGAAATGCTTGGGGCTAGTACAGATGTTTAGTAGTCTAGGCACATCACTATAGTGGCATTAAAATTAAAAGTAAATCAAGAATCTGAAAGGCTCCAAAGTGTGGTATGAATTGAGAGGATCTGTTGTAATCCAGGTCTCTGCTGCAATCTACAGAGCCAAGGAGCTCATTAGGGACAGCTGTCTTTGCAGAAGACAACATGATCCATTCCAGACATGTCTAATCTAAGGTGATGCCAGAGGGACTTGTGCACATACTACACCCTGCAAACAGTCTCTGGTCCAAACCACTGTTGCAGTTTCCAGCTTGAAATGTCAACTGATTCTCCTATCTAACAAATACCTGCAAGGACTCCACTTTATGTTTTTAAATCTGTCTGTGGTATAAAATAAAAAAGTATAAAAATGATTTCAATACCACATTAAAGATGTCATCACATAACTTCCATTGAATAATACTAATTTCAAAAGCAGATAGCAGGCATAAGGAATGAGTCAAAGGTCAAAAGAAATGAAGTGGAAAACCCTCCCCATTCTGGGGGTGGAGATTTGCTTGACAAAGCCTCCTGTCATCCCAGTGGCCAACTAGAGCAGTTGGAGTTTTTGCCTTCCCGCATGACATGTGTTTGAGTTGCAGCGGAAAGGAAATGTGTCATCTGTGGTTTGGTTTTAAAAGTGGAAAGCTAGCTGTACGCATCCTCTTAAAAAACGGCAGATTTCAGTTTCGTAGTCTCCAACTTATTCTCCTTTAAGTAAGGAAAGAAGAAAAGAAGTGGCTTATTAAATAAAGGTTGTGGCAGAGCATTTTGTAAGGTAGGTCATACATGTGGCTTTTCTTATTCCTTTTCACGCATAACTTTATTCAGATTAGTTTTTCTCAAAGATGTATAAATCTAAGTAGAATCGTTATGTTTTTCTATCCTACTATGAAAAATAATGTAAACAGGATAAGCAATTAGAGCTAGGAAAATTATAACTACTAAAATGAAGTTTTAAACCAGAACCAGGAAGGACCTGAATATGGACTCAAATAAGTTAAAAAGCTTCATTTGATTTTTTTTTTTGGTTTCCTTATTGAATTAGGGAAATACATTTCTTATTGCTAGAGCTTAGGCATTACAAATGTGACTAAAAATGGTGAGACAAAAAAACAAAACCAGAGAGCCAAAACCTTGCTAACTCAACCTGGTCTCCAGTACATAAAGTGGAGATTTGGAAAGGTCCTCAGCTCTCAGGCATTTGTAGCTAGAGAAAGACTCATTTTGTCAGCATCTTGTTTACTGGGACATGGCAGCACATCTGGCTGAAGACAATCAACAGCAGGCCTATTATCTGTCCCGTGGTACACTGCTAGCATGTAGAACAGAGTGATGTATACTGCACTGTGAATGAACTAATGTCATTAGAATAAACATACTTTTAGCATTTTAACATTGAATCTACTCTGGTATAAACTGATGGACATTTCTTAATAACCCAATTTAAAGTGCTTTTTTGTGAACAACTCATAAAGTATCCCATCATTCAACTTCAAGATTGAGGCTGAATACTATTACCCAAAGTCAGTGTACTGTATCTTTAAACGTCTACTAATAGTCAAAATCCCAAAAGTGATCTGGATCCCAGAACACAGAATTTCTTTTGTTTTTTCCCCCCTCCACACAGTATAAATTATTAATCCAAAGTTAATTTACAATTAGCATCATTTACTATATGCTATTTTTGTCTGTGCAACTCAATACTGTTAGTCTTCATTTCTGTGTCTCATTAGCATTCAGATATTGTCTAATAGCATATACCATCCCATAGCAACCTCCCTGCTCAAGTATGACTGGCAGAGTGGCATCTGTGCCACTTGGAGTGGTTTAGAGGCAGAATCTCAGGCCCTACCCTAGACCTGAAAAAAGACTCCTTCACACATTCAAGTTTGAAAATAACATCTATAACACACAGGACTCTTAACAAGACAACTTTATTGATTATGTGTTAGAACAATCTAGTGTTTGCTCTAAGTCTCCTCACATTTATGCTCTGAGTAAGATACTGCTCAAGAGCTGCTTTGGAGAACTGCCATAGTATTATAAACACCTCAGCTGGGCCTGGCCACACATGCAAACATGAATGCCGTTGATCCCAGGACTCAGGAGGCAGAAGCAGGCTAATCTTTTAAAGCAAAGAAACACCTCACTTCACTAAAGGTGCTAAATGTCTCTTGCTAAGTGAGCTGTAACTGAGGCGGACACGACAGCCCCAGTGAGATCTCTAAACAGATGTCCAATAACAGGAACCAAGAACAGACTTGATCCTTTTATGCACTGGCTTCTGGAAGCTGAGTCCAAAGCTGAATTTCAAATTTTGGGAGGGATGGTGAGTGCTGGGCATGCACTACCCCACAGCTATATCCTGGCTGTTGGATTTCAGCCTTCTAATTTTAAGATGAATTGCTCACAGCCGGCCACTGTGTTCTCTAAAACCCAATAGTCTGATGACCAATTTTAAAAGAATTTTCTTTATAATTTCTTTGATAGATTTGTGTCAAAACGAGGGTGGGGGGAGAATGCCACTTATAAAATGACAACAAAGGTGACTGTCTTTTGAGGAACTTTGAGAACAGAAGAAATCTTTGTTCTCGAGTTCTAGGTTGAGAGAACAAGCCTACCTCTGCTATATGGAAAGTCATTGTCAACTAAGGTGGTAGAGGAGAAATCAGCACACGACGGTGCATTCACAAACACTAGGACTAGATCCTAAGACTGTTTTAATGGCACAACTGGAAAGGCCAAACAACAGTTCAAATTCCAACTTGAAGTACACTTGCTTCCAGTCTCTACCAAACAGTCACCCCTCTTCCACAAAAAAGCCACTTGTGACTTCTTTTTATACTTGAAACAAAACTTTCTAGGCCAAGTTCTCCTTTACTACAAGACGAGGACGTGCTATTCAGAGGGTGGACACTTCAGTAAGAAGGGGCCTTCAATGAGGAATCACAAGCACAAAGCAGAAGCAGCTGACTCCAAACTGAGGCCTATGATGTATCCTTAATAGGAAGATATGTAAAGCTATGGTACACAGTGAAAACTGGTTAAGACATATTTGTAATGCTAACTTACAGCTTCAAATTGTACAACAAAATTAAAATGTTTATATATTATCTAAGAACAGGAACGGAAATTCAGTTAAAAATAAAAGAAAAAACTTTAGTTGGGAAGAATCCAACAGCAAATGGTACACATGGATTTCTGATTTTTTGTGTTATCTCAAGTGCAGTCCCAGCACTACAATTACTCCACATATGAGTCACTATTCTTCCACAAACTAATGATGGATATTGCTGTCTCAACAGATACCAGTATACCCATGGGCATGGAGCACACAGGACAGTACCTGTATCTTGTTTTCCTAATGACAACAGCGTGTTCCTTGTCTCCAGGAACAAAAGCAAACCATACACATATGTGGGCTAACAATATCACTGCTTGGGGCTCCATTAATCAAAGCAGCACAAGCAAACATCACAGTGAGAAGAGCACAGACCCTGTAATTGCTGCAGTGGATCACAGAGTGAGTTCTACAGACATGCCTGCATCATCTCCCACTGTATCATCTACCCCGAAGCCCTCTGGGCCCCAGGTCTTCACAAACAGTTCTCCAACTGCAGAGATCACTCAAAGCACAAGCAAAACTCATGGGGAAATTTTTAAAAACGATGTCTGTGAGGAAAACAACAGCAACATGGCCATGCTAATTTGTTTAATTGTAATTGCCGTGCTTTTTCTTATCTGTACTCTTCTGTTTCTATCAACTGTGGTTCTGGCAAACAAAGTCTCGTCTCTTAGAAGGTCAAAACAAGCATGCAAGCGCCAGCCTAGGAGTAATGGTGACTTTCTGGCAAGCAGTGGGCTCTGGACTGCTGAATCGGACACTTGGAAAAGAGCAAAAGAGCTCACAGGCCCAAAGCTCCTGATGCAATCTACTGCTGTGCTCACAGCTACCAGGGAAAGGAAGCACGAAGAAGGAACTGAAAAACTCAACTAGGCCGCGCGTTTTTGGAAAGGGAAACGCAAAGCAGCAATGAGGAAGGCTGGGTGAAAATAAAGCTGGCTGGTGGTATTTTACAGCAATGTTTGTTCAGATGTCTGATCAAAAATCTGACATGCAGTTTAGTATCAAAGAAAACAGAAAGGGAGATGTATGCCTGCTGAAGTTACTTAAAACTTCATTTCTGTTTCACATTTCAAATTTTAAAAAAAGTAAATAAAACAGCAGCTGAGGAAACTAATAGAAATAACAACAACAAAAAGAAATAACAAGAGGTAACTAAATAAATATTCCTGTTTGGCAATAGGTGACCTCTGTATGAATGTACTTGAACTTGGAAGAGTTCTACTAAGTCCTAAGAGCCAAACAGATGCCACAATGCCATAATTCAACTGAGTAATGCAATGGTGCATTCTCACTGGATGAGATAGAACCCATACCAGTTTGAATCTTAGCACAGCTAACCTTAGGCTACTTCTCTTTACCTTTACATATGGCACGAGACAAATGTGCCTTTCTACTATAAATAATAAACTAAAGCTTAATTTTGTACAATAAATGAAAAAAATTACAGCAAACCTGACCATGTATCTTGCATTTACACTGTTCTAGAATATACTATAAAAATAAGAAAAACAACAACACAACTAAAATAGATGAGATTCACAACTACAATAGAAGGCTACACATAAATATAAGAATGTTTTAGTGTTTAACAGTATCATTTGAAGAGGCTGAAAAGATGGTTCAGAAGTGAGAGCACTGGCTGCTCTTCCAAAGGACACAGGTTCTCTTCCCAGCACTCAAACAAGGCTCACAGATGGCTGCAACTCCAGTTCCAGGGGATCATCCACATACATAAAATAATACAAAAAAGAGTAACATTTACCTTTTATATACATACTGCTTACTAGAAGATTAACAACAAGCACTGGGCAAGTGTGGTAGCACATACCTGTAATCCTAACAGCTGGGAAGCTCAAGTCAGGGGATTCTGAGTTTGAGGCTAACCTGGACTGCGCAGTGAGACCATTTCAAGCATCAGCAACAACAAAACATAACATATGTCTTAAAGTTGGTCAATATTTAGGCTGTAAGGATGCCAAGTCACTTAAAAATGATCAATTTTCATTTTTATTCTCAAGAGCAGCATGAATAGAGAGATGTGAGGTGTGTGTGTGTGTGTGTGTGTGTGTGTGTGTGTGTGTGTGTGTGCGCGCGCGCAGGAGCACATGCATTCGATAACATTTTGTAAAAAGGTAATTTTTTTTAGGTAATTCCTTAAGCTTTGAAAAAAACTGGCTTCAAGTAAAATAACAACTGACATTCAAGTCAAGTCCTTCATCTCAATAAAACATATCACAAAAATTGACTTGAGAAACTTTCTAAGTGTACACTCAAACTGAAAAAGGGTATGTCAATTAATAACTAGGCTTCACTTAACACTTAAAAGAAGTCCCATCCCTTAACTAGCTTTATCTTAAAGATTCATTTATTTATTTATTTTTTATTTCATGCGTCTTGCCTGCATGTATGCTTGTAAACCACGTGCACACAGTTACCCTTGAAGGCCAGAAAAGGGTGTCAGATGCCCTGGAACGGTAGTTACAAACAGCTGAGTTGTCAAGTGGATGTGGAGACTAGAACCCGGATCCTCTGTAAGAGCAGCAGGTGTCCTTAACTGCTGAACCATCCCTCCAGCCCCTTAACATTCACCTCTTGATTAATGATTCACCCTGAAAACATATTAGAATCAAATTTCTAAAAATTTAATACCAATACCTAATTCATATCCCCTACTTTTGATTACAGTTACAATGGTCTGAGTTCCATGTCAAGTACTGGGTATTTTCTCCTAAATACTTAGATGGTATTATCCTTGACTATCACATTCACTTTTGTCAAGATATGTGACTTTAAACATCTAGGTTACATCTTTAAATGAACCGTGTGTTAAGAGGCACATGATATAAAGTTTATTTTCTTTCTTTTTTTTAAAATGTATATTGGTGTTTTGCCCTCATCTGTATCTATGCACTACATGTGTGCCTGGTACCCACAGAGGCAAGAAGATACTTTCTGGGACTGGAGATACAGATGGTTGTGAGTTGCCATGTGGGTGTTAGAATTGAACTTGGTCCTCTGGAAGAGCAGCCAGTGCTCTTAACTACTGATACCTACTTTCTTTGCAATTTACTACTAATACCCTCATCCTCATCCCCTACACAGTCATAATGACATTACACCAGATAAAGCAAAATGTCACCAAAATGAAAAAGCATAGCATGAGAAACACTCACGAAGATCAGGGTACACAACTGTCTTTTTACCTCTAATTTTCTTTGTTCTAGTTCTTTTGCTTTTAGTGGGTAAGTGGGGGACTCAGTTTTTTTTGTTTGTGACAGGGTGTCCTGTAACTCAGGCTAGCCTCAAACTTACCATGTTTAATGATCTCTAAGACACCTGAGCCTCCTGCTCTACCTCCCAAGTGCAGAGATTACAGGCATGTATCATCAAGCCAGATTCTGGTTGTCTTTTCAAGAGTAAAACCGCCCAGATTGGAAATGACTATAGGCAATGCTCCCATTTTATACAAATTAAATATTTGAGGTTGGATGGCAGAATGGTAACTCAGTTATCGCCTTGAGATAACTCTTATAAACAAATACTTGTCAGAGGAAATTAAAACAAAGTAATCTTTTTTTAAGGACAAAAAATTGACTAAGAAACTCCTTCCTTCCTTCCTTCCTTCCTTCCTTCCTTCCTTCCTTCCTTCCTTCCTTCCTTCCTTCCTTCCTTCCTTCCTTCCTTCCTTCCTTCCTTCCTTCCTTCCTTCCTTCCTTCCTTCCTTCCGAGACAGGGTTTCTCTGTGGCTTTGGAGGCTGTCCTGGAACTAACTCTTGTAGACCAGGCTGGTCTCAAACTCACAGAGACCGCCTGCCTCTGCCTCCCAAGTGCTGGGATTAAAGGCGTGAGCTACCATTGCCCGGCTAAGAAACTACTTTCATATTAAACATATTAGTCAAATACTGTCAAATAAAACAGAATACTTTTATGTATTACAGGAATATTTAAGGTGTATTACACAATACTTAGTTTTTAATCATATCTCCTGAGAATGATGCCTTCTAATAGAAGCTTATGAAAAACTGGTTAAAAGATGTCTACAGCTTCAAAATTTCCTAAGTTATTTAAAAAACAATCTTTTATTTTCTATTCCTAGATATAATGATTACCAATTTAATATAAAGATTTAAAAGTAAATTAAAAATGCTAAATTAGGCTAGGTGGTGGTGGCATATGCCTTTAACCCCAGCACTGGGGAGGCAGAGGCAGGTAGATCTTTGGGAGGACAGTCAGAGCTACACAGAGAAACCCTGTCTCCGAAACAAACAAACAAGTAAACAAACAAAAACTAAATTAGAAGCTTAACAACATGGTGTGTTGGGGGCACAAGCCTGTAACCCCAGCACGGAGGAGACTGAAAATTTAAGGCCAGTCTAGTTACATGATGATGCCCTGTCTCAAAAATAAACAAGCTTTCTAGCTCCCAATCAAAAAGGTTGCACTATAGCATTTTTACTACATTCTATTATTGTTTCTGTACCAAGTTCTAAGTCTTTTCAAGTTAAGAACTTTATCATAATAATCCATGTTCCTTGGCAGTGACCAGGGAAAGTTTCCCACCTCAGAGGCATTTACATGTATTTAAATCCCTACTTTTCAGATAGGGAAGAGGCTAGGAGAAGACTTGCTTAGGGAAACTTCATTCAGAGAGACTCACACTCTTGAATTACTTTGCCTAGTCTCATTTAAAATTTCTTATTTAAAAACATTTTTGAAGACTGGAGAGATAACTTTATAAAGGGGTAAAGGGTGCTTGCTGTTCTTCTATGGGACCTGAGTTCAGTTGTCACCACCTGTGTCCAGGAAGCTCAACCAAGACCAGCTCAGTTTCAGGGGATCCAGCATCCTCTTCTGGTCTCTGAGGGCACCTACACGTATAAGTGGCATACATACACATAAAAATTAAAATAGATCTTCTTTGTAAAAGAAGCAATGGGGCTAAAGAGCACAGTGGTAGAGCTGTTGTCTAGTGAGTGGTGTTTACTTGCGAATACTGGTTGAGATGAAGCCTCACATGGTGACCAGTGCATCTTAATATCACTTCCTTGTTGGCAACACCCAAGTAAGGTATAGGCAGAGCACAAACCAAAATATAATTGGATAATTTTCAACAATTTGATTTTGGTATTTTAGTATTTTAGTACTGTGTGTTACACACAAAGTCTCATACATACAAATAAACATCACTCACCTCTTCCACTAAGAAATCTCCCTTTGGATACTACCAGCCATAAACCTCTCCTTAGAATAGTAATGCCTCAGCAGGACTGCATCCTAAGTATTTAGATTATAGAATCACACGACTGGAGATGAATCAAACATCAGTTAAAAGTACTTAAGTTATATAGCTTATGTTTCAAAATAAGCTCTGTTGAAGGAGTACATTTCTTAGTCATTTTGTGGCTTATTGCACTTCCTGCAACTGCTATTGATAAACTTCCTCCGCTGCACAGAAACCATTTCAGTGTGCTAGAGGACCATTTTTAATTTGAACCACCAACGTGCCCTGGGATAACAAAAGTTGACATTCTACGAAAGAAGGTATCAGGTAAGAACAACTGACACAGACATTTCTTTTTATTTTTGCTTATAATTTATTTTAAAAACCAAAATATCTTTAGGTTTTACAGTAGAATTCAGCTCTTGACAGTTTAAAGATGTCTACAGAAGCTTTTCTGTGGCTCTGCTATACAGAATTTTAAAAATTTATATCGTCTCAAAGATTTCCATCGATGTTTTAATATTACCAGCCCTTCGAAGTTTACTTAGTCAAAATATTTGTTAACATTACTTTAATAATTTTTAAAAAGCTAAGAGTTAAAAATAAATTCTATGGGCATTGACTGAGTTTTAAATCTTTAAAATATTGTTTAACAATTCTAAAGACTGAGGCTACAGGCCAGTGGCAATACTTGTCCAGCATGTGTAATGCCCTGGGTTTGAGCCCCATTATCACAAAGGAGAAAAAAAGAGTCTAATGTAGTTTCTATAAAGACTTTCTACTCATATAGATTTAAATTATCTAATCAATTTATTCCCCTCAGTCAGGGTTTCTATATGTAGACCAGGCTGGCCTCTAATGCAAAACCCTTTTGTCTCTACATCACAAGTACTGGGATTAAAAGCATGCACCACCATGCCTGGCCTAAATTATTATTATTTTTTTGTTTATCCCTTTTGATGGTCACCTTTGTTTTGAAATTAGATAGATACTTATTATGTATTTTTATATAGAAGGAATTTTATGTATAAGTAATAATTATGACATATAACTATTATATTTCATCTAAAAAGCTCCGTAAGACAAAACTATTATGATAAAATGGGTATGTGAATATTCACATCATTCATGTGCATAACTACATACTCTGAACTGACCTTTTAGTGAAGAATATAAAACATAAAACCAGGCACAGAAAAGACATTTTGTAAGAACTTGTCAATATATACAAACGATACTTGCCTTGTAAATAAATGGGGGCAACTACAGATAGATAGATAGATAGATAGATAGATAGATAGATAGATAGATAGATAGATAGATAGCATGGAGCTTCCATAGATGTGTAACCCTAAGGAAAACTATGTTGGAAGTGGGTAGACCCCATTTCAACACTTCAACAACATAGCTTTCCCTTTAAGCAGTCTGGTAGGAATTTTGTTTTTTAAGCTAAGAAATAAAGATCTTTTAAAGCTCAGATTTGTCTGAAACAGGACTAAGTCTCAAGTTTAACAGTTTCTGTTTTCAACTAGTTCCTACATAATTCTACTTGGAAGTATCATGTGAGTAATTTTGAACTTGCTAAATATAAACCTGATGACTTTTAAGGCTCAATCTTTAAAATACCGCAATTAACTGCAATTATGACAGCTTATCATGCTAACCATTCAAAACTCCTAACTGTTCACACAGACCCCTGCTTGCAACTGATGTGGGTTTTCTGGTATTTCTTTTCCTATCCTTCATGTAAGCCTAGCTCCTAAAGTTACTTACACAGTACCAGAGACTGTATTACAAGAGTCTCTTTTGGATACAAAGCCTTTCTCATCCCTAACTCCATCAAAGGCTTCGGCGTGTCACAGAAGCATTAGTGCCACTGCTTAGAGTTGTGACAGCTTGCCACATTAGCCAATTATCCTCCCTCCCTCCCTCTCTCTCAAATGGATCCTATTAGCCAGGAACTTTCTGGGTGTTCGTAATGGTAGCTATTATCACTGATTAAAGATGGCCATAAAAACACTACTTTGAATTCAAGATTGATTTCTTTTCTGACTTCTTCCTTTTACAGTTTCAATAGTTAGAGATAAGACTAACACTATGTATTTATCTCTTATATCTCTTATAATTTATTTCTCTTGCTGTTTTTGTTTTTTGGGGGGGCAGGTTTCACTCCTGTCTAGCCTGGAACCCCCAAACAGACCTAATTGGCCTTGAATTCAGAGATCTGCCTTCTGCCTCTAGAAATGAAAGGTATGCACTTCCACACCCAGCTATAGCTTACTTTTCTTACATCAAAACAACTGAAACACACAGTATATTGTATGCTTATTTGAGACAGAGTCTTACTATGTAGCTTTGGTTGGTCTGGACCTCCCTAAGTAGACCAGACTGCCCTCAAATTCAGAGATCCACTTGGCTCTGCTGCTAGTGCTGGACTTAAAGACTTGAGCCACCATGCACAGTTGAAAGACAAAATTTTTGACTCAGTTATCTATACTTGCCTTTTTTTCCTAAGGAATATTTGTCAAAGTTCACTGATTCCTTATTAAAATTTCTTATCATGGTCAATTTAACAGCATTCATTTTACTCAGGTATTTCTGTGGCACTGGGGATCAAATTCAGGACCTTGTGCATGATAGGCAATCCCATAATACTGACCTACACTCCTATCCCTGCCAGCATGCGACAAGTACATGCTTAATAGCAGGGAGCTCCTTCTTCATTGTAATTGTGCTTAAAATACTGATTCACTAAAACAATGGACATTCTCCATTTTAAAAAATAAATTTCTAGGAAAACAAAGGAAGAAAATAATAGATTTAGACGTCAGGTGCAATCTAAAATATAAAGAGAAATGCTGTTATAACAAAGTTGGGAAATCTGGATTTTCCTGAGCAGATTAAAGAATTTCCAAGAAAAGTCCTATATAGATTGTGCATATGTTCTCTGTAGATAGCAGGCAATACTTTGGGTAGTGTCAGGATAAGTGAGGATGAAAGAAATCTTAAGGACCTTTGCAGCAGACAAGGGATCCTAGAATGACCTGGATGGTCAGCTCCCTTTTGTTAATTCTTCGTACCCACACAGAGGCCAATGACAGGGAGTGACAATTCCCAACAACCTCTTTACCCAGGTCAATCTCTCCCCAGCTTCATTTTACCTACTTCAGTCTTCTCAGTAACTTCTTGATAAGTAGCTACCATTTCCAACTATTTCTTTTTCTTCAATACCTTTTCTAATATACTGATCCTTTTCCACATATCTGCTGTATCCTAGAATTTTTGTAAAATTTCTCTTTAGTGGTTTTTTAAATATTTTCATTTCCATTTCCTGTCTATCCTAATTTTATCCCTTTAATCCCCTGCTCTAAATTTAGCTGACCACCATCTTTCTCTGCAGAAATAGGCATATGCTGTTAAACAGTTAGAAAGTACATTTAATAATTTCATGTATTATAGGTAAGTAATAACACTGACTTCTAACACCTCTGGAAAAAAGTCAGGTTCCCCTCCCTCAAAATTACTAAATCTTAAATTTCTTCTTTTTGTCTTGATGCTTCTTTTATAGAGTATTCTGAACTTCTGTAGTAAGATTCTAACGGGTTCTAGTATTCTGCTGCAGCAGATTCTAGGAGGGTACACAGCTAAGTGATGAGCAGGAGGAAGTGGCAGGGTATTTGAAAATTGGGTTTTGCTTTTACTATCGCTGACAAGTGGAAACACAACCCTGAAGTTTCTAACTTCCTATTGACATGAGAAGTGATGAACCTATCAAAATGCGATCTTGCAAACCAAACTGGGTTTTATAATTATGCTCCTGTTTTGGCTGGTTCTCCTCTATTTCCCTTTTCAGCTAACTAAAAAGGGGAACCGTATGGTTTCTTTATTTTAAGCAAAGTTACAAAAGAGGAAACATTTTTAGCTAGAGACAATTCACGGCCTATATCTTCGGTTGCTTTGGAAAGCATTTTCTAAAAACATCTACAAAATGAAACCCTGAACATCATTTTCTAAGCAAGCCTTTTTTGGGTAACCTATAAAAATGACTGTGTGGAACAGCACAAGAGATGACCATCTAGATGAGTCAGATCTTCACATCCATGCCAAAAACTTCAATTTAAGAGTCTTAAAAAAGGAATAAAAATCAGGATTTACTTAAAATTTACCATCTCTGCTTATATTATGGTAGAAGTCTTAATAAAAAAACAAAAGTGAGCCAGGTGATGGTGGTGCATACGTTTAATCCCAGCACTTGGGAGGCAGAGGTAGTCACACCTCTGTGAGTTCCAGCCAGCCTGGTCTACAGAGTGAGTTCAAAGACAAGCAAGACTCTGCCTCGAAAAATCAAAACAAACAAACAAATGCGAAATGGCAAAGGACCAAGAGGCCCAGCAAATATTTATTGAGAAACTAAACTAGAAGGTATAGGGGAATCAACATAAGAAAACATGAGACAATGGGGGAACAGAAAAAAATGCAGGTTTAAGATTATCACGGTCTTGGGTACAAATTCTCAGGCTGTCACTAACAGTCACACCCAAGACAAATTGCTCAACTCATTCCAATTTGCTTCTTTGTGAAGATAAAATGAAATAAAGTATATAAATCACAAATTTATGGCATATTCTTCATAGGTATTTTCTTCTTTTGTTTCTTTCCACCTTCATAGACTTTTTAAAAAAAGAATCTTGTTTGAAGTGATGGGAATAATAATAATAATAGAAAATGTGAAACAACATAATAAAAAAAAACCCATCAAAATTACTTAGGCAAAGAGAAGCAAGAGTAAGGTACATCCCAAGAGAGCAGTGAGTCAGTAAGAACAAATTACTTAGGCAAAGAGAAGCAAGAGTAGGGTGCATCCCAAGAGAGCAGTGAGTCAGTAAGAACAGATTACTTAGGCAAAGAGAAGCAAGAGCAGGGTACATCCCAAGAGAGCAGTGAGTCAGTAAGAACAAGGAAGACTCGGAGAGCAGCTATTTGTGGCTGTGGTCAGTTACAGACAACTTGGCTTAAGAGGGGAATTTAAATTGAGGTCTGTGAGATGAAGACGGGTTCAGGCCAGCCTGATCTACAGAGAAAGTTCCAGGGCAGCCATGGCTTCACAGAGAAACCCTGTCATGGGGGGCGGGGGGGGGGGGAGACAGGCTCAAACATATAGTCAACAAGGAAGAGGACTGGGCAAAAAGAGCACAGCAGAAGACAGTGAGAAATGGCATGATTTAATGTTTAGGAAGCAGGCAGGAAGTTAAGCTTGGTCTGTAAGTTTTCTCTAGACAGAAACAGTGAGTCCTTACATGAAGCAGCAACCAGATCATGTATGTTTTATAATCAGCACCAGGCAAGGGAATTCAAACAGAGCTCTTTTAAATATTAGGCTTCAAGCATTAGAGAGAAAATACAAAGGAAGAGACAAAGAAAAAACCATTTTTTTTTCTTGTAAGTCTGAGTCCTTCTGGCTCAAGCTTGTGATCTTAGCATTCAGCAAGTTGAGGAGGAAGTATCTCAAGTGCAGGGCCAGCTTGAGCTACACAGGGAGACAGTTTCTCTCTCTCTTTCTGTTGGGGAAGTCCTGTTATTTGCCTGTGCATTTGTCAATAAAGTACTGTCTGGCCAATAGAAAACCTAGATAGGAGGGACTAGGAGTCGAGGAGGATTCTGGGAAGGGGAAACACAAGAGAGTCAACATGTGACGCCATGGGGGTAGGACGCCGGGAACTATTCTCCGGTAAGAAACATACTTAGATTAACAATTATGGGGTAATTACTTAAGGCAGAGCTAGCCAGTAAGGGACAAGCAAGGCCAACAGCTTCATAATTAATATAGCCTCCTGTGTGTTTATTTGGGACTCATGCGGATCTAGAACCAGGCTGGCGCGGCAGAGCCCAGGCGACTGGTGGGGGATAAACCAAAGCGGCTAGCAAAAGAAAAAGCTTCTCTTAACATCTTTCTCTTTTTATTTAATTTAGAAACAATCTTATTTTACATATCAATTCCAGTTCCCTCTCCCTCCCATTCTTCTATGCCCCCCACCGACCTCCCCATAGGGGATCATCAATGTCTGTTATTTCGTTTGGGGAAGGACCAAGGCCCTCCCCTGTGTATCTAGGCTGAGAGAGTGTCCCTCCATGGAGAATGGGCACTAGGGATGAATACTTGTTCCACTGTCAGACAGTTTCTTAAAAAACAAAAACAACAATAAAGAGACAGAAAGAAAGAAAGAAAGAAAGAAAGAAAGAAAGAAAGAAAGAAAGAAAGAAAGGAAGGAAGGAAGGAAGGAAGGAAGGAAGGAAGGAAGGAAGGAAGGAAGGAGGAAAGGAGGGAGGGAGGGGTCATTTATCATTATCTACTATACTAATGGTAAGGTGGATAAGGAAATAAATACTACTCAAATTGCCAAAATCTTTTATTATACCTTCGGAGTCAGGGAAAAACTAGTTTCTTATATATACCAACTTGTATTTTAACAGTCTGAGACTTTCCTTTCCTTAATGTTAAAAATAGCACTGCTACTTAAGACAGATGATACTGTGTTTGGTGATGTCCACAACAAGCCCATTATACTCAGTGCTGACAACGCCAGCACTGGGCTCACTATAAAGTGTGAGGCAACTGAAAACAGTTAAATTAAGTGACCTTACATGCAGAGTTAAGCGTACAGTGTACAACTGGAACTTTAGAACTTAAGTCTTCAAGTTTCAGCATCAAGCACATCCCACAAAAAGGCAGCTGCCAAGCCTATATTGTGCCAGGTCTTTTGGCCTGGGAAATGTATGTGCGTAACTGGTTCTTACAGTAGTCTAAGACTTAGATCTGCTTCAACATCTCTGGGAAACCTTCCCAAAGTCCTCCCAGGTCAAGAGAGTTCCTCTGTTCATCTACTGAGTATGAGGAAATATCAAATTACTATAATTTTATTTTATTTTTTTTGAGACAGGGTCTCTCTATGTAGTTCTGGCTATCCTGGAACTCACTATATATACCAGGTTGACTTTGAACTCACAGAGATTGCTTGCCTCTGCTGGAATTAAAAGCATGCACTACCATGCCAGCTGGGAAGTCTCTTTTTAAAAATATGCTGAATTTCGTGGTCATGAGATACACACATGAAATGTCCACTATAGAAGTTATATAAATGGACTCAGAACAAAGGAGTTGTAGGCTGGGTGTGTAGGTTTGGTAGTTATGGCACAAGGGTGAGAGTGGAAACTTACAGAACCAGGAATCAAGAAAAGTGAAAGGTAGAGGGAGACTGAATACTGAGTATCTATATTAAGGAGACAGGAGAAAAAGATATGACTAACTTGGCATGAAAGGAAGACTGTATTACAAAAGCTACTGAAATGTTGGTGAAGGAGTAGTCAATAAGGTCAAATGTGGTGGACAGAGAGCACAGGAGAAAAAAGTAAAGACAATAGTTTAAGGCACCATGGTCACTGGTGTTCTCAGCAGAGGCAGACCCGCTTATTCCTAGGAACAGATGAGAGAGCACATGGTCCCAGCAGGTTGAGCCTCCACACTTGAGAAGATAAGAAACAAAGGAGTAGAACCTAGGGAAGCTAGAGGGACTTGCAAGGTTGAGTGGGATTTTATAAAAGAATTAAAGATTTCTTCCCAGGAACTTCAAACGCTGTACTATAAATTGGAATATTACATTCTGTCAAGTATAAACCAGAGTGAATACTAACCAAATGCCTAACCATAAAGAGTCAAATGTAATTAGACATTAGCTGACAGTTGTCTTTCTTTTCTCTCTTTCTTTTTTTATTCTTTCACCGTGAAATCACCGATAAAGAGGAAACATTCCAAAATGGAGTCCAAGTATTTCATCTTAATTTTGCTTTGTCAATACCTGAACAATACATTTTTCTCAGAGACAGAAGCAACTACAACAGAGCATCAAACACAGCCTACTGTACTTACATCATCAATGTTATATGTTGCAACTAATTCTCAAAACACAACAGAGAATGCTTTAAATCAAACAACACAAGTCAATATTTCTTCTGGACGACAATTACTGCCTGCCAAAATCACTCCTGGACAACCAACAACAGCTCTTTATGTCTCTTCTACAGTACCAGTATTGCATACTTCTGCAAGACCACTCGTCTATAACATCACCAGACATGCAATATCAACAGTCAACAACTCCTTCCCACAAATGCCACTACCTGAGTCCACTTTGGCCAATCAACCATCACCTTCTACTCATAATTCCACTAGACAACCACCAAGACCTCTTGTCTATACTTCCACACAACAGCCACGGTTACCTGATCCTACCCCTTCTGGAAAACCAGTACCACAGACTGTTCATAATCTACCCATAAAACCAACACCAACTATTTACTCACCTAGGACTAGCAAATCATCAAGGAACACACAATTGTTCACTTCAGAACCAATGAGTGGCAAAGGAACTGCACATAAAACCAACCACAATGCACTAGCTGCCATAATAATTGGTGCAATAATAATTTCTATGTTGGTAGCTATACTCATGATTATATTATGGAAATACTTGAGGAAACCAGTTTTAAATGATCAAAACTGGGCGGGTAGGTCTCCATTCGCTGATGGAGAAACACCAGACATGTGTATGGATAACATTAGAGAGAGTGAAGTATCCACAAAGCGCACATCAGTTGTTTCACTTATGACTTGGAAACCAAGCAAAAGCACACTGTTAGCAGATGATTTAGAAGTTAAGCTGTTTGAATCAAGTGAACACATCAATGATACCAATAACCTCAAAGCTGAGAGTATAAAAGATCAAATAAATGGTGTATCAGAAGACAGTGCTGATCGGTCAACAATTGGTACAGCTGTGTCTTCTTCAGATGATGCAGACCTGCCCCTGCCACCTCCCCTTCTTGATCTGGATGGGAACCCATCTGACAGGCCCACAATGGTAACTGTATCTCCTTTACCAAATGATCCTACCAATTTCCAATCATCTCCAGATAATCTAAATCAAGCATGTGAAGATCATAATTCCAATATCAAACAGCCATTTCCACCACCCCCTAACTCTAATTTGCCTCTGCCAGCAGTAGATTGTATAAACAGTCAAGAGTCTAACCATGAGATTCAAGGGCAGGAGTTCTCTACTCTTGACTTCCATCAGGATCTCACTGACTCCCTGCCACCACCACCTCCAGAGCTGCTGTAAAGTGACAGCTTGCTTTCTAGTCTGTCCCTTAGTCTGAGAAAACTCCATCCTGGTCCTGATCACGGTAGGGCACACATCACATGACAAGTGACAGCTGACTGACTTCTGTTTAGGAATTACCTGATACCTTAGTGAAGCCCATGTACTTGGGTAGATTATTACAGTGGTATAATTATCAGCTATAGAACTTATGCTTAAAGCAGAGCACCTTTTATATATGTGACTGATACATACATCAATAATGTTACCATTTTGGAAACATGTAGTATATATGTACTTATTGTTACCCAATAGATTTTCCCCTTGAAAAGCTGTATGTAAACTTGTGTTGACTAAATAAAATTTTATTTTTCCATCTCAAAATTTTGGGTATAGTAAAATGAGACATTTTAAATAGTCTAAGTTTTAATACTTCAAATACTAAATATTTCAATTTATGGAGATGAAAGACTAAAATACATGTCTAAGAACAAGTCATTTACAGTTTTGGTTTTACTGGAAACGTACAGACACAAAACCATATTAAAACATGAAATCAGAGTGCTGTGCTGGGGAACATTTACCCTGAAAAAATGAGGACCCACCGTAAAATGCACACATTTCTTTTTTTATAATTAAAATTTTATGTGTATGAGTGTTTTGTCTACATATATACATACATACACACCATATATATGGCTGGTGCTTGAGGAGGCCAGAAGACGACACTGGGCACTGGCTCCCTGGGAACTGGATAGTTACTGAAGTTTGTGAACTGTCATGTGGGTGCTGAGAACTGAATCCGAGTCTTCTGCAAGAGCAGTAAGTGCTCTTAACCACTGAGCCACTCTTTGTACTTGTTTTGTGTGCTGGAGAGTGGGGAGTGAAGGTGCAAGGAGGCAAGAGAAGATAACTTGCGGAAGTGGATTCTCTCCTTCCATCAAGGGTAGAATTCAGAGCTCAGACCATCTGGCCTGACAGCAAGCACCTGTTGCGTGGTATTTTGATTGCATTCTGACAATAAAGTTTGTTTGAATCAGATGGCAGAGCTGGCCACTAGCTGACCAAAATTAACCATAGAGGTTTTGGAAGATAGAGGAAGTAGTATGGTGGGGCTTAGGGAGGATCTCAGCCTTTTTGAAGGATGGAAGAGGTAGGAAGTCCCTGGTGGTTGCTCAGTCGTTTCTCTGATCTTTGAGGCTCTTACCCCCATATCTGACTCTTGATTTTGGGGGGGGGTTTGAGACAGGATTTCTCTGTGGCTTTGGAGAATGTCCTGGAACTAGCTCCTGTATTTCAGGCTATTCACCTGCCTCTGCCTCCCACGTGCTGGGATTAAAGGTGTGGGCTACCACTGCCTGGCTATAGTTATTTTAAAACTACCTTTTAGAAATGCTAAAAAGAAAAGAAAAATTTCTGTGTGTGTGTGTGTGTGTGTGTGTGTGTGTGTGTGTGTGTACACGCGTGCTCTAGCTGCCTGTGTGAGGGTTATTTGTGGATGTCAGACATGCTGGAACTGAAGTTACAGGAAGTTATGAGCTGTCATCTAACACGGGTGCTGGGAACTCTGATACAGCAGCAAGCTCTCTAGACTGTTGAGACATCTCCATAGCCCCAAGCACCCTTTTTAAATGTAGAAGTTCAACCTTAAACCATTACCTGACAATTGATGAGAATGAGATATCAGATAGGTGTGGGCACAACCCTTGTCAAAGTAAAGGGGTAAGTGGGTATTGGCCACTTTGTGCAGACATCAGTAAGGCTACAAAAGTCCTATCTGCCTGACAAGCACATCCTCTTCCTAATCTTACCTTAAATTCAAGAGAAGAGATACTTAGAGCACAAAATTTGGGACTTTTCAGGATATAATATAGTATTCATTTGTAACAGTGTTTAAACACTAAAAAGCCCATCTGCTAGAAAAACAACTCCTCTTGGGCAGTGGAGTTTTACTTATTTAATGCAATTATTATGATAATAATTATTACTGTTTTTGTTTCGTGAGAGAAGGCCCCTTTATGTAGCCCTGGCCTTCCCGGAACTCACTATACAGACAAGGCTGCTTTCAAACTCACAAAGATCCGCCTGCCTTTGCCTCCCAGATGCTGGGATTAAAAGTGTGACCCTCACACCTGGCTTAACTGTTAGTTTACACACAATACTTGACTTACTTCTTCCAAGCCACCTCTTACTGACAATTAACACTTTTATCTGCAGAAACACCCATTGAGCTACTTATTTCAAGCATTATGGTTTTTCATCCTATCACACTGGTTCTCTTCTATCATTCACATTAAAATGTCTTTCATGTATCTTCAAACAGCATTCTAAGGCTAATTTACACAACACACACAGGAGTTTTGAGGATTTCTTGTTCTTCTTTAAGTATTTTTATTAGAGCAATGAGGTCTAGCAGTTCGTGTTGGAATGCCACAGACCATCAAAACCCTTCTCGTTTTACATGTAAGAGCCCCAAAAGGCTCTTTCCAAAGTTTTGTTCCTTTCAACACCTTCCTTACTGACCTCCTGAAAAATGAGTATTACGAAATACCTCTTAGATAAAACAGGAGTTAATGGAGAAGCCGGACAGAGGGCTCAGCAGTTTAGAACGCTTGATGCTCTTACCCAGGTCCAGTTCCTAGTACCAACAAGACAGCCTACAACTGATCACAACTCCAGTTCCAGAGATGCAGTGCCCTTCTTCTGATTCTACAGGCACCAGGCACACCAGTGGTATAAGGTCTATATCCAGGTAAGACACTCATATGTATAAAGTGAAATTAATAACATTTATTTATTTTTATTCTATGAGTATTTTGCTGACATGCATGCCTGTACCACTTGTACCTGGTCCCTGTGGAGACAGAAAAGGGCACTGGATGCCTGGAACTGGAGAAATGAATGCAGTGAGGCACCATGTGGGTGCTGGGGACGGAACCTGGGTTCTCTGTGAGAACAAGTTCTACAACTCATTCATATCTCCATCCCCAAATAAATAAATCTTAAACAAACAAATCAGGAGCTATTCTTGGTTTTCTCCAATTATCAGTATAGCAGATAGTAGAGGTAGTTGAGATTTTTGTTTTTATTTAAAGAAATTCTGGGGGACGGGTGGGAGGGGGAAAACTGACTTTTACAGCATGCAATTTCTCTCTACTAAGGTTAGGGGAAACGGAGCAACTGAGCAGCCCAACAGTGAAAACTCCTGCTTAATCAGTAGGAAGACATGGAAATTAATAAAACAAATACAAGACAGAAGAAAATGCTAGGGGGTGGGAGAAGAGACAAAACAAAATAAAACAAAAACGAACAACAACCCTAATCAACCTCAGAGAAAAGATTACAAAATTAGGGTGCTGAAGAGACAAGAACAAGGTATGGGATGGTGAGACAACTCAGAGAGTAAAGGTGCTTGCTGCCAACCCTGACAATGTGCGCCAGGTTATGAAAGCACATGTAGCATGCACACGCACACACACACGCACACAAAGGCAAGGCAGACTACTGAACTTCAGATTATATACCAGTGGTGCCCTTACCAGATCTGCATTAGCAGCCTGGAAGACCATTTAGTACCCAACCCCACCCCACCACTTTTCTTAGCTGCTAAGAATATCAGAACCAGGAAAAGCAAGTGACTCAGTCAGAAATCATACTTCATTTTGCTCAAAAAGTAGAGTAGCAAAATACTTGGGAATTTATAATTAAAATGCTATGTATGAACAGACCAATGAATAGAACAGAATATTCACACATAAACTCAAATATCAAGTCAGTAGGAAAAAGTTGTGGGACTATTCTTGATATATATTTGAAAAAAGAAAACTGGATTCACATTTTACACTACATTAGAATAAACACCAGGTGGATGGAAGATCTAAATAGAAAGCATGAAGTGGATATGATACAAGAAAATGTTGCTGAATTCCTTTATAAATTGAACTCTAGAAAACATCTTCCTAGTTGAGACTAAAAGTCTAGAAGCAATAAAAATGCTCAGTTTCATGAAATTTTTCAAAAATCAAAACCAAAATATAACTCAGCATTAAAAGATCAAAAGACAACCAGGTAGTGGTGGCGCATACCTTTAATCCCAGCATTCCGGAGACAGAGGCAGGAGTTCAAGGCCAACCTGGTCTATAAAGTGAGTTCCAGTACAGCTGGGACTATCACACAGAGAAACCCTGTCTTGAAAAATTGAAAAAAAACTAAAAACTAATGGGGGGGGGGATTGGGAGAGAGAGTGGGTGGGTGGGGAGGGAGGAAGGAAGGGAGGTTGAGGAGGTAATTGGTGAACAAAGGGATCTAGTTGAATGTTCATATGATTCTGTTTTGTCAGTTTTTCTATGCTTTAAAAATGTTTTATTCCATATTCTTATTTGTTGCTGTCAGCAGGAAATTCAGTTGAAACTTAACTGTATTACAGACTATAAAATCCTAATCAAAAAATTTTAAATCCTCTGAGTGCTCAAAAATTGTTGGGAGCTCAGTTCTTTACCCAAAGGAAGCTCAATAGGCATGTATGTATACGTATGTGTATAAATATATTAAAAATGCTAAGCTTGGAAATACTTCTGGTCTCAAGCATTTTAGAAAAGGAATGCTGCAGGGTGGAGAGATGGCTCAATGGTTTAAAACATTTGTTGCAAGCCCGGTGGTGGTGGTGCATGTCTTTAATCCCAGCTTTCAAGAGGCAGAGGTCAGGGATCTTCAAGGTCAGCCTGGTTTACAGAGCAAGTTCCAAGACAGCCAGGTCTACACAAAGGAACCCTGTCTGGAGAAAACAAAAACCAAATCAACAACAACAACAAAAAACAGACACACACGTGATGCAAATATGTGCAAGTAAAACATTCATACACATAAAATAAATAAATCTAAAAAAAATAAATGGGATGCAGAAGCGGCATCAAATGATAGAACTTTGGCTCACAATTATTGGGAACAATCAATGTTACCAATTTAAGAATAAAGGAACACTGGAGCTGTTGACTGCAATGGGATGGCTACTACCTGACAGGTTGCTTGCTGTATCTTTCACAGAGATCCACCTGCCTCTGCCTCCCAAGTGCTGGGATTAAAGGCGTGCGCCACCAACGCCCGGCCTTAACTTAATTCTTAATCTAAACCAGCTGTCTAAATATATATAATCTGTGATGTTGATGAACTTATCTAAAGTGTAACTAAACTTCTGTATAACATCTAAGATAAGTTTTCACACGTATTTGTTTTTTTAAAAATTATTCTTGTACAGCAGTGGTGGGACATGCCTTTTAACCCCAGCACTGGGAAGGCAGAGACAGGTGGATCTCTGTGAGTTTAAGGCCAGCCTGGATCTACAGAGCAAGTTCCAGGATAGGCCTCAAAAACTACACAGAGAAAGCCTGTCTCAAAAAAACAAAAACCAAAAGAAGAGGAAGAGGAAGAAGAAGAAGAGGAAGAAGAAGAAAGAAGACGACACCCCCACGCCCCCGCTAGAAATTATTCCTCTTGCCAGGTATTGTGGCATGCCCCTTTAGTCCCAGCACTCAGGAGGCAGAAGGAGGTGAATCTCTGATTTCAAGGTCAGCTTAGTCTACAAGACTGGGTTCCAGGACAGCCAGAGCGACATAATAGAGAGACCCTGTCTCAAAACAAACAAACAAACAAACAAGAATAATATACTATCAAATTTCTGAGAATCCTTCACAGTATAAGATTGCTGCATTTAACATTGAAATGACCATCCCTCTTTCTTTCTGAGAAATCATCTTTAATATGAAGTAAATTTGAAATGAAAAACATCATTTTTTGTATAGCAGAATCCAATCCTAATGAGCCTCGACATTTGAACTACTGCTGTAACCCTCAAAGCTGGCTGCTGGTGGCCTGAAGACCAGCAGCTAACCCCATGTTCCAAGGGTCTTGTAACTTTGAGGGTTACAGCTGGGCTCTGTTTCTCCTGCTTCTGATCTGTGTTCTGCTCCCTATCTGCCACTGGGTATGACCTGATCCTGTGGCACTGACTGGGCCACTCCAGTCCCCAGGTCTTCTCTGCCACAAGTAAGTGATAATATGAGCTGAACAAATCCTTCCTCCCTAAGCTGCCTGTCAGGTATTTTGTCACAGTTCCATCAAAGTCATTAATACAGACTAAGCTTAAATTAATTTTGAACCGTTAATTAATAATAGAACATTTTCTTTCAAATGAAAGTACTGGTCAGTGTAATTCGAACAGGTAATTCCACTCCTATAATGACTTAATGAGTCTTCCTAAGAGAGATTTTAGGGTTTGGCAAAATGATCCTAAACATATTGCTGAATGCAGGATTCCAAACATTATTTTTAAGGGTCTGAATGATGAGTAGATTCTGACTCCAAAGTCCAAACGAATACTAAAGTAAAGTGGCAATAAGACACTGAATCAATACAGATCTCTAAAGATGCAGATTCTTTTCGAGGAACAAACTAGTTTTATCTAAAGGTACCTCCTAGAAGACAGCTCTAAGAAGATAAGTTGTAGATTTCAATAAAGTCACTTCCTTTATAGATACAAATAAAATGATAGCTCATAAAATGTAGGGAGGGTACACAAACTACTTAGTATCTATGCACTTTCTGAACTTGTAATATGCTAATAATTGCTGGTTTTAAAATGATGACAATTTGAAAAAATAGATATCATAATTTTATTTATTTTCTTTCCTAAAGTAAAATGGTCATTTTGTAAATTAGATTTTGAGGTTTACTTGATTATTAATATAATCACTCTACCTAAGATACCATAAATCTAATTTTTAAAAACTATTAATTATGATTTCATCTTTTATAAACACTACTGCATATATTTTTAAACCTATTAACTTTTTGGGAAAGATAAAATATAAACATGAAACACTAAGTAAATAACTAGAAAATATTAATTTTATTTTATATTGTATATCTCATCTACTCTAGGCTGGCCTTGAATTCCTGTCTTCCTGCCTCCACCTCCTGAGTGCACACCTGGGATTACAGGTATGTACTGTCTTTCCAGCTTTGATACTGTAGTCATAAAATAAATCAAATTAATGGTCTTTTGTACAGCATCAACAATATCTTCGAAGAAAGCAATCCTCTATACTATCCAAAGTAAGTTTCATGGAGAAAAATAAAAGCAAGCCTCCATCTAACTCAAATATATAAAATATGAACAATTATCTTACCACTTGAACTGATAACTAAAAGTCAAGTATTGCAGAGGAAAAAAAAATCTAGTATCTACCAGGTATGGGTAATACACATCTTTAATCCCAGCACCGAGAGGCAGAATCAGGCAGATCTCTTTGAGTTTCAGGCCAGCCAGGGCTACACAGTAAGACCCTGTTTTGTTTTTTGTTTGTTTGTTTTAAAGTCCAGTACCCTCATTTTACATGTAGCTTATCTTGGATTTGATCACCAGAACCAAGTAACGGTTGGGAGGGCATGAAGACTGGGGACAGTGTAGCTGGCCTATGCCTAGTATTAGTCAAATGATCATTTTTATCAGGAAGGCAAAAATAAAATAAGCACAGTAATTCCTGTGCTTCTCCTAAAAGATAAGATATGCAAGTGGTTAATAAACATGAAAAGCTAATTAAATATAATAATAACCATGATGGAGGAAAACATAAAAATCAAGATTTTATCATGACATATAAAAAGTTTACACGGCAACTGAACCATTTTTGAAAAGAACATAAACGTGTACGGATTAAAAATAGATCAATTAGTATCCTAGAAATCAATTCATAAGGAAGATTAAGTCCATTTTCAGCATTTCCACACCGAAAATGAATGTAGAACCTTTAACAAGAATTACAGCAAGGAAATGTTAAATGTGCAACCCAAGCTCAAAGACATACATAGAAAGAAGTAAAGGCCAGCCCTAATTTGCATGGGCTATTCCATCCAGCTCAGATCTGTAAATTAAAAAAAAAGAAAAGGTCCGTTTTGTTGCGTATGCACCTCCTGCAATAATTTGAGTCAGCACCAACGACAGCTCTGCAGTCCTCCTATGTGGTACTGATCAGGTGGTTGCAGAGCTTCAGCTCACAGCAACACAATGCAGCTGAGCAGGCACAGCCACAGACAGAAACCCTTCCGACTCCCCAAACAAGGCGACCTTTAAGCCTCAAGTTTCCCGGAGAAAATGAGATGCTGATGCTGAAGACGACATTATGGTAAGCAGCTATTTAAATTGGTAAAAGACTGGCTTTGGATTTTTTCCTTGTGTTCATTTAAAAAAATTTTTAAGCCAATGTTAGGATTGAATATATTCAATAACAAGTGCATGCACCAAAATTTGCTGCAGTAATAGTTGAGGTTTTCTTTTTAATGTCCACTCATTTTGTAAATACATATATATTGCTTTTCCTTTAGAATTACTACTGAAATACACGGGGGGAAAAATCACTTTACAAATGTGAGGTTTAAAGGTATGCTATCAGTCATGATTTTTCCGAGTTCATTAAAAATGTTTTACCAGGAGGTAGCTATCTATGAAAAGATGGACTAAAAAAAAAACTGTTTTAATGTAACTTTTAACATCTCAAACTACACATGTATTGTGTCTTACAATACTGCAGAGATTTAAGAAAAACAGACACGACAGCCATTTTTTCTGAATAAGAAAACATTATCAAAAATAGTAACAGCCTAACAGCCTAAGTAAGACTATAAAGCTCCTCATTTGTAGACAATGTCATTCGGTCCTATTAAGGCTTTGAGAAGATAAATCAGAACAAATATGGTAAGGGGTAAAAATAAGGAAGAAAATGAAAGAGAGCATCTCATCTCTTCTCCTCTCTCTCTCTCTCTCTCTCTCTCTCTCTCTCTCTCTCTCTCTCTCTCTCTCTCTCTCTCTGCGCCTCTGTCTCTTTTTTTTCTCGGTCTTTCTCTCCCTCAATTTCCCTCACCCCCAACTACCACATAGCCCCAATTGAAGGATTAGGCATTTGGACTATAAATGAAGGGCAGCTTTGTTAGTTTAATCACTGGAACAATTATAAAAGGACTCAACAACAAAGAGGGTTATTGAAAATTTTGCCGAATGCTAACTGACCCATGCAGATGCTGAAAGTGTATTTGCATATTAAAAGAAGGATGTATCTGTTTGTTTTCAGGCTTTGATGGAATATCAGATACTGAAAATGTCTTCCTGCCTGTTCATCCTTCTGTTTCTCACGCCTGGCATTTTATGCATTTGTCCTCTCCAATGTATATGCACAGAGAGGCACAGGCATGTGGACTGTTCAGGCAGAAACTTGACTACATTACCACCGGGACTGCAAGAGAACATTATACATTTAAATTTGTCTTATAACCACTTTACTGATCTGCATAACCAGTTAACCCAATATACCAATCTGAGGACCCTGGATATTTCAAACAACAGGCTTGAAAGTCTGCCTGCTCAGTTACCTCGGTCTCTCTGGAACATGTCTGCTGCTAACAACAATATTAAACTTCTTGACAAATCTGATACTGCTTATCAGTGGAACCTTAAATACCTGGATGTTTCTAAGAATATGCTGGAAAAAGTTGTTCTCATTAAAAATACCCTAAGAAGTCTTGAGGTTCTCAACCTCAGCAGTAACAAACTTTGGACAGTTCCAACCAACATGCCTTCCAAACTACATATTGTGGACCTGTCTAACAACTCACTGACACAAATCCTTCCAGGGACATTAATAAACCTGACAAATCTCACACATCTTTACCTGCACAACAATAAATTCACATTCATTCCAGATCAATCTTTTGACCAACTCTTGCAGTTGCAAGAGATAACGCTTCATAATAACAGGTGGTCGTGTAACCATAAACAAAACATTACTTATTTATTGAAGTGGATGATGGAAACAAAAGCCCATGTGATAGGGACTCCTTGTTCTGACCAAGTATCTTCTCTGAAGGAACAGAGCATGTACCCCACACCTCCTGGATTTACCTCAAGCTTATTTACTATCAGTGGGATGCAGACAGTAGACACCATTAACTCTCTCAGTATGGTAACTCAACCCAAAGTGACCAAAATACCCAAACAATATCCAGGAAAGGAAACATTTGGTGTCACACTAAGCAGAGATACCACTTTAACTAGCACTGATAAGGCTTTGGTGCCCTATCCAAAAGACACATCCACAGAAATGACCAATTCACATGAAGCAGCAGCTGCAACTCTAACTATTCACCTCCACGATGGAATGATTTCAAACACAAGTCTCACTAGTGCAACAAAATCATCCCCAACACCCATGACCCTAAGTATCACTAGTGGCATGCCAAGTAACTTCTCTGAAATGCCTCAACAAAGCACAACCCTCAACTTACGGAGGGAAGAAACAACTGCAAATGTAAAGACTCAACTACCTTCTGCGGCTAGTGCTTGGAAAGTAAATGCTTCACTTCTCTTTATGCTCAATGCTATGGTCATTCTGGCTAGTGGAGGGTCTGCAGTTTCTGAAACTAAGGAAAGCCTTCCTCCCTGATGTATAGTTGGGAAAATACGCCCCTATCTAACCAGTGATTCAAGCTATATTAAGTATTCAAGAAAGCCAGTCTCATATTTCTGACTTTGATGTAAATGAAGTAACTTGTCTTAATCAAAAGAAGTGCACAATGTCTTGGTACTTGCTGCTATTTTACTGTCTTAAGTAAAACTAATGACTTTTTTTTAATGAAATGTTTCCTTTTTAAGGCTTTAACTTATTGCACAAAATACAAAAGCATCTAAACTTTAATATGTATTTTATGTATGTTTACACTGTCAATGTCTGGGAAAAAAATAAAAGGTCTATGCTCATAGCTGTGTTGCTTGACTTTCTAGACATTATCATAATAATCTACTTAGTAGAATTGAGATGAACTAACAATTTCTCTTCTAGGGAATCCTGATAAGGCCCTTTAAGATGAATGAAATGTGGGGCACTCAAGGATTTTGCCATTAAAGTAAAACCAAGGCTGCTACTCTGTAAATGGCTACTCACATTATTTTATACCAAGCCAGAACTGTTTTAAATCTAAACAATGTCCTGCTTCTGAAGAACTCTTGGATACTTTACAGATTATATAAAGGACAAATGCTCTTCAAAAGGCTAGCAGACACTCGGTGTTGCATTTTTTTTCTTTGCATTTTTAACAAGGAAAATTTAACTTTGTTTTGCATGTAAGAAAAGTATTAAAAACAAGAGAATAAAAAGTTTCAGTTTAAGGACTTGTTAAAGAGTTTTCATGCATATTTAACAGACCATTAATTAATCAAAATTAAATATTCACAGTTAAATCTTACTACTATAGGAGAAATTCATCTTTTATAAAATCAGAAATTATAATCTGATCTACCAAATTTAAAGTAAGATTAGTTTGTGGCTCAAACCAGGGAATCTAACATTTTGAGTCATTCTGAGGGAGACTGTGGGATGGAGGGAGGATGGTATGAGTGGGATTCCTTTGGTGTCACAACTAGTTAATTATCTAGTAAAGTGAACTAATGACATGACTGGGTAGGGGACAGATTTGATACTCTACATCAACTGTACTAGACTCCAACTAGAATAAAATATTGAGAATTCTGGACAAAAGATGACAGTACTTATCTTAATTTTTTCATATGAATTAGTAACTAACATAAGAAACAGCTGAGAATCAACAAAAGAAGTCTCAATATAGGCTAAATTCAATGTAAAATAACATCTAAATCGGGCAAGATACAAAGGAGGCACTCACTCTGTGAGATAGAATGAAGAAATCTAACTTCAAGCATTTCTAACTTGCTATGCTTTTTCCTAAAAAAATTAAAATTCAGATAGTCTTCTTTCCTGGATTGAGATCACAACTGCCTTCGGCCAGCCCTGTTTGTATATGCGGGTTGTATGCATGTGAGATTGGATGCATCAGTTAATTTCCTTTAATTTCCTCATCCTCCACTCTCTTTGCTTTACTGGTTTGACACATGGTTTCTCACTGGCTAGGTGGCCAGTGAGCTGCAGGGATTTGTCTATTCACACCCCAATGGAAATGCTAGGGGTCACAGGCACATGCAGTCATGCCTGATTGTTTTTTAATGGTTGCTGGAGACTCCAACTAAAATCCTTGTGCTTTACTGAAGAGTAAGGATTCTTACCCATTAGCCATCTCCCCAGCCACTCAAGAACATTTCCATTCAGAAAGGAAAGTAACGACAGCAACTGAATTCTTCTCCACACCTTTTGGCATTGTCGTTGTGTTGAGACGAGGTCTCACTATGTGTAGAACTAGCCAGCTTGAAACTCCTTATGGAGACCAGGCTGGCCTCCCAATTCCCAGAAATCCACCTGCCTCTGCCTCCATGTGCTGGGATTAAAAGCAAGCACCACCATGCCTGCTCTAAAACTTTCTTATTGTTTTTTTTTTCAAAAGAAGGATTAAGCTTATAGAAAATTACAGGTATATTTCAATAAAAATCCCTCCTTAAATAGACTCTACAGTAGCTTCTGACTATTTTTCTGTCTCTATAAACTTGTCTCACTATATTAAGTAATCTCACCATGAAGAAAGCCCCTTAAAAATGATTTTAAAATGTATTACCTTTCAAATGGGTATTGTGTCCATTCTCCCTTCCAAAATGATCTAGTATCTTCACTATCCCTGACAGAGGCTAACTGCTTAGATAGTGCCTACTCTGCAATATTTGTGATTTGAGTTTTTTTTTAATAAACACACTGAGTTTCATAAGACCAGATTCTTTAGAGCTAACTTTTACATTGTGGATGCCAAACGTTTAACATATTAGAGCTCCTAGGGGGAGGATTACAAGAAAGTATAATAATGGATTATAACATTAGCAGCACCCATGAATTATATCATCCTGACTGACATGTCTGCAAAATGCAGAGGAAAAACTTGGTAAATTTACAGGTACAACATCTGTCAACTACACTGACGATGTCTTAGGAAGATATTATCTAGCCTTAAAGTAATTTGATTATACTTCCCCTCTAAGGAAATTATATTTGTATTATTAATCAAAGAGGGCCCAAAAAGGGCTAATTTCTCAATACTACTGTATTATTACCCCCCAAATATTTTAAAACGGGTTACTTCTGAGTATCTTTTCCTAAAGCTTATGTGTAAAAACATGTATAGGTATATGTCAGTATGTATGATAACTTACCACATTTTTTTTGTTGTTAAATGACTTGGCCAATTATAAAGTAATTTAAGGTTTCTAATCACATATAAAGTAAGTATATTAAACACAATTTCAATTTAGGGTATCATCAACTTACAAAGATTTTTATTGAGATGTAAGTCTGTCCCAAGTTGAAGAGTATCTATTCTATGCACATATATACATACATCTCTAGGGCTTTGTTGTATTTCTTGTAGTTGTTGTTTTCTAGACAGGCTTTCGCTGTGTAGGTTTGTACAACAAGCTGGCCTTGAACTCACAGAGATCCACCCGCCTCTGCCTCCAAGTGCTGGGAATTAAAAATGTATGCCACCACTGCCTGGCTTGTTCTATTTTGTAAATAACTTACTTCTGCCACTTAGCAATACAACCAACAAAATACTTGACTGTTCTAACTCATTCCCCTCATTTATGAAATGGGTTAAAAGAATAGTGTTGTCTTTTTTTTCTTGAGAATTAAATGACATCATCCACATAAAGCTTTTACAGTGTCTTAGCCATTCATGTGTTATTAAATAATCTCCTATAATGATGTTATGACTCAATAGCAAATTCCTTTAAAGGATAGCAAAAACAGTCAGAGACAAGTCACCTAAAATCATTCATAAGATTACACTTTAGAAACCAGGCGTTGGTGGCGTATGCCTTTAATCCCAGCACTTGGGAGGCAGAGGCAGGCGGATCTCTGTGAGTTTGAGACCAGCCTGGACTACCAAGCGAGTTCCAGGACAGCCTCCAAAGCCACAGAGAAACCCTGTCTCGGGAAAAAAAAAAAAAAAAGATTACACTTTAGAAGTTATGTGTTACAAAAAAGTTAAAAGACAGGTGTGATAGCACATGCCTTTAATCAAAGCACTTGGAAGGCAGAGGCAGATGGATCCCAGTGAGTTCGAGGCCAGCATGGTCTACATAGTGAGTTCCAGGACAGACAGGGCCATGTATAAATAGATGTGAATGAATGAATGAGCAAGCAAACATTAAGAACTAGTTAAGGAATGATAACCACAAATATTAAACCACCAACTTACATCATGTTGGTGAAAAACAATGTTTTTGTTTGTTTGGTTTCATTTTTAAGTGGAGCAAAAAAAAAAGATTTACTTGACATTAACTATGCTGTACAGACACGCACTTGGGTAAAACCAGCACAAGACTACAGTATCATGAAAGCCCTCTGAAGAGGATTAGCAACTGCAAATCTCAGTTGCACAACAAAGAGTCAGTGATGTCCACTATGAACCAACTTGTAAAACAAGTTGGGAGACTGGGTAAAGAGGCTTAATGTACAAGACTAAAGACCTAGGTTTGGATCCTGGTACCCATGCAAGGGTGGAAGGAGAGAAGTCATTTCATACAGTTTTCCTCTGACATCCACACATGTGCTGAGGCACACATGTACGTACGTGTATACACACACACACACACACACACACACACACACGGTGCTGGGAAAATGGCCCAGAAGTTAAGAGCATTTGTTGCTCTTACAGAGGGGCTAGGTTTGGATTCTAGAATCAACCCAGTTGCTAATAACCATTCATAATTACAGTTCCAGGGGATCTGATTGATAACCTCTTCTGACTAGACATGTGATACACGTACATACCTGCAGGCAAATCAGCCATACAAAAAAAAAATCTAAAATATTTTTTAAATAATAAAGAGAGGAAAGGGAAGAAAAACTCAATATATTTCAACTTTAAAAATCCCATCATTAGCCGGGCGGTGGTGGCGCACGCCTTTAATCCCAGCATTTGGGAGGCAGAGGCAGGCGGATCTCTGTGAGTTTGAGGCCAGCCTGGCCTACAGAAAGAGTGCCAGGATAGGCTCCAAAGCTATACAAAGAAACCCTGTCTCAAAAAACAAACAAACAAAAAATCCCATCATTTGGTATACTCTAGAACAAAAACACATAAACAGATAACTAAGAAAATAAGAAACTAAATTCTTAGTCTTAACAGATGAAATAATTGCTTATTGAAAACATACCTTGTGAACACTTTGAGAAACAACTTTAACAACAAAATAAATATGGAGACATAAATGATTTCTTCATATGTGATAAAAATAATTAGAAAATTACAGGGGAAAAAACTATAATGACAAAGAAATACCATCCAGATAGAATTTGTAGGATCAAATGGATGAATATAGAAAACATTAATGTGAGGTAATAAGCTCAGGTATCCCAATTTATTCATTCACTCAACCTAATTTAACTGGTATCTTGAACATATCAAAGGCTACATACAAGAAACACATCTTGACTGGTTACCATAAAATTGCAGTTACTGACAGTATAATGTAAGAATTAAGCGTTTATGACAAGCATGTCAATGCAAATCTTTTTAAAAATAGTCCTATTTTTAAACATACTTGGGTGACTTGGAAAAATAAACAGATAAAAACCTCACTTCCAAACCCAGAAGAAATGGCAGACATATCTGAGTATCAATCATAGTAAGACAGAAGGTTAGGTGTATGAGAGTAGACAGGAAGGGCCTGGGGCCTACCTTAGTAGCAGGGAATGTGCTCAAGAGGCCCTGGGCTTGAGCCTCAGTACATGTGCACACAGGCACATAACCCACCACACAGACACACACCAGGGAGGGAGGGAGGGAGGGAGGGAGGGAGGGAGGGACGGAGGGAGGGACGGAGGGAGGGACGGAGGGAGGGACGGAGGGAGGGACGGAGGGAGGGACGGAGGGAGGGACGGAGGGAGGGACTGAGGGAGGATGAATCAGAGTGCCTACATATGGAGGTCAGAGGACTACTTTTTGAAGTCAATTTTCTCCTTCCATTATGTGGATTTGTTTGGGAGATCACACTCAGATTATCAGGCTTGGGAGTAAGCACCTTTACCCACTGAGCCATCATATATGCATTTTAAGATAGGGTCTCACTATGCAGCCTGGGCTAGTCTCAGACTCTCAATCTTCCTTCCTCAGCTTTCTAAATGCTAGGATTTTAAGCATACACCCCCATGCTCAGCCAACAAAGCCATTAGTTATGTAGCATTAGAAAATTAGTTCTATGCTTCA